TACCCTAAAATATTTTAAAGAAGACTAAAGTACTTTAAAATAATAGATAATTATAATGCAACTTTATATAAAGATATATATATCTAAGTTTCTTAACAAAACCGCTAAAATAATATTTACTATATTATACCTTATAGGCGCAGCCCTTAACTAGGTAATGCCTTATTTAGAGGACTACCTTATAAATATAGATAATAATTAAGAAAGCAAAATAAGATAAATATTTTATAACTTAAGTAACTTTATAATATATATTAAAATAGCTTTTAAGGAAATAGATAAAGATAAAGTAACTAAAAGGAAGCTACAAAACTTAAAACAAAGAGTATTAGCGTTAATTTACATAGTAGTATTTAGAATACTAGCCTATAAGATAAAATAGGACAACTTAGCTTTAGCAGCCTATTTCTATTAAAGTTATATAATAGAGTTAAAAACGCTATAGTAATAGTAGATAAACTAGATTCACTAGAATCAATAATTGAAATCGCAGTTTAGATTAATAATAGATAATAAGAAAAGTATTTCGATAGATAAGTATAGTAAAAAAGGCCTATAATAAAAAAACAATAGTCTATAAGAGATCTAATAGAAATAGATATTTTAGAGAAAAGATTAAAAATTAAAACTTATTATACTTATAGTAAAGCTAGATATATTAAATAAAACTACCTAAAAGAGGCTGCTAAAGTAATAGAACAATAGATTAAAGTAGTTAAAAAAGTTATACTAGCTATAGGAAACAATTATAATAAACTTTTATAGATAGCTTGCGTAAAGAATAGCTATAGAATATATTAATTAGAAAAAGATAAGTTAGAGTAGTACCTAAGGATACTTAAACTAAGAAAAAAAACAATTAAATAGCTAAAGATTTAGTATTTACTATTCTTTACTAAAAAGCTTGTAACAGCGGCTATAGAAATAAAAATTGGAAAAAAATAGACAATAGCTTTAATTAATAAAGAATAAGGAAATAAAATATTAAAAAGAATATTCAATAGAATTAGAAAATACTTTAAAGCTATAAAAAGTATCTATAAGGATAGTTTAGTATAGAATATCGATATTAAAAGTAAATATAAACTAATAGGAACAATATTATTCTAAGTTATTAATAATAAATAAAGTTATATTATTCTAAGTAAAAAATAAAACTAGGATATAGGAGCTTTACTTAAGATAAAAAAAGTAAAACTTAAAAGAAAAATATTGCTAGAGGACTAGACAATATATCTCTTAATATATAAAAATTTTATAATAACGAACTAGCAAAGACTAAAAAACACTAATTATATATAGAATAATATCCTAGAGGTTAATATAGTATTTAAAAAAAATATAAATATAATAGTAACTATAATATAAAAACAATTCGAAACAATATAGGAATTAATAGCAAAATCCTATAAAAAAGATATTTCTAAGACAAAAGAAGTCTAGAAACACTATATACTATATTTGAAGGAAGGCAATTATTCAATATACTCTAAAGAAGACTTAGTCAATAATATAGATAAAGAATTAATTCCCAACTTAGTAGAAAATGCCTAACAGCAGCTATCGCTATACCTAATAGATAAAGAAGATGATTTATAGGACTTAACGCTTAGCTTTTTATCTTAGGATAAAATAATAGAGGAAAAAGAATCCTTTACTAATAAAAAAATACTAAAAAAAAAAGATATTAGCGAACTCTAAAAGCAAGTAAAAAAAACACTAGAGCTAATTAAAAAAGCAATAGTAATAAAGGAAATACTAGAAGCAAAACTAGGTAAATTAGCTTAAAGTAACTTTAAGCAGTTTAAAAAAATAGAGAGTAAAAAGTAGGCACTTAAAAAAAACTACTTCAACGTTATAGGAGGTTTTATTAACTAGGAATATTTATAATTAGATACTAAAAAATAAATAATTAACCTAACGCAGTTAGTAATTATCCTAATTAGAACTTTTAAATAGGCCCTTTAGTAGGTATTAAGCCCCAATTTAAGCGGCTTTAGACAAGAAGAAAAGATTATTAAAATCGAAATTAGCAAAGGCTTAATCGATCTCTTTAAAAGACAATATTAGTATACTACTTAAAGACAGACTAATAGTAACTATAAAGCTATTATTAGTAAAAGGATCTTCAAGTTTAGCAAGTTTGTAAAAAACATTAGCTTTTTATTTAGCTATATTTTTCTTATAATAGTTAAAGGAAAAATATATATTAGAAAGCTTTTTCTATTTAGTAATATTAGCAGCTAACTCTTTATACTGCCTAGCCAACTTTTTTCCTTCCTAGGAATTATAGGGAACAAAATCCTTTAATTTTTTATAAATCTTTTTCTTTTTTTTTTAAATATAATTCCCTATAGATAATTAATAAAAGAAATAATAACATAGAATTAAAATAGACTTATATATATAATTAGAAAAAAAAATATTATATCGATAAAAGCGATTAAAAAGTATATAGGACCTGTAGGAATCCTAGTTATTAAAAACGCAATATTTAATACTTTTACCTAAGCTTTTATAAAAAGAATATAGGAAAGGCATTTTATTACCTTAAAATTAATAGAGCTTAAATATATAAAGTCGACGCTAGTAAACCCTACTAAGTATAATAAAAGAATATAAAGGAATTGTAGAATAAAAGGAAATCGCAGGGACTAGCACTTCTTATATATACTATTACTAAGAAACTTTAAAAAGTAATATAAAAAGGTAATATTACGCCCTATAGGCTATATAGCGCATTAATTATACTAGAAGAATAAAAGATACTTGTTACTAGTTAGCTTAGTAAGACTAACTAGGCCTACTTGTTATAATATAGTATTTGCAGGGTATATATACTAAAGCCTATATTATAATATAAATAGTATAATTACTATTTAATATATAATATTACTTATTTAGTAATAGATAGTTTGCTCTTTAGTTATTAATATATTTATTACTAAATACCCTAATAGAGCTTTATATATAAATTATATTATTGTCGCAGTATTTAAGCTCGCTGTTTAGAGCTTACCTTCTCTTATATCTATAGCTCATTACTACCTACTAAGCTAACCTAGCTTATACACGACCTAAGCTAGTTGTTACACAGCCCTTGCATAGGCAAACGACCGTTATAGAAGCTTTTTAAAAAAAAAATTCTTAAATATATAAATAAGCTATAGATTATTATATTAATTATAATCTAAGCTAAAATAAAGGTAATTAACTTCTATAGCTATTTATATTTAAAGAAACTAATAGATTTAGCTATATATAATTATGAATAAAGCTATAAAATAGTTAAATATTTAATATTTAACTATTTATTATATATTAATTTAAAGAAGAAGTACTAATACTAGAATATATTAATTATAAATATTAATAAATAGTTAAAAAATATTTAAAAAGCTATTATAATAATATAATTCCTATTATATATTAAAACCTTTAAATACTTAGGAAAAGTAAAACTATTAATAAAAGCTAATTTTATATTATAAAAAGTTTTAAAGCTAAAAACAACTTTTTAAACTAATATAAATATAGTTAATAATAAAAAATAAATATTTATAGTTTATAATAATATATATTATAAAAGAAGAAGAAGTATAAAAGCTTACTTTATATTAGTTTATTAAGGGGTAATAATTATTAAAGCTATTAATAGTTTTAATAGTCTAAGTCTATAATATTTAATTAAATTTTTAATTTTTAATACTTATTTTTTTGATTTTAATTTTAATTGTCTAAAAAGTTAGTAAGTATCTATTCTATTAATATAAAGTAGCTCGTCTGCATAGATAGCACCCGGCGTAGCCCATAAGGCTGAAACGGCGTAGGATTTAAAAAAAAAAAAAAAAAGATTCAGGAAATCGGACTACTATCCTCCTCTCTCCTATCCTTGTGCGCCATAAAGCGCGCAGGAGATAGCTCGGCTGAGAATCTGACTATGCTCTCCCTGTTGAACAACGAACATGCAAGTCTGGGATGAAGAGGTGGGGGAAGGTCTGCATGGCCATTCCATGTATGTTTTGTTTGAACGCTCCATCAAGAGTGATATCTGGTACAACAGCATTCTTTCACTATCTCTCGAACTTGCGAACGGATTCAAAAAGACCAGGTATTGGGATCGCCTCATAATTTCCGTGGAACAATGCGGAGACTGTGCAAGCTCGTTCTCTTGAAGGGCCCTCAAAGGGCAACGTCCAATAACATCCACGATAGGGACTTTAGGTACTGCAAGGGCTACGATGGGGCTAGAAGCAGGATCCAACAATCTGCGTTCACCTAGCTAGCCTTTGAGGTGTGAGGTTTTGTCTCTACTCCGGATGTACCTGACTGACACTCGACCGTCATATCCCGAGCCTCCACTTCTACCCAAAGCACATATCAAAGGCACGAGAAGTCGGAATCGAGGGGGAGACGTGGGCTATCGAATTGCCTGGAATTTCACTCTACCACATTTTTCGGCCTATTGATAGCTTATTGAGAGCCTAAATTGGTAAAGCTCAGGAGTTCTCAATAAGGGATCCTAGACAGCCTTTTCCCCTTCTATAACGGAGTCACATTCCAAAAATGATGAGACTAGAACTACGCAGATTTTACCAATTGATGACAGGTGTTTCCGGGCAAGGTCGTATTGGAAATGGTGTATTGAGTTCCTGATTTTCTCACCTCAAAATTGCTCCACATTATATCACTTCACTCTCACCTACCCTCTTTCTTATAATTGATACATCTAAGTCTTGCTCTAAACTAAATGAGGGTCGTCAACGTTATTAATCTGCGTACCTGCCTTCATTTTCTATTACTAAGACTCATCATCATACATTCATGACAAGCTTAATTCGGCAATATTTCAGGCTAAGGAGTATATCGAAAAAGTCTCTTTTAGCTTGACAGCCGGCCTGCTTAGCTTCTATCATATCTCACTACGCTACGCTTAGGGTAGCATATCCACAAATCGGCTCTGTCTTGATCTTCCACCTCTTCCTCAAACATATTACACCATGGATGAGGTTCAATATCCTGTTCCGGCTACGGCAGTAGCATTGCCATTGCTAGCAGCAATTACATTGATCATTGATACTCCTCCTTTCATTTGGCACGCCCGAAACAAGAACTTCCCAGCGGCGAGTCTTGTCTTCTGGATACTTCAAATCAATTTCTTCAACTTTATCAACGCACTCATATGGCCAACGGACGACATAGCAAGATGGTGGCATGGCGAGATTCTCTGTGATATCGAGACCAAGCTTTCCGCGGCCACTTACCTTGGGGTAGTTGGCTCCTTGATTGGGATTATGCGCAATCTTGCCTCAGTACTGGACACGAAAAACACCGTAATAGCACACAGCGAAGCCCACAAGCGTAGGACTTTGATATTTGATCTATTGCTATGCGTCGGTGCTCCTATCTACATGATGATCGCTCACTACATCGTACAACCAAACCGTTTCTGGATCCTCACTGTCGTGGGTTGCGTCGCGCCATACGACGCCAGTTGGGCTAGCGTCGGTTTGGTCTTCTTGTGGCCTCCTGTCTTTTCTGTCGCGGTGTTCTACTACAGTGGTAAATGTTCCAACGTGTCTTGGTGTTGTCAATTCTAATCCTGCCAGCCTTGGTCATTCACCGTATCCGCAAATATCGTCGAGAATTCTCAACTATACTCAGCTCCTCCAATTCTAATCTGACAAAGAATCGATTTACACGTTTGTTCTGTATGTCAATGTCTCTGATCATTGTCATCGTTCCAACGCAGATTTACAACACATATCGCTTTGCAATCGGGATAAGGCTTCGCTACGACTGGGCACTTGTCCATAGCAGCAATTGGGGTGATATCATACTTACGCCTACTGGAGGCTCAATAATCTTCGACCGCTGGATCCAAATCGCTTTCGGATTTGTACTTTTCGCCTTCTTTGGTATGGGCTATGATGCGCAAGAGATGTACCGAAGGTGGCTTCTACATATTGGGCTTGGCAAATTCTTCCCTTCTCTCCATTTGTCTCGCCACGAAAGAAGACGTCTCAAGAATTCCCAGGGAAGCCGAACAAGTTCAACGAGGAAGCTTAGACCCTTCATGGCCAATCGCATCCCACGATTCTCGTACCGCTCGCTGTAAGCTGTGTTCCAAAATCATTCGGGTCTTGACATGCTAATACGTTCACACTATCAGGCGCAGCTCGAAATACGGCTCATCTTCTTCCTCGACTACTTTGTCGCCAGCCTCGGAATATAAACCGTTCGGCAAACTTTCTCCGATATCTGAGCACTCCAAATTCACTCCTTCAGAAGTCACAATGCCAGCATCTGACGCCAACACTACCGGCTCTATGATTGCTTTGAGCGAGATGCCGGTAGAACCAGCTGCAGCGCACTCGTCGACCTCTTGGCTTCATACTTTCCTAAAGCATGAGCATCGTACCGCTCCAGATCGTCGCATGGCTGCCGGTCTGGGCATCTTCGGAGCACCTACTCTGCCTAGAAATGGAACTGGCGCAAGGCAGGACAAGCACTATGGTGGCGACGCTGTCTAAAGCGAGGCACAGGGAAGTCCGTATGCAGCGACTAAGTAGCGATATTGACCTGGTTGAAGCTTATTTGAGATGTTGCATGCTTTTGACTGCCATTTTAAGGCCTATCATGAGGCAAATCACCCCGTAGTGGAACGCACTCAAGAGATAAATACTCACTCATGTTTGCTTGATCATAAATCTGTGGCAGCTTCTCGTTGCTGAGGAAGACACATTTCAAGTTTGTTTGTTATTTGTCTTTATAGCTACCTACATGAAAAGAAAATGATATCAATGCAGCTTTCATGGCACCCCAACACCATATCATGCGGCCGTCGCCGCCATGGCTAATGATCCTTGATTGTGAGAGCCCACGGTATAGATGTCGTTACACTTCCCCCATAACCGCTGACACGAGGCTTGCCAGCCCAATTTGCTTAAATCGACTGAGGCAACTAGAAAGCTTGAATCTTCGTCTGCGTATATCCTCGCTCGGCTACCCATGTTGGGCGCTCTACACCGGTATACCAAATTTGGATTATTTGACCCTTGGAAAATAAGAACATGACCTGGATTGGGGTTCAAGCACTTACCGTCTAGACTTTCGCGTCTTTCTCGCTTGAGTTCTTGTGTGGCTGGATTGTAGACGATGATGTTACCGCTGTTCGTTCTTCGAAGCTCCTTTGGTTCGAATGATTCCGTTGACATGATAGGTTGAAAAAGGGCCGACTAAGATGGAGTTTGATTGGTTGCTATTGCCCTGAGGAGAAGCACGAAGACTGGTGCCTGGTTCTTGCTGGGGGATAGAAATGGTTCTCTGTCACCGCAACCCGAACAAGACGCAAGAGATACGTCTTATAAAAATCGGTCTACTGTGGCACGTCTGCCTACAGGCTGTCATGCTGGACAATCACCGTGACAAAAACCAATGACTGCATCTTGCGACAGCTCCCTGAACCACATGGAACGGCTCGGGCCTCGAAATAGCTATGAAAGCCCCGTTGCTGCCTGCGAAGCATCGGAAATGTATGGTGGCTGCCTGAGGAGTGGCTCCCATGGGCTGTGTAGGGGGGCGGAGCAAGCACAAATGCAGCCCTACAGCACTTTTCAGGGGCGGGAAGGAGCCTGCGGAAATTCCTCCACACCCACGGGATGACTATTCCTGGAGACACAGCCACGACATGAGACAGATGGACCTCGAGAATTACGACCTTGCAGCCTGCCGTCAATGAACACGAGCTTCATGCTGACGGCGGGCGCTTGCAATGAAATCCGCATTGGCCAGCCTTACGACCAATTAGTCGCTCGAGTCTTGCTGACCATTGCAGCAGCTTTTCCTCCAATGATTCGAGACCCCAGCCTGATGAGTTCTGGACTCTTTGAGGCACAGAAGACTGCCATAGCCCTTGGACTCCTGTTTCATACGATGCACGATGCTTACCTGTGGCTGATATCCTGACAATTGGCCAATCACCGCTTGCCAGTTTCTGACTGCGTCCTCTTTGGGGAACTGTAGGATTGAAGGCTGAGCAAGATGTATCTTCTGCCCGGGCATGACGCTGAAGAAACATTGCTTGCAGACAGCCTTTCCAGAGGGTGCTGCAGGCATGCTAGGCTCAACAACAGGCTTAAAGCTCATTCATTTCGCGCCCATTGCTGAGTTTCAACCTGCCACTCGCTTCCATCGTACCAGCAAACACATTCTCAACCTAGAAATCAGGGCACGCCAGGCATCTCCTGATTGTTGCCAGACTACATTCAGCTATCCCGCCAACGCCCAAGCTTGGGAGGATGACAGCACCTGCTCCATCGCTTCACTCGGAACCGTTCCTTACAAGACGAACTTTCTCTAGTCTTTGGCCCATCACTGAGAAGCCGACCCAAGAGCCATCAACATCATCCACGCCTGAGAAATTGAACCCACATGGAAATGAAGAACGTCAGCAAGCCATTCGACGTTCCTCGACTGACCCACACACCTCTTCGAATACTAAAAATGACCGCATCTTCGAGACACGACGTGCCAAAACGGGTCTCAGCTCTACTCAGTCCAGCATCAAGCGCAGCAACACCGGGGATAGACTGAGTCTCTTACGTCGGCTGTTGCATGGCAGGCGCACTGGGGGTGACCCCCGCCTGTGCAGGGCCCTAGCCGACACTCAACTATTGACACCAAGAATTCCGAATCATTTGAGCAGAGCAAGCCATGGGATCAGAAGGCAGTCTTGTCCCTTGGTACGTTTTTCGAACCCTAAACTTAAGCCCAGCCTTGATTAACATCATTGTAGACGGTGGTGGCATCCGGGGCTATTCAGCACTGCTGATTATTGGGGAGCTTATGAAGAAGATTAAGCATATAGAGCAGAATATGCCTCCAGGACCAGATCCTTGGGACGGGCCTGCTCACTCTAGTTACCATCCAGTGGATCCCGATCAGGAAATGTCTACCGATAGTGACGATTCCGCCAGCGATAGCGCTTCCAAAATGGCGGAATCATCTGCGTTTCTGCCTTGCCATTACTTCGACTACATAGCAGGAACAAGCACTGGGGGCTTGATCAGTATCATGCTAGGGCGACTTCGGATGAGTGTCGATGAATGTATAGAAGAATATCGGGCACTTGGTGACGAAGTCTTTGGAAAAAGACGAATTTTTCATTTACGGTCTATCCCGCCAATCTGGCTTCCTCGTGAGAAGTACAATCACAAAAACCTTGAAGCAGTTATACAAGATTTAGTGAAACGAAAGGTTCCGAAGATTGGCCGCTTTCCTGGGGGTAGGAACTTCGAGTTCGATGAGAACAGGTGCCGAGTGTAAGTCTCCCAAAAATCTTGTATAGGCTGCGCTAATGATTTTTAAGAGTCGTTGTGGCATACCAGGAAAATCCTGAATCTGGAACGGAGCAAACGTACCTCTTTCGCACTTACAAAAACCTGAGGAAACCATCTGACCCGGGGCAAGCCATTCTATATCGTAATCCTGGACCTGCAGACGACATTGAGATCTGGAAAGTCGCGCGCGCGACCTCTGCCGCCCCGAGCTACTTCAAAGAAATGACCATTGAGGATCTGAAGTACTTGGACGGCGGCTTTGGTGCCAATAACCCATGCTTAGAGATCTATCAAGAGATTCTGAATATCAACAACGACAACGAAAATTGCTTGGGCTGTATCTTGAGTATTGGTACTGGCAAAAACGACGAAAAGCGTTTACAGTCGCAAGCAGGATTCAGGGAAAGCTTGAAATTGGGCCTTGGGAAATACATTCGGTTCGAAAATTTCGCCAGAAAGTGGGCCAGCGAGTCAGAGGCGCCTCATCGGGCCATGCTAAGCAATTGGCGAAAGTCCAACGAGGCTTTCAAATACTGTCGCCTCAACGTAGTTGATGGCCTTGCCCGAATGAAATTGGACGAATGGCGACGCCGGAGTTCGGCAAGATTGGCAATTGGTCGGAATATTGGAAGGTGCAATCGCCGGATGAAATCGAAAAAGAGCCTACCGCAGTCTGCAAAGGATGCCCAACAATTGAAACTCCGACGAATGAAACACGAGGACGACAATGAAAGCAACGCGACCGATTCCATTGCAGCCAACGATGCCTCAGACCCCAAAGAAGAGCTTGAAAAGTTCATACCTGATTCTTACAAGCCTTTGAATAAGACCATTGAGACAATTACGAAACTGACTGAGACCTACCTGGCTCAACAAGATTGCCAAGATGAGCTTGACCAAATCGCGAGTCATTTAGTCGAGAGTCGTCGTGCCCGCGTACGAGCAAATCCTGACCGTTGGCAGAAGACGTGCTTTCGGACCTGGTATCAGTGTCAAGTGCGAGGCTGCCCAAGAGGCGAGTCCGAGTATCCCGACGCTCATGCAATGCGAAAGCACCTGCTCGACAAGCACAAGGATAAATTCTCCAAGCACGATGACCAAGCGATACAGAACCTGAACAAGACCATTCTCAATTTCAAGATCACAGTTCGTTGAATTCGTTCATCACTGGAAATCGTACCTATAAAAGTATATATCATAGATACCCCAAACTTAGAATAATGATTGTAATTCACGACCGCTTAGAGTCGTTGAGATACTCCTGATACTGGATTCCTAAGAAAGGCGCAGGGTGAAAGCCAATTGCGGGCTTCCAAGTCCTTTTGGTATCCTTGTCATTGTCCCACTCCTACTATTTCACTTCTTCCTCCTCCTCTTCTTCTTCTTCTTCTTCTTCTTCTTCTTCTTCTTCTTCTTCTTCTCCATCGTCCTCATACATCTCAAAGCTGTCATTGTACGTCGGCAAGCCATCGTAAGGAAGACCCCCAACAACACCCGGAGCAAGTTCAAGACAATCTTCCTCCGAGTCACTCGCAGTCCCTTGAGGGTCCTCGACGAACACGCTGAAAGTCTCATCAGGATCGTCACCAAGGGTTTCTTGCCTCTTCTTCTCCGCTATTTCTTTCCACTTGCGTGGGAGGAAACGTGTCTTGCGCCACCATATTCCGCCGAAGAACATCACAACTCCCACTGTATCTTGTTTTTCGTCGACTTCTGGCTCGTCCTTTTTCAGCCCAACGAACTTGGCGACTTTGCCCAACATCGTAGAGTCTTTTTGCTTGTCCCCAGCACTTTCTCCGCCCTCTTCTGTATGTTTACTTTCGCCTGTAAGCATATTGTCATAGCGCAAAGACCGCCAACTGATATAAATCCCGGCAGTAATCACGTTATCCTATAGTCTGGCGCGGTGTTTGTTTTCTCGAGCCCATTCTCAGAGTCCCGTAAGGTTGAATTACAACAGTTCAAAATGGCGATATCAGGGAAAAAGCCTTAGACTGTGTAGGCTTATCAGTGCAGCTGATTGACGTGCTCGTCTACCGAGGCGGCAAGCAGGGCTTGGTGGAGTATCCCACGCATCAGGCTGCTTCGACTTTTATGTCCCCACCTATGCAGGCCGTTCCGACGTCAGGCTTGAGCGTTATCGAGGTTAGTAGAACTCGGATACGCTGGCTGGCCGAGTCCATAGAATACCGAAGCGGCTTTACCAATTCTTTGAAAGAGTCGGAGGAAGATTGAAAGCCTTGCTCAATGAGGCAGTCTTCAGAAGGAGAGACAGATGGACAGGCCACGGCCGGATGGAAATCCTGGTGCGCATCCTTAGCTTCATGAAGACCTGGAATGAGTTGGCTGCATACGACTTGCAAGCCATGGAGGCTGGCACAAGCTGTAAGCCAATCGTTTCCACCCCTGTGGCATGATGTGAGGCACCTGCCAATAGCCTTTCGTCTCACCTCACCCCCTTCGACTTATCACTTATGTCTATCCGTTTATTCTCATTCCATCTCCCCCTCTTGCTGGATAGGAAAAGATCTATGGGGCAGATTGGGTTGCACACGAAGGAGTCTTTCAACGGTGAGGACTTTATGCCTGTTTCTACTCCATTTAAAGGGGCAATACAAAAGGCCGATCAGGCACCTTCCGACAGCGATTCCGAATCTACCAGTTCCGTTGACCGCGTTTCTCATGCCACAAATTCCTCACAAGTTGATTCCCAGGTCGGTGATGGGCTCAATGACCCGAAGGAAGTGCTAGAGGGCACATTTGAGGACGAAAATTGGGAGAGGGTCTCCGATTTTGCTTGCAATATAACAGGAGCGGCAAGAAATGCCTTGTTGAATAGAAAACATGTCGAGAAAGTAGTTGCCGTCATCACCTATTGGGAGACCTCGAACAAACTAGAACACCTCCGAAAACATGCTGATCAGCTGAGCAGACATTTCAAGGACTCGTTCAAGTTCGACGTCTTAGTTTACAAGATTCCAGACAATATCACCGACCTGGATTTCGTTGGAACCATTGGCGGTGAGCTGAAAAAAGTCTTGAAAGATCCAGACAGCTTGTTCATCTTATACTACGGAGGGCATGCGTCCATGAAAGAACTGTCGACTGAACGGTCGTGGAAGAAAGAGCAATATTCCACGTCACCTGAGATTGAATGGTCGTCGGCGATGCGGATACTTTTCAAGAAAGATGTGGTTTGTAGCACACTCTTCATCTTCGACTGCTGTCATGCTGGAGGGATGATCGATCAAACATTGCCATGGAACACATCCTGTGAGTTACTCGGCGCCTGCGCAGCCGATGTACAAGCCTCCTTGGAAATTTCTTCATTCACAAAGGCCGTCCTCGAGGAGGTATCGAACAACACCTACGACGTCTGGGAGCTGCATGCCGCCTTATGTGACACTGACAAACGAAGACATCACAACCTAAAAGAATTTCCCTATTATACAGGCTTTATAGGTCATGACCGTCCACCTACTTCGACACTCATCAAGAAAGTGGGGTCTCATGATGGATCTGAGGATCGACCACGGACCTCTTCCGATATGTTGGCCCGTCTGGAAACAATATCGGACGCGGTAATTTGCATCGCTGTCACCTTCAAGTGCACTGCGGAAGTGTTCATGAAAGAATTCGAGGCGGTTGAGAAGGACTGGAGACGGTGGTTCAGATTTGCGCCAACCCAATGCGACGATATCATCGTCAAAGCATGCCGTGGCAAGAAGTTGATTGCTGCCTTCGACAGCAACTCCTGCATCACAATATGGTCATTTCCCGTCTGGCTTTGGGACGCCATGACCCCGCTCAAAGGTTACCAGCAAATTGGTATTATTCGTCCACAAAATCTCGCGCTCGCTGCAGCAAATGCACAGCCTGATCTTGCAGTGCCAGATCCCTCATCCAATATGGCAACGGGCGAAGTCAGTCACTCACCACGACCAGATCCCGGAGGGCGAAAGGAGAGAGGATGACGCTTGCCCGGAGTCGACAAACCCACTATTTGCTACCTCTATGAAGGCTGAAACCATGTTGAAGCTGCCAATAAAGAGCCTGCTGGAGCAGTCGGTAACACGTGATACGAGTAATTTCGAACGACGGCGCAACAGGTTCTCGAGCGCTCCGTACAAAAAAAGCTAGATCATTTGAGTAGCGAGCTTTCCAGTGCTTCACTTCCTCCATAACTGCTTTCCACGAATCGTTTCCGCTTTGACGAAGCAGCTGGGCTGGATTCACGTGACTTTCCGAATTTAATCAACGCCATAGACGATCCACGTGAGAAGAAGAAGGCGTCAAAGATTCAGGGGTTCAAGACGCCAAAGGGCCTTGAGTCTATGCTTGCTGGGTTTAAGCATGGTATTGAGGCATGATCCAGTGTATCGATGAACCTGTACATGGCTTTGAATAGATGTTTTTGGCATGTTGACAGATATGGGGCTCACACACGAATAAAGCTTGGGGTTCGTTTGAGCGTATTTGGTAAAAAAATTTGTCATCAGAGATGGTTTCGGTCCTCAACACAGGATTTTCGTGACAGATCATGATGTGAATCTGACCATCTTCACTGCAGAGAATGCGCGGCAAATGTGAATCGTGGAATGATTGAAGCTAGAATTCACGTCGATCACTGTCCTTGTCGAACAGCAGACTTCTGAGCCTGTGGATGTCCAAGAAGATAACATCATCCTTGTTGGCGTCCAATCCACCCTTAGTCGTCTTCTGAGATGCATTGACTGTCAGTTGTGGATCCATGGCTAAGACGGCTACTTGTCGCTGTAAGAAACCATGAACTGAATTGAGAGATTCGAGTGAAAACCTAACAACAACTCTGGGAAGGGGGCAGTTTCTGGATATATAGCCGAGCTATAGAAGGCCACATCAGGCAAAGGGCTGCGGCCTCCCGGTGCTGGCCCAGGCCTCCCCTGAATTCCTCTGATTGGACAGGAGGCCCATGGCATATAATCTGAGTCGCAATCAATCATGATGAAATAAAAGACCATTTGCTTTTTCATGGACCGTGTAGATAAGAATTGTTTAAATCGTATCGTCCTGTCGTTGGAGTTCTCAAGAATAGGAGCATGCATTTTTCTGCTCCAAGCCGAAATTACGGGCTTTCCGGGCCTGGCTCCCGTGGCTCAACCCCCTATCAGAATAAAATACGCTGAATACGCTGAAGCGTGGCCACGAAAGCGGTATTATATTGCACGCGTTGTCGCATCTCAACAGCCATAATCTTCTATATTTCTTCATCGCCTTTATCGCCCATTGTTGATCGCAAAAGCTTCAGTTCTCTTCCTCGCGTGATCGTAGAGTCCAGATTCACCACACATCTTGCGCTGACACTCCCAATACCGCTGACCCCTATCACCACTCCACAACCTCCTCAGACCACAATGTCCTTCCTCACAGGCGTGCGCCCAATTCTTCCACCTCTCTCTTCCTCCTTCCGCCTTACCACCACCCTCCGCACCTTCACAACATCTCCAGCATCAAAATCAGCCCGCATGTCCATAATAGGTCGCCTAGCAGACACGCCCGAGCTAGTGCCCACTTCGACCGGCAATGATCTAATCAAGTACTCGCTTGCGACGAGTAGTGGCCCGAAGGACAGGAAACAGACGAGTTGGTGGAAGGTGACTTGTTTTCCCGGGGACAAAGTGGGGTTGAAGGATTTCATGAGGGGGTTTGGGAAGGGGTGAGTTTCTCTCGCTCATTCTATTTGAGGTTGGGTGGAGGGGGAGAGAGTCGCTGAGGGGGTTGGAGAGACTTGCATGAGAAGGGAAGAGCGCGGAGAAGGGATGAATCAGCCAGGGATTTGGGAATAAAGAATCAAGTACTGACTGTCGCGACTACCTCTAGAACGCTGATACATGTGGAAGGCGATTGCAAGATGGATAAATTCAAGGACTCGGAAGGGAAGGACAGGAGTGCGCTGAGTATCGTGCAGAGTAAGTCGCCTTGGAGCATGTGTTCCTGCGCCGTGAGGGAGCTGACAAGTTCGTGCGCGTACAGAGACCATTGAGATTCTGGATCGGAGGGAAAATGAGCAGGAGCAAGGCGAGGGAACGCAGACTGAGGAATATGTAGGACGGGGGTACTAGGACTTGTGGCGATAGATTCGGATCGCGACGAGGGGGTACGATAATACGGGAGACTTAGGTACGATAGGGGTATAATTCTCAACTTTGGCGCTTTCGGTCCCCCCGTTTTGGGCGTCCGTGCCTGTACGATATCATCGTTTGGAAGAGACTGTGAAACGGATCAATCAAAGGGGCCATTGTAAATCCAGCGCTCCTTCGAACATCTTCATTTGCATATATGGGTATCTCATAGCTGAAATTTCGTCCTCGTCTTCTCCATCCCGCCTTTCCACTCCCACTCCTGTCCACTTCCCCTTTGAATCCCTTTATCGACTCTTCGAAGCTTCAAAGTGAATCTTGGTCCTAATTCCTGCAAGCCCGCTCGTATGCCCTCAACTCCTTGCACGTCTTTCCCATCTGGCCCAATGACATTCTTCTCCCTCTCCCTCTTTTCTCGGAATCCATACCTGTGTCGCCGGAGGAATATGTAGTCTCGCTGATTGTGCAATGTAATGACTTGTCGCCCCTGCAATTCTGACTGCGAGGGGAACAGCGTGCGAAAGAGATGCCCAGTCAGCAGACCGAGCGGTGTACGGAAATTGTTTAGTATTAATTCTGGAATATGCTGGGTGGGCTGGCCATGACCAGGCAGTTTCTTGCCTTCGAGCCAATTGCTTATGGAGAAGTGGAAGGTAGGGCCTTGGGGGAGGTGAACTACCGTGAGGCCGGTGGGTTTCTTTTGATCTTCTTTGAGGACTATGACGGCTGTATAGTTTCGATTGGAGGCGAAAGAGGAAATTTCTTTGACAGAGAATTTGTGGCTGTAGCGGTGCGCAGAGCGAGGTATGTAGGTGCTGAAAGGGAAGAGACTGGTGAGGAGATGTGCTTCGTAGTGGAGCGTGGAGCTGAGAGATGTGGTGATTAGGATCTTCGGTGTCGGAGGAGGGTCGACGCTAAAAAGACTTGGAAATCGTAAAGCGAGAGTCTCAGGCGCGAGATCCAGATTCGTACTTGTGGTGGATTGTACAGGACTGGTGGCTCGTTCTGTGGCCGTCCTTTTGGTAGGAGGCTTGCTCTTCTCCTCTGTCGGCTCAGTCTCAGACTCGCTTTCCGAATCTATCATACTGTCCATCTCTTCAGCTGACTGATCCTGTGCTTCGTCTTCAATGCCATTTTGCTCAATTTGCCGAGCTTCTTCCTCCAACTTCCTCCGCTTCAAACGTTCAACATCCACTGAAATACCTAATCCATCGCCAGTGTCTCGATCCACGTCATCCCATATCCTTTTCCTTTCCAGAGTCAATGGCACATTCTTTCGTATCCTCTCTTCCCGAAGCCTGGGATCTTGATCCTCTTGCTTCCGCCTTCGGCGACGCTCATCTCTCGTTTCATTTCCTAATGCCTTCTTTCGTGTGATGTGTAGTCGTTGTCTCTTTTCTCGATTAGAAGTTTTGAAGGGTAGTGTAGCTTTCGGGCCGACTTTGAGCTTCTTTGAAGCCATCGTCAATGCTTGGGATCAGTGTCAGGTAACATTCCTTGTGATTTCCTAGTGCGGAGTGCGGAGCCAAAATAGCTCGTAGGGCTGAACACTTCCACCGCAAACCAATTTATTGACTCATCAAAATCATTGTGCCTGTGCAATTGCTCACAAGTCTCATGTGACTTAGCATATGACAGCACTGTTGCAACTCACACGCGCCAATGTGAGAATCCGAGCTGCGCACTTCAAGAACAGCCCAAGCAGAACCTTCACATCCACCAGCACCAGCTTTAGATATTCCCTTCCATACCAACGATCCATCATGTCCTCTGACATGACGACTAAGACTGGTCAGCCACTCGACAGACAGACACTGGACAATTTGCTACGACGGCGTCTTTTCTATACTCCTTCCTTCGAAGTTTACGGCGGCGTCTCCGGCCTTTATGACTACGGCCCACCTGGCTGCTCATTACAAGCAAATATCCTAGATACATGGAGAAAACATTTCGTCCTGGAGGAGGATATGCTGGAAGTCGACTGTAGTATGCTTACGCCTAGTGAAGTCCTCAAGACTAGCGGTCACGTCGACAAATTCGCAGACTGGATGTGCAAAGATCCAAAAACAGGGGAGATCTTCAGGGCAGATCACTTGGTAGAAGAAGTACTCGAAGCGAGATTGACAGGTAATAAAAAGGCTCGTGGTGAAGAAGTAGTTGTCGACGAGGCGAAAGAAGCTCAGAAGAAAAAGAAGAAAGCGAAAGACGCCGGCGCAATAAGACTTGATGATGCTGTGGTACAAGAGTACGAAGAGACGCTTGCGAAGATTGACAACTTTGGTGGGGAGGAATTGGGCGCTCTCATCCTCACGCATAAGATAAAGAATCCTACAACTGGTGGTGATGTACTGCCTCCGGTCGCCTTCAACCTCATGTTTCAAACATCCATTGGCCCAAGCAGCAATCTCCCGGGCTACCTACGACCGGAAACCGCTCAAGGTCAATTTCTCACTTTTCAAAAGCTCTTAGATTTCAATCAACAATCCATGCCTTTCGCTTCTGCCTGCATCGGTAAGTCGTTTAGAAACGAGATTTCGCCCAGGGCCGGTCTCCTCCGGGTACGAGAATTTATGATGGCAGAGATTGAGCACTTTGTGGATCCTGAAGGAGGCAAGAAGCATCCCAGGTTTGACGAAGTTAAAAATGTAAAGCTCGGATTGCTCAACAGAGACGTGCAATTATCAGGCAGCACAGAACTCACGCACATGACCATGGGCGAGGCTGTCTCAACCGGCATTGTTGACAACGAAACTCTTGGCTATTTTGTGGTGAGAATCTGTCTTTTCTTGTTACGAATCGGCGCGGATCCAAAGAAGATACGATTTAGGCAACATATGAAAAATGAAATGGCGCATTATGCTTCCGACTGCTGGGATGCTGAACTTTTCACGAGTTATGGTTGGATAGAATGTGTCGGCTGTGCGGACAGAAGTGCATACGATCTCACAGTTCATGCGAAGAAAACCGGTGCTCCATTATGCGTGAGAGAAACGAGGAAAGAACCGCTCACAATCGAGGAATGGGTGGTTGACATAGACAAGAAGAAGTTCGGTCCTAAGTTCAAGAAAGACGGCAAAGCTGTTGAAGCAGCAGTAGAATCATTATCGCAAGACGTACGCGAGAAGCTTTCTCTTGACCTCGAGGAGAATGGTAAGATTGAGGTCGATGTGCCCGATGTTGGTGGTGGAAAAGCAGAAATCGATAAAGATCTGGTTAAAATCGAGCGGAGAACAAGGGTCGAGAATGTCAGAGAGTATACGCCGAATGTCATCGAGCCAGCGTTCGGTATTGGTAGGATACTTTATACTGTCATGGAGCATGTTTATTGGTCGAGGGAAGGCAGTGAAGAGCGAGGAGTAAGTTGTCGCCCCTGCTAATATCGGAGAATATTTGAACACTCACGATCCACAGGTTCTCTCCTTCCCGCCCCCAGTGGCTCCAACCAAAGTCCTTCTCGTGCCTCTCTCTTCCCACTCGGATTTCAAGCCCCTAGTCCGACGCCTTGGCCAGAAACTCCGACAACTCGGCATCACTAACCGCGTTGACGATTCCACTGCAAGCATCGGTAAACGATATTCCCGGAATGACGAGCTCGGCACGCCCTTAGGCATCACGGTGGACTTTCAGTCTGTCAAAGATGAAACATTCACACTGAGAGACAGAGACAGCACGAAACAGGTCAGAGCAGACGAAGACAGGATTTGCAATGCTGTCCAGAGCCTGGTGCAGGGCGAAAGCACGTGGAAGGATATCGCGAACGAATTGCCAGAATTTACGCAACAGGACGTGGACTGATTGACGAGTTAATTGAGCGAATCATTTGAAGGACCGACGTGCTGCAGGCTCCATCGTGATCCTGGCTGGAATAATGCAGCTTGCGGGCAGCTTGGCCAAAATTGGCCATTCTGGGGCGCATCATGCAGGCGATGCGAAGCCCACAAGGCTGGCATTACGACAAAGAGTCCCGATAATCGCGAATTAAAAGCATGACAGGTGGAGAGGATAGCTGCAGCTCCCGAGTGAGCTCTATACACTGGATCCTGGAAATGATTCCCTGGATGAAGGAGAGATATGCTGGAGACAGCGATGTATTATACGCTAGATAGGTGGCTGTAGGAACTAGCTTTTGATCCTACCAACATGTTCCCGGATCCACGAGGCAGCTGCTGGCCTTTGCATGCTGTTCATGCACGTAGACCTTGGCCATCACACTGGTAGATGACGAAAGGACAGCAACGTGCAGCATGATCGACCGATTAGTGCAGGGGTTGTTCCCGTAACTTAACCATCGTAAACGAGATTAGTGCAACCCAAGAAAGGATTAAGTCGCCTTGTTTTTCTGGGGATCCGCCTCCCGCGATATTTCCTCCCCTGCCCACGATGATGCTGCAACTGCAAGACGAGAATCTCCATACGAGCGCGGCGGGAAAGAGATCGCTACTGCATGCATGCCAGAAATGCGAATGAAATGAAATCGGCAGGCTCAATTGTCCGCAAGGTTGTCGCTTTCTTCCTCAACCCAAACCCAAAGGAACAGAACGAAATCTTACGAGTTGATCGCCCCCAACTGCCGTCAGCTAGTAATTCGAAGTCCAGCACAGCCAGCCGCTTCAGGCCAGCACACTTCATTAGAGCTGTCTCGATTCGGTATCGTTGCTTGACGATTCCATCAAACCAACCGCCAGACCCGAGACCTCCGCAGCTTCCCCGTCGCTGCTTACCCAAGATGTAATTTCTCCAGCTTCTTGGCCAGCTTTGATTCGCCCACCATGTGCCTTGCCAGGGCCCCATGAGAGGTCCAGAGCCTCTGCTACTCCCAATCTTTTACCCTGTCCTGCAGGGCGGTGAGAAGTCTCATTAGCTGCTGATCGCCCTTGTCAATGCTTTCGTGCGTTCACCAGCTTGAAGATGTGCTGTTCGTGACCTTTTCGTGCAGCTCCTCTCGTTCGTTCATGCCTTTTGTGCTTGTCTGGCCATTCGTTTTGTTGACGTTGATGCAAAAGCACTCTAATACTACCTTAATGTTTAGTTTGAATCCTGTACGCTGTCAATTGACCTGCTGAAGCTCCACCACAACCTCCTACGAAGAACAGCTCCATGAGCTTGCACATCTCCGTTTGAGCATGAACGCCTACATAAGCTGGAAATATATGGTACAGATTGAAAAGTAAAGAGGCTCTGTCCCCACAATATCAATATGCGTACCTTCTGGACATATTGCTTGACGATCATCGTCCTCGCAGCCAATAGCAATCCGGCAGTTGGAGGGAGACTACTCGTATTACCACGTGAAGAGACGGCCAGCAAAGCAGCGCCATCCACCGTTTCTACTCCTCCGCCCAGTTCGGCAGCCTCACAGTCAGCAGTCTCTATCACAGACTCCTCAGCGGTACCATCGTCTCAAATTGAGTCTGCCTCTTCGCAGGAGAGCGACAGTGGCAATGAGACAGCATCAGCTACAAGCCCAGATCCATCTACATCGGGTGTGGTCATCGGTCCTACTCCAACGCCCTTCAATGGATCCATCAACGGGTCAATCACCAACCTTCCACACATCGAAGGGTTACCTATCCACCCAGAGGTCACACCCGCATTAGCAGTCGCTGGAGCATTACTGATACTGACTGGGGCCTTTTATACCATCATCGGCATCAAAACAAAATGGCTGCATATCTTCTGCTCGGCGACATACCTCTTCGCACTCTGTGTCACAATCCTCATCATCTATGTGATGCACCCGCCTGTCTCAAACGCTGTTCAAGGAGCCTACTTTGTCGCAGCAGCAGTCACAGGTCTCATTTTTGGTGCAATCGCCGTCGTTTTTGCAGATGTCACTGAAGGGCTAGGATGCTTTCTCGGCGGTTTCTGCTTGGGGATGTGGTTCCTGACATTGAAACCAGGAGGCCTTATTACTTCTACTGCGGGCAAGTCAATATTCATTGCTTGCTTCACTGTCGGCATCTTTGGGCTCTATATCAGTCATTACACTCGTCCTTACGGCTTGATTGGGTCAACATCTTTCGCCGGTGCGACAGCTGTATTATTGGGTGTTGACGTTTTCAGCCGAGCAGGTCTGAAAGAGTTCTGGTTATATATCTGGAACCTGAATAATGGGCTCTTCCCGCTTCATTACGACGGTCCATACCCGATCACTCGAGGCATTCGTGTCGAAATCGCTGGGATCATATTACTATGCATTCTCGGTGTAATGTCCCAGATGAAAGTTTGGAACATCATCAAGAAGCGACGGGAGGAGAAAGCCACCGAAGAACGGCGCAAAGCTTTGGAACGTGATCAAGCTGAAGAAGAGCTAGGCAAAAAGCTGGAGGAAGGCAACGACCGCGATATGCAGATGTGGGATGCAGTATATGGAAAGAAAAGCAGCACTCGGTCTCAGGTCGATTCTGGCATTGGAACAGATGAACCAAGCACTTGCAAGGGCTCAATGAGTGTCGTTGACGTAAGGGATCTTCCTGAAGGCTTAGAGATGCAGAACCTAGCATCATCGAAGAGCTCGCAAAAAGGAGGCAGGGTTGTTGTGGTTCACGTTGGCCAAGATGATGAGATTGTCGCAGTCCGACCGGATGGGAAATCCGTGAGGTCTGTAGCTGACACATCAAGAGAGGCATCGATCCGTGAGGTACGAGCTGCCGTTGCAAAGTCACAAGCCTCAGAAACTTCTTCAATCAAGTCATCAAAAACTACCAGAACAATACCCAAGCAGCAAGCCACATTAATGATCGATCCAAACCTCTCGCTCAAGCCGAAAGTCGTTTCACCACCCTTCAAAATTCCCGATGATTCAGCCTCGCAGCACAGCGACGACAAGTCTTCAATTGCAACTTTTGCGGAGTCTGATCGGGCCCCCGAACGACCTGCGAAAAGACTTTCCGGCTCGGCTCTCATCAGAAAAGTCTCGGGCAGATCAAAACGTCGCTCGATGGGGCGAACAATCTCCGAAGAAGCCCTTGTCATTCCTTACATCGAAGAGGACAGAGTCTCCTCAGTTGCCGCAACCTTAGACGGAGTATCCATTCACAACGCAAGTCAAGAGAAGCTGTCTACGGGAGGCCATAGCCCAGCTACGTCCAGTGTCAAATCAAATGAGGTCTTCGCTACCCCACAACAAACTCCGTGGCATGAGGAGATTGACCTCTCATTCGGTCCTTTTGGACGAAATGCGGGAGACACCGAGCGTGAGAGTACGTTAACAGAAAAGCAAACCCAGAACCCTCTTACAGGGCATGCGCTAGGTCTGAAGCCGGTCACCAAGTCAGAGAGCCCACAACAATTAAGGACTCAAACCAGCCTTTCGGGGAATCTACCGGATCGCACGTCCAAAGTAGTTATGGCCTATCGTACCAACGAGTGGGCCAAGCATCTTGACAGCGCCGAAGCGCCGATACTTGAGGAAGAGAAACTCACGAAGCCACAAGCAGAGCCCGAAGAAACTGCCCCAGTCAATATTCAAGAGCTCCAGCAAACACCGCTTAATGCGGAGCCTGCCCCTACAGCAAATGCCATACCGGAAGATACAGCAAGCAAGGAACAAGCATCAACACCAGACCACATTGACAAGGCTTCCGTCAACCCATATTTCAAGCAAAAGTCACCTCGCATCTCTCCCTCGGCACCGAACTTGAATGTTACCAAGACCGTATCGAAGTCTCCGTCTCGTACCTCCCTCAGCAGCAACGACAGCAACCAGGAGTCTTCTCGTCCTGCAGCAGCTAAAGCTCGCCAATCACAGACGCCACGAGGCTTCCGGAGCAGCTCTTCTCCAATGGTGAGCTCACCTCTAGCAGAGGAACCAATCGAGGAAGGAGTCGAATCGTCTTTCGAAAATCGCTTCACTCCCTCACCTATGCATCTAATGTCGCAGCGTGACGCCATCATTCAAAGCAAGCCTTCTTCTACTTCATTGTTGAGTCCTCGGAATGGTCTCACTCGCAACCCATCTGCTAGCTCCTCATCCGCCGCTTTGGTGAACCAAGACTCGGACAACATGCCTCTTTCGCATCGAAGATCACTCCTTCAGCAGCAACATCAAAACGGCTCCCAGACGCTGTTGTCACCTCAACGAACTGTTTCTGGCAGCTCCACGCCAGTTTATACACACACGATGACCTCCCCGATGCTGTCTCGAAACCCATCGCGCCTCTCGCTTGCGCAGATGAAGTCTCCTTCACAGAACCCGTCGCGTGACTCCACCTTATCAGCCTGGCGTGCCTCACTAGCATCTGACAATGCTCACCAGAACGCTAGCCAGAACGCAGAGCTGGAGCAGCGTCGACTTGAGCTCTTGGCTGAAAAGCAGAGAGCGATCAACAGCAAGCAGGTGGCACAGATGCAGGAACACCAGCGAAAGAGCCAGCTCGATAAAGAGATGATGAAGAGGGGCAGTGCGATGATGGATGCGCACCGGGAAGCAATGAGGAAGATGCAGGGGCAAGTCAATCAAGGGTTGGCCAATCGCCCTTAGAAGGCTAGGTAGGTACGAATACTTTTACAGGCGCTTTGTGCAATGGAGTCTGGGCATTGTGGGAAAAGTTTAGTGGAAAAATACCCCTTCATGCTGGATCATCTTTTGCTTTCAATTATGGTATTTAGCGGTGGAAACGAGTATCTATGGGTCATGACTATTCAACAACTATTTACATAGGGCCTATATTCTGGCTGGAGATGCCTGGGTACAGGAATACCACCATAATGTGTGAAATTTAATTTCTAATCAAGAACTCTTCATCGATCTCATCGATCTAGCCTGTGCTCCATTGGCTCCCAGCTTCTCTATCGATTCTGCAAGGGCACGGCGTGATGTTTAAGCTTGATCGTGCCTAAAACATCACGCTTGATGTCCAGCGGTAAGGCAATTCCGATGCCTGTAAGTTGAAGCACCGGAGACGAGAAGATCCAATCACTTTGCGTCCCCAGACTTCTCTGGCAGCGACTTCGGCTCTGGTGGGTTGACAGTGATTGGCTACCCAGAGCGATCCTTATAGCTCAGGGATCATCCAACATGCTTGGAAGCGTACCTGACCCGACAGTCTGGATGCCCGAGCTCCTAAGCGATTGACCGCGCTTATGCCGTGCCGGAGGAATAAATAGATCAATCGAGCATCTGAGGGGATTCGCTTCATCCTCTACCCTTCCGCCATCCACCTCACATGTGCTCTGTTGTGGGGGGTTGCCGGCATGCAGAGCACCACCGGTCCAAACGGGCACCTCAGGCATCCCCTACGATCCTACACATAGCTTTGACACATATCAAATCCATTCTCGTTCACATACAATTGGTGCTGGGGGGTAAAATGACCTCTTTGGCACTTGTTCTGTAACAGAGGGCCGGAAGACGGGCCTTTGTTGTCGGGTTGGAAACTAATGCAGAGCCACGCCACGAAGCTGCATAAGAGCCCTGGTAGCCTGGTAGCAATGTTGTCGAGTGGATCATACCCAAAACCTTCTGCCTTCTCGACTTGCCGGTCAACTCGTTCTCCGTTACATCGCTCTACCCTCCAAGCGTCCAAATTTCGCAAGAGGTTCCTGATCCCACATGAAGCTAAGGTCTAAATATTCTGTTCCTGTATTCACAATTCCATGTCTCAGGACTCATCCCGCACGCTGATTCGCTCCTTCTTTTCTACCTCAACATCTTCTACTATAATTCAAAATGCAGGAGTAGAGCTCACTGCACACTGTCGTTACCGGATGAACGTGATGTCTGTTTCTTGCATGTCTTGATTGTGATATCTTCATTCTTGATCGCCCCTTGCTTTCGTCCCTCCGATCCCCGATCCCTCCTTGCGTCTCTTCCTTATATACCTGCTCTGCACTGGTTCCGACACCCAGATACCTGGGAACCCCAATCCTGGCACCGCATTACACTCTACAAGGCAGATGTCTCAACCAATTGAGGTTGATGAACCGGGCACAAGCGAATACAGCACACAAGGCGAGCAGCCGAGGACGTCGACGGAACCGGAAGCTCGTTCGGATGAGTCAAGGTTCGTCCCCATATCCTTAGGCAAGATCCCGTTTGGGATCATTGACACAGACTCAGTGGATCTACTAGATCGATCAAATCCGTCGCCCCTGCCATTCTAGAAAATGGCCGCTTCTATTGCAACGAGACCTATTTAATGCCATGTGACGACATCGAGCAAACCCGCCTCTCCATCCTCTACCAAACGTATCTATCACTCCTCGACAATCAGATCTCCCTCGGTCTTATACCTCGAAGTCCGAAACGCATTCTAGAAATCGGAACGGGCCTGGGCGACTGGGCCATTGCAGTAGCTGAACGCTTCCCCAATGCAGCCGTAATTGCTACGGACATTAGCACAGCATTACATCCTGGCGCTGCACCACCCAATGTGACATTTGAAATCGATGATGCCCAGGACGAATGGACGTATAATGAACCTTTCGACTTCATCCACATTCGCGAACTTGGGGGTGCCTTCTCTGATTGGGGAATGATCTACGGTGAAGTCTCGAAACACCTGAAGATCGGCGGTTCAGTAGAAATTGCGGATCACGGGAGAGTGACACTGATGAACGAGCCCGAAAACTCTTACACTAGCATCTTCAATGGCGCTTTGGAATCCGCGGCTGAGAAGGCGAGGCGACCGCTTAATATGGATCATCTGAAGAAGCCTGCGTTTGAAGCTGCGCATCTGACCGTGACGAAGTCGAAGACGTTTGATCTCCCCGTTGGTGATTGGAGTGAGGATCCGAGAAAGAAACTTGCAGGCAAGATGGCGCTCATTGCTGTGCTGGAGGGACTAGAGGCTGTGGGCTTACGCCTTTTGACCAAATATCAAGGGTGGAAGGAGGCAGAAGTAAGGGAGGTGATTGAAAAGGTGAAGGAAGAGATCATGAGGCCTGACGTGAAAGCTTTTATAAGGGTGCAGTTTGTTGTGGCACGGAAGATGGGGATATGAAAGCTTTCCTTACGACTTTTTGGTACTTTGTGACGAAGGTCTTGATTGATGAGCTATGACTTGTACGATAATCTTCATCGCGACTTGAACAGCAATATTGGGTGGGAATGGTATTTTACATAGCGCGTGGTGAACTTCATTTTCGGTTTGTGTATATAATTAACGTACTCTATGATGAAACAATCAATCGCTTCCCTCGTCGATGAATACTAGTATCCTGAAAAATCGAGATGTTCTGACACAATGGAGCAGATGGATATCACGTCCAAACAGCGGGATTTAATGGGAGGCAGGCTTGGCAGGCACTACGGCATCTCCGAGTTGCCATCGAGCTCTCGCGACTATCATATTGTGTCCCCTGCAGAATACCCGACTTCATAGTCTCCTGAATGGCTCCACCGTATGCTACGGCGCAGATCACGTTAAAGTGTCCTTTATACGCGTCAGACTTCGATCCCCAGACCAACGGCTTTCTACTGGTAGGCGGCGGAGGAGGGGAAGGCCGCAGCGGCGTAGGGAACAAGATTGTGAGTCGCATATCATTATAATTTAGGAGTATCTTGACTGATTCCCCGCTAGACTCTTCTCAATGCTTTCAAGAAGTATGAAATCTCTGAAGTCGTCGAGATTGGCCTCTCTAGAGACGAGGATTCTGTCACCTCCTTAGCTTTTGCGCAGACAACAGAATTATGGGCCAGTGCTTTCGCTGGAATCAATTCTTCGACGAAAGACCAGGAAGCTGGCAAGAATCAGCATTTGCGATCATTTCTGCTGGAGTACCCACCACGGCGCAAAGCTGGCGCATCAGAGGGGGACATTGCTCCGGCGCAAGAGGAAGCCCCTGAATCGAGAGGGCAGACAAAGGCACTAGGCAAAATCTCATATTTCACACCAGATCAAAGTTCGAGGCCAGAGACCTTCCAACGAGTGCTGCGGTTATCCAAGCGGCCTCAAGGTAATGGTCCCCGATTGGGCGCGGTCGCAACAGGCCTGGCGCCGATAGGGGAGATCGTTCTCTTCGCAGCAGATACAAATAGTCCAACTTCAAAAGACATACGAGCACGCATAAGGCTAGGCAAGAAGGAGGAAGCCGCAGACATCGATATCCTCGCGGCTTTGGGAGAGGAGGACGACGGTTTTCTTGTCGCATATTGTACCGACTACGACATCTACACCGCAGAATGCAGTTACAGCAAAGGCGGGGACCGAGAGCTCGTCCCACGCTGCATACAAAGTAATCCTCACCCAGACGTCTTTGCTGCCTCCAAAGCCCGCCCAAAGTTTCGCTCCATCCGATTCCTCACACCCACCCTCCTGCTCATACTACAAAACCTCCCCTCAAGCGCTGGCTCCGAGCTCCTTCTCATGACAACGCAAGGCCAGCTTGTTCTCCGCAAGCGCTTACACAAGAAGATAAAATCCGGCATTGCGCTCGCCGTGGCCTCACTTCCGTACCCCTCCTCGTCCTCCGCAAACAGCCAAAAGCTGATCCAACACGCCATCGCCATCGCCGGCGCAGACACCTCCATCACGATCCTCACCCTCGATCACAAGCCCTCTGGCCCCTACAAGAACCTAAAATTCAAATCCCACCTCTTCCTCACCTCCGTCCACCCAACGAGCATCACATCCCTCACCTTCTCCACACCCCCCTACAAACAAAACCCTGGTCCCAAACCCCCCTCCAATATCTCAAATTAGCCTCCACCTCCATCGCCAACACCTGCGTCGTGCACACCCTCCCCCTATCCCCCTACCCATCGCGAAAACGCAACGAAGACCCTATCCCCTCCTACGTGCTCCGCGTGCCGAAGGCAGGCAGAGGCAAAGCTACAGAGACAATGTTCTCGCTCTTCATGGCCGTGCTGGCGATCGCGGTCGCGAGCTTCTTCCTGCAGACGTTCACGGAGATTAGGGGTGGGGTGCCCGAGATGATTGGCGCGAAGAAGTGGTTGTCAAAGGGCTTGTATGAGCAGTGGGTTTTGCCGTTTGAGGGCGAGGGGATGGGGAGGCTGGAGAGGAATGCGCTGCTAGGGCGGCCGGAGATGAGGCGGGCGAGGGGGGAGGTTGGAATTAGTGGGGGTGAGGGTGGTGGTGGGGAGGGAGGTGGGGAAGCGACAAAGCTGACGGATTTGGTGGAGAAGAGGAAGGCGGCGCTTGGGCAGGGCGAGTTGCATGAGATTGTTATACATCAGCCCAGTGGTGAGACGAAGGGGACAGAGGATATGAAGGTGGGTTTGCATCATCCGAATCATATTATTGATAGGCATCCTAAGGCGAAGAAGTGGGAGGAGATGTTGCCGAGTGAGCGCGAGAGGTGGAAGAAGAGATTGCAGGAGGCTGGGCATTGGGCTGCTGATGAGGGGGAGACTGTGCTGAAGGGGATTTTCTTCTCTGGTGTTGCTGGGGCTGTGGGGGCTGCTGTTGCTGGGTAGGGATGGAGGTCGTCCGGGCTATTGTACTAGATTTCAATGGTAGGATAGAGAATTTCTTGTTACATAGTGGTATCATAATAAAGGCACCTACGCCGCCCAAGAGACGCTCGAAGTAATACACAGTGATCTTCTCACTCCTTCCGATCCCCTACATTTCCCGCCCCATTCACGCTCCCATTAACACTCTCCTCTACCACCCTCTCAAGATTCGGATCCGGCACCTGAATATCCAGACTCAAATACCCCGTCCTCCGTAATGGCACACACTTCGCTACCTCCCCGTCCTCGCCCTCATCACCTTTCTCCCCACCTATCCCTCCCAACCCCGCACCCCCCTCCATTCTCCTTTCCCCATTCCACCTCTCCACGAAACCTTCCACATCCCTCAACCCCCCTTTAACAGCCGTCAGCCCCAAATCCTCTGTAATCCAGCCACTCAGCACCCCCAACAACACGTCAAGAATCTGCCTCCACCCATACATCCCACCCCCCAGTCCTTCGACCCCGTTCTTGCCACCGGGAGCGAAAATGGCAATGAGCCGGGCATTCACGCCGTTTATGAGGGTGCGGAAATCTTGCTCGCTTACCCACGGCGCGAGAATCTCGGGGTATACTTCGCTGAAGGTGGGGGCCATGTCCCCTGCTATTTCCCAATCCCGTGGGATGCGGATTAGGCGGGTTGAGGTGGTCAGGGGGGAGGTGAGGGGGACGTCTGTGGGAAAAGGTCAGTGGGGTAGGAAGAAGATGTAATCGGGAGAATAGATTTGATCGCGGTGGTAGGGTGAGGATCGGGAGAGGGGAGGCTACTTACGGGTATTTTGGTGGGGATAACAGGGGTGGAGGTGATTGAATGGGAGGGTGTTCGGATCAGGCTGTTGTAGGTCTAGATTTCCTTCTTGGATGGGGATTGTTGGGTCACCGGGGAAGTGGGTGGGGTTTGGGAGGCTGTTTGGGGGGGCGAGAGTGCTTATGTGGCCATTGGCTGCGGGTTGCACATTGGTGGGGGAAGAGAAAGGATTTGCGTTGTTTTCGGTATGAAGGGGCGGCTTGCTAATGGAGGAGCGACGGGAGGAGGAACGAGAGGAGCGGAGACGGTGGTTTGATGGGCGTTGAGATGGTTGTTGCGTATAGTGCGTTTGCTGTGTTGTTGGTCGGGAGGGTCGGCCGTATTCAAGATCTTTGGCTGGTGTTGGAGGGCGTTTGGAAGGAGCGTCGGAGTTTGTGAGAGAGGCCGCTGGTGAGGGCGACATTTTTGCTGATGCTGGGAATGAAGGTGGAGGGAAATCAAGAGAAAGTCTCGGTGCTTCAAGACCTTTATCTACGAAAATCGTGGGAGATCGGTGCTTTCATACATTGCGTGGTTCGTAGAACGATTGATTTGATTTTGTAGAGATATTTGTACTGGGAGCTGTTCAAGGTTCACCGCCAAATAGCTGATTGTTGAAGACGTCTTCGTCTGCAGACTCAGGTGGAATGATCTCAATATCAAAGTCCAAGATCCTCAATTGCAAATGTTTGACGTAAAACGAATAAGATCGTTGTTGTTGAGAATGTGGATAATCTACCGTTGCAAGCCATTCCAAGCTAAAAGCAAGCTAGTAATATTGAATAATAATACCGTAATGTTTCTTGCAGGCTAATCAGCGAGACAAGGACTGTCTACAGCACCAAAGCCTGCAGCAACACCCCCTTCTTCGCTTTCACGCCCTTTCGTACGTAGGAGAAAGCCTGCCTCATAGTTTTCCAAGATCTCACCCTTGCCCTCTCCTTGATCATGTTTCCACAAACAAACTCCATAAATGCCTAGCTCACCAATAACTTCACCACTTTGGATTTGGCCATTGCGAAATATTGTGTTACGAAGAGGCGGGGGTTCAATCAGCTCCATCAGAATATGACTGCGATACTTCCTTTCGTCGCTGCCTAACGACTGCACGAAAGGCGGGATTTTCGTGCCGTAGATGTTGTTGCCACCACCTTCGCGCTGAGGCTTCAGGACGTATCCTTTAGCCTTCTCTTCATCCTTTGCAATAGCTATGGCTTTTTGACCGGCTTCGCTGTCATCCAATGGATAGATTGCTGCGAATGTCGCTCGTATTCTCTCAATGAATGCCTCGTACGGAGTACCCGAGAGAAAGCGCTCAAGGTATGGCGAAGAAGGTGTGGCTAAGATTTGCTGAATCTTCTTGCTTCCAGCTAGATGGGTCAGAATAGATGGGCACTTTATCGCAGCTGATCGTTCCAAATGTAGCCTTGCGTCCCAAGCCTCAGAAGTTGAGTATTCTGAAGGGGAATATCCTGCGCGGTAATAAAGCGTTGTCACCTCGAACGAAGTCGAAGGAGCATGAGAAGGGTTGTAGATCAGACTCCGCTCACTGGAGAGTGTAGTGTGTGTGAGTGCAGAGGAGAAGGGAAGTCGGAAGACGGTGGTTTGGTATTCTTCTTGGAGACGAGATGAAATGGCGTATTGATCAAAGACGTTATTCTCGGGATCTTGAACTACAAAAAGAATACACAGCGGAAGCGTCGGGACCTGTCTTGACGGGCCGTAGACTTGATGAGCCTGCTGAAGGCCTTTTGCGATGAGTGCAATCGACGGATTTGATGGTAGCGAGGTATCACCTATAATATCGGATACCTTTTCTGGGAATGCAGAGATAGTGTGAAGATGTCTAAACTCAGGATCAGCTTGGCATAGGCGCCCCAGGGGTTTAGTCACTTATGAAGGGCGGAAACCTTGGCTGAAAGGCCGCCGAATGATGCAGCGATTGTATTGAACTCGACCTGCCTTAATTCTGCTTTCGGAGATTGCTCTGACGGATCGTTGTGCACCATATAATCGGAGCGGAAAATACCTAAGGAAAGGGGCTGGTTTGGAATTAGTCGGTAGATCAACTCGTCATCTTGTTGAGGCTACCTGTACGTAGCCTTCCTTCTTGACTGCTAAGTGTATTTGCCAAAGATTTTCAATGAAGTCGTCCACATCTAAAAGTCTAATCGCATTGGGTAAGATGAAGATTCAAGATGCTCGCGAATAAGAATGAGGGCTAGGGGAGACAAGTGGTCAAGACAGCAACTTATCGTAACTGGAGTTCTAAGAGATCGTGAAATTTAGACAAAAGGCACGCAACAGATCATACCTACTCCTCTACGACCTGCCTGAGCCACTCTTCATCCCGAACTACGGCAGCATACAGTGCGTTGTATGCATGTTGAATAGCCCTCGCTTCTTGGAGACAAGATCGTGGGAACAGACTTGGAAACAAAGTCACCGGAGCTGCTGTCGCCAGCGATCGCGACGGGTCAATGCTCCCTAGGACATAGGTCGTTGGTGGGCGTATGGCAAGTCCATTCCAGATAGACCAGTTTTTGATGTTTGATAGCAGATACTCTGTCTGTCCTTCTGTCAATGGTGGTGGATAGTCTAATGGTTTCTTTGCCATGATATAAGCCCGGCATCAGCCTGAAATGATGTGACAGCTTTGCAACTCTAGTTGTTGCATCAAACCAAGTCAGTACAACAACAACTACCCGGCTCACGATATCGATTATGACCAATCGGATTTAGGGGTTAAGAGCTGCCGCATCCTATTCTACAACAAATAAACATTGAAACGATTCAATCTCTACCAACAGCACCAACGGCTATCGGTAGGCATGGCAGGCTCGATTGTATATATAGCCATGCTGTTCCAAGTCTAGCCGTTCCAGACCTAGAACCAATCGAGGACAAAAGAGGGTATATATTCCAGACTTCGCATTGAGCTGAGAGTGAGGAGATATCTGACCGTGGCCCGCAGCAGACACCGCTTTTTCAGCGTTGCGGAGCTTTCACTTCTTGATCGAATAACCCGAATCGTGAAAACTTCATATATAGTTCGCGACCTCCACCTTCTTGTCACCCACAACAACCTCTCGTGACCCAACTACTTCACAACTTCTACATCCTCTGTCTGAACAGCACACTCCTCTACCTACACCCTCTGCCTGAACAATACACTCTTCTATCTACATAATGATCTAAGCTATCGCCAAATCAAGAATGCGCCGGCATGGCGCAGATACAGCCTTCTATCGAAGCGAGCAATGCCACCTTACGAGATCCATGGTATTGGTCCGTTGAAGATGTGGTATTGGCGCTATGCAACCCCTACAGTCGTTTAAGACAAACAAACCACTCAACATCATTTCCTGACGAGGCACAACTGGCCGCTAAACTGCGTGAGCTGGATGTTACAGGTCTAGCGCTACTACAAGAGATCGATTCAACATGCTTGAGGGAAGAATTTGGTATCAGATCTTTCGGGCATATCGCCAGTATCAAGCATCTAATCAGTACCTTACGCCGTGAATCTGTCAAGTATCAAGAGGAAGGAATAAGAAACTCCTCGAGCAACTTCTCAAGACCCCATGCCTCAGTGCAGCCTGACATGACCCCAAACTATTATGGAACGCTTTTCAAACCCAGTCCGAGGCCCGGTGATTTATTACCATGGCAATCTCCACAGATCAAAGATGATGGATTTGAAAATCCTTATGCCCAGCTACATACGTTGCCCGCTTTTGACTGGAGCAACGTCCGTAACGGCACCGGCTTTGGCAATTTCGCCTCACCCCAATCAATGTTACCGACTGCTGCTCCGTCGCCAGTCGACCAAACTGCCGTCAATGATCGAGAACTCAGCTTGCCACGACGCGATGTTATTGGCGCTACACTAGTTCCAAGTCATACTCCGGAACAAAATACAGCAATGCCGGACATGGAACAGGAGCAGCAATGCACCCCTGGTCAGACAGCGAAAGTGAGAAAGAGGATTGCTCCTACTTTCGTCGCGCCTGTGGGACCAACAGACCAGCAAACAGCGAGGAGCGATGATTTAGAGGTCACAATGGAGGAGCATCTGAACATTGGCGCCTTACCTGTCCCGGAAACATCTGTGAAAGAGGTCGATGACCGCCAGTCCATGTCAGAACCCAGCCGCGAAGTTTCAAATGAGCTCAACATCCAGCCAGCCTTTCTCGAGCCAGGCATCGCTATCGTCAGTGTCTCAGATCACATGCAGCCTGGAGTGGTTCACGTCGATGAGAGGGGCCGGAAGAGAGTGGTCCCAGTCTCGATGCCGCTTCCAGGATCCGGCCCAGTGGAGTCAATCCAAGCGCATAATGAGCTACAGTCATCGCCAGATCGTCTCTCCAACCGTCAGCCCTTTCAATTGGGCTTCAAGGCCGATCTGATAGAAGTGAATACGAGACGCTTTGGCAAGACACCTCAAAGGTTGCCGCACCAGGAATATCTTGGCTTGAGAAGCTTCCCGGTCGACGAAATATTCTACCCTCAGACTACTCTTTCTCAATTGTTGCCCGAAGCAGAGGGGGGTGAGAGCTTCGAGTTCAGCATTGTTGCTCCACAAGTAGGAGGTTCAGGCCGAAAGTTATACGTCAACAAGCGCATCAAGCACTTTCTGCAGTGCAAACCTTTTTCGCTCAACTCTAAGAAACAAAATTGCGTAGGCATGATTCCTTACCCCGAACGCATTGTCAAAAAACATGTTCCTTTGTCCATGATGGTCTTCACTCCAGATGGTCAAGGTGGAGTCACTGTCACTCGGGAAAATCGATCCAATTGGATCGATGGACACACTGGCCAAATCTCTACAGCCATTGACGGTGGTGTTGATAGATTTGCCATCACTGATGCTGCTTTTGCGAAGGATGAAGCGGAAGATGATATGTGGAAGGCACTGGAGAAATGGAATTATGTTGAGGACGCCGAAAAGATCCTGCCCGCTTATGGTGATTCTGAATCAGAAGGTGAATATGATCTCGATACTTGGAGAGAGATGGAGGAGGAAGCTGGCAAGATCGAGCGACCTCTCGGGAAATCAACAAAGCCTGTCCTTAGCCGTGGGACGATGGAGGAGGTCGTCGACGATACTGTCAAAACTATCACCCAGGCTTGGTACGAAAAAAAGAGGCCTAAGCTTGAGCCAAAGGCATACCGCATCTGGATGCGCGTAAAGCGGGACAGATCCCAGCCGCACCAAATCCGCGCAATGCAAGAAGACATCTCAATTCTATCGGTCCGAGTTTCAAAGCTGCGCTCGGAGATTCTAGAGGAACCATGGACCAACGAGGCGAAACTTCGCCGTCAATGCGGGTCTCTGCAGCCTTCCGTTTATGATCTCGAAGATGTGAAATGGAAGCAAGCTGTATTGAAGCTTCAGAAGGCCCCCGATAAGCTGCCAAGTGCGCACAAACCACCAAAGAAGAAAAGGGAGATGAAAGACGCCCTTGAACAGCCCCTTGCCGCAGACGAGGAAGACCTCATTTCGTCAGATGAAGAGACAACGGGCTCGGAGGATAGCCTCGATGGGTTTGTGATCAGTGACGAGGAGGACGCCATGGATTTCACTCAGCCTGCCATATTCGAAGACGAAATGTCAATGAATGAAGATACAACCAACGCTAAGAATTCTTCTTTTGCAGAAGTTGCGCCTCTTCCTGGCAATGGAAGAACACCAACGCCGTCCATCAAAGTTCAAAAGTCAGAGAAACCAGCTTTGGGGACGTCAGCTTCGAAGCGGCCCGACATCGTAGATCTGACACAGCTGTCCAGCGACATTGAACCCGAAGAAATATCATCAGTACAGATTGGGCCTTTACCTCATGTCAAGACCCCACCTCTTGACCGCGGCAAGAATAGTGATGTTTGGGCTCGTCCTACTGGTGATACTCCGAGGCCCAAATTCAAACATCGCCCACTGTTATCACAAAGCCAACAGAGCAAACAGAGTCAACAGAGCCAACGGTCCCAAAGCAGTATCATTGACCTAGATTCAACTACTGAACACGCCAGCTCTCCGGCGAACACGCCATCGAAACGTAAATTACCACCATATTGGGACGTTCGCGCCGTATGCAAAATGGATGGAGCGGCACTAGTTGAGAAGCGAGACCACGGAAGAGTCTTAGTCCGTATGATCGAATGTAGTTCAATTTCACAACGAAATCTTGTCTGGCGTCTTTTACGGTGCCGCTCGATGGAAGAGGTTCAACGTTATGTCGAATTAGCATTACGCGCCCTCACAGAAAACATTTCAACACTTAGAGGCCAGACGTCAGTGGTCTCAGAAGGAGCACTGCAAGCTGCAAGTTGGTTCGTTGCGTATGTTGTCCCTGTGGTTTACGACGATTCTGGACACCGCCCGAGAAACATTGAAGCGACATTGAAGACGATGCACCGGTTTGAGGACTTTTACGATATTATCTTGAAAAGCAGAGAATATTACAAATGCAAAGATGATTTCGATAGTGACGAGTATTCGTCGGAAGCTGACTCTGTTTCTACTCGAGGACCGAAACTTCCAATGCCTCAGAAAAAGAAAAAGCGTAAGATTCGATCTGATAGCGAAGAAGATTCGCGGCCCTCACACCGCCGCAAGAGGGTATACGTGAAGTACGTGAGTCAGGACACGCTCAATCTCCAAGAAACTGCGCAGAATCGACTCCGTCTCAATGAGGAACGACGCAGGAAGGAACTTGCGAGCGATGATGATCAACTCAAAAGCGATCACCCAGATGCCGAAATCATAGTAAATCCCGGAAAGTCGGAGAACCAAGCCTATATCTACCTCGATCCGCGATTTGGGAACGGCTCTCGCAGTCTGAAACCGCATCAAATTTCTGGTCTTCAATTCCTATGGCGAGAGATTACAGCTGAACCAAAAGTGCTCCAAGGATGTCTACTTGCACACACGATGGGCCTTGGCAAGACCAGTCAGGTGATTGCACTACTCGTCGCTCTATCATCAGCAAGTAGTCACCCTGATGCCGCAGTCGCACGACAGGTTCCAGCGCCTCTGCGGAAGTTACAGACTTTGATATTATGCCCTCCGGCACTGGTTGAAAACTGGTGGGACGAGCTCATCCTGTGGGTGCCGAAACCGCCATCTACTGTAGTTGGTTTTATACGAAAGCTGAGCGCAAGTCAGTCGGTCACTGAGCGGGTTGCCCACATTCAAGCATGGGCTCGTGAAGGTGGTATCTTAATCATGGGTTACAAGACATTTATCGATCTTCTTGCCAACAAAAAGGATAAGAGCGGACTTCGACCAATCGAGGATGACGCCCATCGCGATATATTCGAGACATTGCTTAACAAAACTAATCTTGTGATAGCCGACGAGGCTCACGGGTTCAAAAACAAGAGATCCCAGCTCCATTACTGGATAAGTCGGATAAAGACCGGCAGTCGTATTGCAATGACAGGATCTCCTCTGTCGAACAACTTGATAGAATACTTCACTATCATCGATTGGATTTCACCCAAATTCCTAGGCACAGAAGCTGAATTCAGAGCAGCTTACGAAGAGCCAATCAATGACGGTCTGTACCAGGAATCAACCGAGAGAGAGTATCGAGAGGCGCTAAAGAGGCTTAAGGCTCTACAGGCTGACATCGAGCCCAAAGTCCATCGTCGAGACAATGCCGTGTTGCATGACTCGTTGCACGGCAAAATGGAGTTTGTGATCCGTTTGCCGTTGACTGAATTGCAGCGCCGACTTTATCAAATCTTCGTTGAGGCAGTCTTCCGAGCAATAGCTAGTGGAGATCCTTATGCAGCTGTCCTCTGGGGGTGGCTACGACTTTTGCAATTGCTCTGCCACCATCCCAAGCTCTTCGAAGATCGACTGCTTGAGTATGAGAAGGAGCAAGCTCAAGGTGGCCCTGTCTCGAAGACCGAAGCAGCAGCAAACAAGACAATGGAGAAGGCAGATTCGATGCCCTCCGTGAGGATAGAGACCCCTTCGCAGGTGCATCTACAAGCAGTGATACCAAGTGTCAGTGTTAACGCTAAGGCACTTCTCGCACCTTTGGCCGACTCATTAGGGAGCCCCGCACATTCCTGGAAGATGAATATTCTATTCGAAATTGTCAAGCTCTCCGTTGCTGCTAAAGACAAAGTCCTCGTTGTTTCACAATACATTCCTGCACTAGACTACGTTTCTAATCAGCTTTCTGAAATGGGGCTGGCTTACGAGCGTATAGACGGTACTTTGCCGGCACAGCTTCGTCAAGCGGTTACCAAAGCCTTCAATGGGGGTGATGTCGATGTCAATATCTGTCTCATCTCTGCGAAAGCTGGAGGCGTGGGATTGAACTTGTTCGGTGCTAACCGGGTAGTCATACTGGATGAGTGGTTCAATCCTATGACCGAACATCAAGCTATCGGACGTTCTTACAGGATAGGCCAACAAAAGCCTGTGTACGTATATCGTCTCATGGTTGACGGCACATTTGAAGGCGTGCTCGAGAACATGAGTCTATTTAAGACACAGCTTGCAAACCGTGTGGTGGATAAACGACAACCGGTTCGCAATACTAAAAAGGGCGTACGCGAGTACATTTTCCAGCCCAAGATGAATGCCCGCGAAGATCTTGAGAGATTTAGGGGAGATGACCCGGCGGTACTAGACCATTTGCTTCACGATCAAGATTGGTAAGTTGCCTTGAAGCTGATCAAAACCCGCAACTGACTTTTCGAATAGTCCAATCCTCAACATTGCGACGACAGAGTCTTTCCATGTGGAGGATAACTTCCAACTAACGCCTGAGGAGGCGAAGGAGGCCGAACAAATGCGTGAAAACCAGCGTTTGCGGCGTGAAAACCCCGAAAAATACCTGGCAAGTTTGAGAAAGGACAACGTTTTTAAGAAGTTTGCTGGCCCTGCTCCGACTGCTGCGACCTACACTATGGCTGCAGCACCTGCAGCGAACGCCACGCCAGGCTCGCAACCAGAGCCAACAGCAACGAAACAGCCTGCAGTCCCTGTGCATTTGCCTGGGTCTGCTACGAAATAACGACTTTTGGAAGACGTGCGCCATTGAACATTCTTTAGGAGGAAGGCATCTGGCGTTTTTGGACGTCATCGGATATGATTGATGGTTTGTGATGGTTTGCTTTAGTACATGAGATACCCCCATAAGCGTGCTTTACTTCAAGAGATACCTTTATGAACTTTCCAGCTAGCGAGTCATGTCTAGTTCATGCAAAGATGGAACATCAATTACGAGATGTTCCTTATTCATACATGATCCAAATCATAACAAAATAGATTTTGGCAACATCTTTCCTCGTGGCATATCGTTCCTGCCTTCCTCTACTATCATCACTGTATTCTTATGGCCTATTCGCCGCTTGTTACCCTTCAATGATGAACGACGATAACACGGCGCCTTGTCGGCTGGTTGGGCAGAGGTAGACTCCACACCGCATCCGGCTTCTAGCCTTTCATTGCACATTTTCACCTGAAAGAATATGGACAAACTATTGGCAATCCACACCAAGCCTCCTTTGTCTAGCTTCGAGACAACACTCGATAATCGTGACCACAGCTATCAATCTACGCACGGTAGCCAAGCAGCAGATTCTTTCGGCATCTACACATGGACCGAGCCATGAGGTGGTGCTCCTTTGTCATTTCCACAACAAGCTCATGCCAATGCCTAATATTCCCTATTCCGTGCATTTTCGATGTGAGTCTAGCCATTTTCCAAGCACTGAATCTCCGGATGAGTATGTGGCCAAGGCTCTTGCCTCCTTCTGGGCCCATACGACACGTGGCTGACTATCTCTCTTGTCCACAGATACTTCTATAAAGACCCCAACTTTGCTCGTCCCAAGTCTTCCTTCCCAAGTCCTCTCAAGACCTCGAAGAGACTTCCGAAGCAGCCCACTGACGCTTCCAGCAGCCAAGAAAAGGTCTCCCTAAAAGACCAACTCAATTTCAGGATGCATATCTCCACCCCCCTCACTATTTTCGCCTTCGCAAGCTCCGCCCTAGCCGGCTGGCTCGACGACATCGTCGGCGTGCCCTCCTGCGCCAAAAACTGCGCCAAAACCCTCCCTGCAGGCTGCGGCGCCGACCCCACCTGTGTCTGCAAGAACAAAGACTGGATGAACACAGCCCAATGCTGCATCGCGGCCGTCTGCTCCCCCTCCGACGTCCTCATCACGCAGCAATTCGCGTCCCAGCTCTGCTTCTACGTCAACGCGCCCCCTCAGGCGCCCACCAACTGCCCCAAGGCCACCACGTTGTCTTCCCAGCTGACGATTCCCACCGCTGCCCCGGGTGCGTACCCCGCCAAGGCTGGCGCGTACACTTATCAAGGCTGCTACAAGCCTGGAGGGAATAATGCGGTTATCTATGGGGTTAGCTATCTGGATGAGGCGAAGATGACGCAGGAATACTGCTTGGGGATCTGTGCGAAGGATAAGTATACCTACATGGGTTTGGCGAATGGGCATCGCTGTTTCTGCGGCAATGGGGTTTTGGAGAAGACGGCTGTCAAGCAGAGCAATGATGCGCTTTGTCAGACAAAGTGTATTGGGAATACGAAACAGTTGTGTGGTGGAGATAACTATATGGCGGTTTTCAAGACGTGAGTTGTGGCGGTTGGGGAGAACTTGGGATGGCAAGCTGATGACAATTGTTTGTGCAGGGACGATGGGACTTGATGGGTTGGTTGTCTTTGAATTCTCAATTATTTGCATGTCATGTTGGTCTATGTCTATTGGTTGGCTATCAAATGAAGCAGACGTTGCAAGATCATCCTCGCATGCATTGATTCAATTTTCCATTATCGCTTTTCTCCCTCAAATCAGCAAACTGGCAAACCATCTGACCTTGTTCTCTGGCAAATTCCTTTCTTCAATGAACCTGACGTTTCCCCGCCCATCCTTTGTCTCTAGTCCCCTGATGTTTCTCTTTCATTCCTCGCAACCATCTGGTTTGCTACCTATGCCCTCAACACATCTCGGTATCGACCGGCTCCTGAATATCTTCCCTTCATTCCTCGCAACCATTTGGTTTGCTCCATGACCCTTCAACCTAGCTCGATACCGACCAGCTCCCATGAATTTATTCCTTTCATTGAGGCAACAAAAGTATCCTCCTTTTCTGCAAACAATTTGATTCGACGCCCCACTCGATTCTTCCCACTCCCATTGCTCAACCATTCCTTGTGTGTCTCCCCAACCAGTACATGTCCATCAGTGGCGGACACAGCCTTGACGCCAATTTCCCTACGTAGAGCACTCCCTGCTTGAAACATCGGCGGAGGCATGTCAATGAAGACAGCCTACAACGCCTTCTCCCTACATGTTCACTCCAGTACACTACTTCAGAACGGAGGCATGTCATTTGATGAGACAGCCTACAACGCTCGATCCGGACGAGTCACTCCACGTTGGTGTTCAAGGCGGAGGCGTGTCGTGAGACAGCCTGCAACGCCTGATCCTAACGCCTGAGCTCCATCAAGGGTCTGAAGCGGAGGATGCCCAATTATGGGCAACCTGCAACGCTACTTCACCTGTATGGAATCGCCGCGTGGAAATGAAGCGGGATAGTGATGTGTGACAACCATTGACGCTGATTTGATGAGAGAGCGAATTGGCTTGTGTTTGGTGCGTTTGTCGGATGGCTGGAAGAGTGTCGTGCTCGTGGCGGGATGCTGGCCGTCGTAATCTTCTTGGATCCGGACTCTACTTTTTTCCTCCCCGCCTCGATGATGGAGGTTTCGCGATCTTGCCGGATATCTTTGGGTTGGGTTTGATAGTAGTTGAGGTTTCTTGAATTGCCTTTTCCTGGAGTCTCTTGCTCCTCCTCAGATTGTCGTCAGGCGGAGGATCCTTCGGTGGAACACGGCGTTTCTTATTTCCACTTGTCTTTGAGCTCCTACCCGGGGAATTATCAGATCGGGGGTCTTTTGGTGGAACACGGCGTTTCTGGTTTCCACGTGTCTTCGCATTGACTGTCTGCGCGTCGTTTTTACTGACTTGAGGCTTTTTTGTAGCAGTTGACGAGGAACGTAAATTGTAGGTACGTGAAAATACTTCTTGAGTGGTCTGTTTCTTGATCGTTTTCGAATCAATAACAGTACCTTGTGGAACAGAGTAGGACCTCAGACGAGCTTGGTTCGGCTGCTCAGGAGCTTTTCTGGGAATTCGTACAACAACACTAGGTCTCTGCTGTTTTCTATTCTTCGCCTCATCCACCCGCTTTTGTGTCTCAATGCGGTCAACATGCTCTGCGTTGTTCAAACGAGGTTGTTTGTTGACACGCTCCGCAGCAAGTTCTGGAGAGTCTAGGCGAAGGGACCCATCATTACGTGACTGTAGATTGTCGTCGTCCGCTTTACGCTTTCGATTTTCTGTCGAAAGAGAGGCGAGAGACGGAGGTGGACGGCTCGGAGGCTCAATATCATCATCCATCGCGTCTTTGATCGAATAAATGCATCTCCGCTTGCTTGGTGGTGTCTCAAGAGGTGGATCCGTGGTTTTGCGCTTTCTATTTCGTAGAACGATTCTCTCGATTGATTGCGAACGGCTCACATATGAACGAACAACTCTGAGATTCTTATGGTCTTGAGGCTTGCTTTGTGCTCTGGAAAGTCGCTTCAGAGGTATGATGGTCGACTTAGCAAGTTTTGCCTGCTTCTCAGCGATTGCTGACTGCTTCTTAATAAGTGCTTCCTCATCAAGTCCGGCCTCTTCTTCTCTCTTACGCTGATAAAACGGAATTTTTGCAATTTCCGCTTTGAGATTATCGTAACCCTCTTGAAATTCGTTCAATAATACTTCAGCGAGCTCAAGACGCTCCTTTGCTTTCCTCTCATACTTTTGACAGCTCTCTATTTCATAGAGAAGCTCGTGGTTTGCCAGGAAGCCGCTGTCTTTTTCAAGCTCTGCTTTGAAAAAGTTTGTGCATTTCTGCCAACATCTTATTTCCCGAATCAGGACCTTGATGGATTTCGATTGACTGATAATACTCTCCATCCAAATGTTCAGCACTTTGTCCGATTGCTGCGACAAGGGCGCACTCCCGATTTCAGTCTCGTTATTTGCACGAAGTTTCTTGTTTACACTGTCCTTGGCTTGCGAAAAATGCCAAAGTACATTCACCAAATGGGACATCCGAATCTCTTGATCGAAGAGATCATCCAAAGGGTCACTCAAAGGTCTCCCACTCATAGACCAGGCCGATTGGCCACATGCATCTCTAATCTGTGTCTTTAAATTCATGAAATCGTGAACATGTTGTTTCTTGAAGTTGGTGAAATTCCTGGGCAGAGACTTGAGTGCTTCTTTGAAGATTTGCTTGAATTCGCTCTCAACCCTTGTCAATTCATCGCACGCAGCTAGCCAACCAGGCCATTGCTCAACAGTAAGCCTGAGATTCCTATAGCAAGCTACACGTGACCAATGATCGATTTTGTCGCTATCGTCGGTCTCTCTGGATTCCATGAACTCAATCCTCGCGACACAAGCATCGACCCTGAGCTGCGCGGCCGCAACTTGTTGCTTATGATATTGATAGTAGGCTCGCCAGGTCCTATTCTCTTTCACTTGGGATTTTATGTTTCGGTCACCAACATTACGCCGGTCGTCAGCTGTGACTTTGTGCATGAACGAGCCTTCAGGGGCGCCATCCAGCTCCTTCAGGAAAGATTCCCAACTCTCCAGCTCTTTTGCGAATTTCATCTGTTCCCTACGCATGTGCTCTCCCATATTGACCTTTCGGTATCTTCCGTTGCTCTGTAGATAGGACATTGCATCTTCCTGTACTCCACGGGATGGCCTACCACCAAGAGCCTTGAGTTTCTCGACCGATTCGTGAGCCGCGGCTCTATCATGGGAAATTCCTTCCTCTTCTGTGAGAGTCCTGACACCTGTAGGGGCCTGTTGGGGTGAGTCGATAAGCGGAATTCTTTCTCGATGTGGTTGTCCTGCACGTTGCCAGAGTCTGAAGCGTGACTTTTGTCAGTGGGGTTCAAGTTTCGAAGGATGAACATGAGGTACCTTAGCTTCTCGTCGACGCGTCCTAGGTCGAAGAGCATGAGATAAGCGTCGTTTTGCAGTTGCGCATCACTCAGGCTTTGTTCACTCTCCATCACGACTTGTGCTCGATGGTATCAATGAAGTAGTTCAAGAAGATCAGGTAGTTGGTAGAAAAGCGAAGTGTATGGAAGATGAGGAATTTGCCTCTGAAAAATAGGTAAACACTAGTCAGTAACACTGACCACTCAGAGTATTTCGTCACGTGTGTCATGACACGTTGTACGACGTGATTCACATCAACACACCCCGCACTGTGAATGTGTTGTGGCAAAGGGGCAAATGGAACAAAAGATATCAACTTTCAATTCTTCCTTCCCAACCTACATCTCTCAAGACTCAAATTATTCTTTAGTCAACCTTATCTCTTCTGACCGTGACTTGTCAATCGATTTGAAGCTTTCACACAGTAACATGACGACAGCCAAAGAATCTATCGTGGTTCTTCTGCAGCCGGTCAGCGACAATGCCATAGCGGCATTCAGGAGAAACGAGAATACGATTCATTATAAGTCAGGCATTGCTGACCCTCATGGCTTTATCCAATTGGATCTCAGTATCTCTCCGAAACAGAAGTGTAATGGCTGGGTCTTTGGAGCAGACTCGAATGTGTACGTCCTTTTTTGTTTGCGTGCGCTCTTCCGCTGACCAAAACTCTTTCGGTAGGTGCGACGTTACAATCGGTAGACAGCCCCCTTTTCTATGTGATAGACTCTGACTCTAAGGCTATCAAATGAGTATCACTCCTGTCCCCGAAAGAATTGAAACTAATACCCCCGGGTGTCAGCGTCCACAGGTTCGACAATCAGCAATGTAGCATTCCACGTCGGGGTCACAGATACAGGATTGATAGTCATGGACTCAAAAAACAACAGTGCCATTGCGGTGACTTACGAACATAAGACTGTTGAACGCGGGCGTGATTTTCGATGGGCTCTTTTCCCGGAGATCACGAAAACGAACGTGAAGCTTGACCAAGGTCTTTTTGAATTCAACTTTGTCCTTCCAGATCGTGGGACGACAAATGAAGAATGGGCGAGTCGTTGTAGCGAATACATATCAGACATGGAACTTGGCTTACCGATGGGCTTGCGGACTACGCTAGCAACGCAGGTGCTCACCCAAGCACAACCAAGAATAGTTGGTCCTGGCTTTGAAACGTTCGCGACTCTTGGTCGAGGCAAATATGGCATAGTCCGTCTCGTAAAGAATGTGTCGACAGGAGCAATTTATGCCTGCAAGTTTTTTCATCAGGTTCTTAGAGGGGCCGAGTCGTATGATATCGCCTGTAAGCGGGAGATCTCCATGCTCAAGAACTACTGCAACCACGTAAGTCGCACTGCAGTGATATCAACAGGGAAAATGGCTGACGATCCGTCGCAGGAGAAAATCATCCAGTATAGACATAATTCTTGCCTTGATGGATTCCATCACTTGATCATGCCTTTGATGGAAGGCGGAACCGTAGCTGAACAACAGAAGACAAAAGCCTATACTTACTGGGAGACATCAGCCATTCTTCAGCAGTGCCTAGAAGGTTTAAAGTACCTTCATGGAAATGACATTGTCCACAGGTAAGACCACTTCTGCTGTCATGACTAGTGTTTCAGTGCTGATTGTTGTAATAGGAACATCAACCCCCACAACATCCTCGTCGACAGCGGAAACCGAGCACGTGTGAAGATTGGTGGCTTCAGCCTAGCAAAGCACGGTCAAAGCTTTTCAACACCACCAGAAGGATCTGTGCGATACAGAGCTCCTGAGCAGTGGGATGGACCGGACGACGCAAAAAATAGACCCGTCGTGGATGTCTGGGCCCTTGGCCTGGTCATCTCAGATCTAGCAGGCTTTAGTCCCGAGACACCCACCATCATCAATGGACCAGAATACTGCCAGCTGATAGTGGATACGATGTTAGCATGGCAGAGGAGTCCTAAACTCGTGGACGGTGCTTGGGAGGAGCACATAGCCGATCCAGATAATTATACTGTACTGGAATTGGTCTACGACTGTCTTCTATACATGCTGGAACGGAACCCAGGCGAAAGATACTCTACCACCGAGATGTTTCAACGGACAAGGCTTATGGAAATATTCTCCAAGTGGCCGGAAAACGTTCTTGAGCTCCAAAATGACGTCTGGGCCATTCAAGCTGGGGATCTCGATTCTTAGGTCAAGCAATCTTGAGCACTTGATTGGCTTTACGCTCGTGGATTGGAAACTAGGGACGGTAGGATGAGTCCAGATATACTCTGAAAAGTGGTGCGAGATACCAATTTGATCGCCGATTGAGGAAATCTTAGTTCTTGAAGCTTTCAAATATACACTTTTGGAGATCAACTAAGTCCGCAAGATAGGCTTAAAGCCGATGATCTAACCTGGGATAGTCTAGCTCAGTATCTGAAAAGCTCAATAGAAATGCCATTTGACAATTTCGTCTTCGCCTGCAATTCCACAATGTCAGAGAGAAAGCGGAAGAGACATTCCCACGAACGCAATGAAAGCCCAACGAAACGAGTAGCAGTTCGTTCTTCGAAAGATGCCGTACGAATATCACTCCTCGAAGACGAACCGCTGTGGAAGCCAATTCTAGGTCCCATAACATCTCCCACAGCGACCATCAAGAGCTTACCATTGCCCAGCTTCTGCTCCCGGCTTATGCCTTTCTAATGCCTCGTCTTTCAAACCCTACCGCAAATCAGATTCAAGCTCCAATGACCTTCTCCTTCATTCCGAAGCGCACCCAGCCCTTGACTATGTCGCTCACACAAACCCCTCGTCTCCCTCCAGCGAGAACCTCAAACATTATATTGGGATCTACAACCCGCACGCAACCTCTCTCAAGATTGTCCCTGCAAGCCACATGACTGTGCGCACCACCCTCAAAACCAAGCGACGCCTACCAACCAGAAACACCTCCAACTCGGACTCAGACTCAGAACCTCTACCCCCATCAGACCGTCGCGCTCTCGCTGAAGCCTTCGGCACGAAGAAGGCTCGGAAAAGGCTTCAAGATCAGACCGAGAACGCCATCTCACCCTCCAAATCCATCAGACCAAACCAGCCCCTCGATCCTCTCGCCTCGGCCGTCCTATCCACCATGCCCACCTCCAACCCCTCCCGAGCCAAAACAGCAGAAGAAGCAGCGTCCTCCAAATCAATCCCCAAACCCAACCTCTCCGCCTCCTCCCCATCAGAGGCCTATCCCATTAGCACCCTCGTAGGCAACACCGACAACCTCTCCAACATCCGCATTCAATCTCTCCTCGACTCCGTCGCCGCCTCCGCCTCCGTCCAGATAAACAGCCACTTCCTCGGCCCCCTCCTCGTAAAAGCCGCCCAAGCTCGCGACATCCGCGCCTGCCGCCTCCTGAAATACACCCTCCTCCTAATCGAGCTCTACAAAATCATCATCACGCCTCCCCCAGGCAGACCCGCAAAACCGCACGCGCCGAAACGTCTCCCCCGCCTCGATACCAACGTCATGAAACCCCTGCTCGAAGCGTACACCGGCCCTCTCGTCGACGCTACCGCAATACGCTTCACGGAGAACGCCGCCGGATGTGGGGGTAATGTGACGAAATGGCATCTCGATCTTTTGGTCACGCATATCCTAGCGCTGAGCTTGCATGTGGCGACCCCGCCGTTTGTGGTGGATACGTGGCTATTGCAGAAGGATTTAGTGATGGATGCGCCGACGATTGGGACGATGTTTAAGGAGCTGGGGTGTGAGGTTAAGGCGATGGGAAAGAGTGAGATGGAGGGGCGGAAGCTGAGTAGAGCGGAAGGGGGATTGAGGAGGTTGGTGAAGTTAAAGGTGCCTTTGACTTTTCCGGGTGTGAAAATTGGTGGGGGGAGGAGAGGGATGGGGAGATAGATTGGTCGGGAAGAGCATGAGAGTGGATGTTGCGAAAGGTGGTATGGATTTGACGACTGATAATCATTCTAGCGAGGCGCTGGTGGACAAACAAAAGTGATACCTTGAATGAGAAATGTGGATGGTAACTTATTCTTGTGAAGATGGCACAATATTTTGATAAACCCAATTTCGATGCTATTTCCAACGACATCCGCAATTTCGCTATAGCTCTTTTCTCAAGCAGCAGCAGCCACCATCTTCGGCCCCATCCCCACCTCATCAATTGCCCCCTCAATCTCCTTCCTCTCCTCATGCACCTCCACCTCCCTCCTCCCCACCACATCCTTCAACCCCAACTGCTCATCCGTCCAAAGCGTCTCGATCTCCTCTTGCCCTTCAACACCCACCCCAACAAACCCCCCGTCAGCTCTCCAATCCTCCGTCTTCTTTATGCCAAGCTTCTCCCAAACATCCACCAGCGCCCCTACCAACTCCCTCTGATACTTCCCTACATGCCCCGGCGTAGGCGTGAATCTCAATCTCTCCTCCCCTTCGGCACAGTCGGATAATTAATCGCTTGCACATAGATCCCATGATTCTTCAACAACAAATCACTAGCTTGTTTCGCGACTTCGGCGTTGCCAACGAGGACAGGGATGATATGGCTTGGATTCGGCATCACAGGGATGCCCTGCTCGACGAGCGCGGCGCGTGTGGCGCGAGTGTGGAGTTGTTGCAGCCTTCTGTCCTCCGAGTGGCGCTTCTGATACTCGATGGCGGTCTTTGCGCCGGCCATGGTTGCTGGGGGTAGGGAAGTCGTGAAGATGAAGCCCGGTGCGAGGGAGCGGATGGTGTCGACCATGGCGGCGCTACCGGCGATGTAACCGCCTACGCAGCCGTAGGCTTTTCCAAGGGTGCCGGTGATAATGTCGATGCGGGACATGATTGTGTTTTCTGGTTTGCCCTGGGCGTGAGCTTCAAAGTCGAGGTGTTCGGCTACGCCGGCACCGTTTGGCCCATACATGCCGACTGCATGGACTTCGTCGAGAAAGGTTAGGGCGCCATATTTGTCGGCCAAGTCGCAGATTTCGGCGATAGGTCCTATGGAGCCGCACATGCTATAGACGGATTCAAAGGCGATGATTTTAGGGACGTTGGGGGGCAGAGAGGCGAGTTTTGTCTCAAGATCGTGCAGGTCATTATGTTTGAAGACCATTTTCTTCGCACCGCTGTGGCGGATGCCCTGAATCATTGAGGCGTGGTTCATGCTGTCACTCAGGATGACGCAGTCCGGAAGCTTAGAGCCCAAAGTCGCTAGAGTAGCGTCATTGGCAACATAGCAGGACGAGAACACCAAAGCAGATTCTTGTGCGTGCAAATTGGCGATTGTAGACTCAAGCGCCACAGCATGCTGATTATGTCCAGAGATGTTGCGAGTGCCACCAGCACCGGAGCCATAGGTGTCTAGAGTTTCATGCATTGTCTTCAGCACCTCCGGATTACGTCCCATACCCAGATAGTCATTAGAGCACCAGACAGTCACCCGCTTCTCCTTGTCTGACATATGCGCCTGTGGGAACTCACGAGCAAGGCGGTTAATGTTGTTAAAGTAGCGATATGATCTATCTTTGTGTTTCTTATCCAACTCATTCTGGTAGAAACCCTCGTAGTTGAATTTACTGGTAGTAGGAGCAGCAGGCTTGGGGCCAGGAATGGCGACGTCTTGAGCGCGAAGTGCAGGCTTCACAGCGTCGGACACAGGTACTGATGTATGTCAGGAGCCATTGATGCGAAATCCACTGGGAACCTACCCTGCTCGTTGCGTTTCAACATTTCTTGAGCAACGCTTGCGTAGTGGGGCCTCGTAGTGTGCATCTTTGCTTTTCCACTGTACGCCTTTGTTCCCCCAAAGACACCATTCAACGCGTGGCCACCAGCTTTGCTTGCCTGAACAGCCATAGCCTTGCCCATGATAGGGCAACGGCGGGCGAGGACCTGTAGGTTGGAGATAGTCCCACCACCAGGTGAGGCATGATGGGGAGTGGTTGCCGTAGACAGTGATCGCAGCGTGGCGGGCGAGGTTTTGTTAAGGAAGGGGCACATTGAGCGCGATTGTCGTAGCAGAGCGTCCATGATGGTAGGCCAGTTGAATGGTCTGAGGGAATGAATGAAAGAAGGGTTGGGAAAGATGGAGAAGGGGAAGCAGAAGAGTCAGCCTTTACGAACAGTTCACACACCGCCCTCTCCTTCTTTTTCAGGTGATGGCGTAACTTCCAATTGTGCACCGACCCCATAAATCGAAGCCACTTATGCACCCTTATGCATTGATTTGCATTACTTATGCACCCCATCGGATGACAGATGCGCCCACTAACCGCTTACGGAATGCTGACCACCATTTGTGACCAATTAGCGCTCTGCCGATTGCGGATTACGCTTCTTCAGCCAAGCATCATCCCACCACAGCCGGTGACCGGATGATTGACTTTCTGTACCTGAACATTCTTGCAAGACGAGGACTTGGAGAGAATGATTCGAACATCAATTCATTCAATCGACGTAGTTCTTTTCTGACCGCCTCTATCATACACCCTAAGGCGACGTGGATATTACACGTCCACAGACATCAAGACAAGAATGCTTTTATGCAATGACATCCCATGATCGTACTCCTTTCGCTTCCTCCAACTCAATAACCCACCAGTATGTTTGCTGAGCCTTCTCCGCTTGTCCACTCTCTTCATGCACACGAGCCATTGCGAACCAGGCGTCGGTGCTGTCCCATCCCTGGCCCGATTTGGTCAACATGGAGAGCATTCCATATGCTCGATCGCGCGCCGCCAGCCGGTTAAGCGTATCTTCTGACGTGTCTATATTTACACTAGTGTCTGGTGCCGTCGTGTATGGAAGAGACCCAAGGGTCGGTATGACGGGGGGTGGTTCCAGTCCTTTCGGTTTCGCCGGCTTGTTTGGAGGAGTAGCATATTGGTCGAGCAGAATATTCGAGAGGCTGGCTGTAGCAACAAGGTGGTCTCCATCATTACTCAAGGCCATCTCGTAGCTGTCAACCGCTTTTGCGGTATTGTCCTGAGCCTCCCAAAGCGCCCCTTGTTCGGCGCATACGTCGCCCCAGAGCTGCCCGCAAGACTTGTATCCGCCGTAGCCTGGGCTGGTATATGTCTCTGCGCTCATACCTTCATTTTCTGCTATTGACTTCTCAACTGCCTTGACTTGCTCTCTAGCCTCATTGATGGCCTTTTGACACTCTTGATACATCGATGCTCGACGATAAACCCCGGACATGAACAGCCATATCCTGCAAAGCAAAGCCCGTGCTTGACGAGCTTGTATACTAGGAGTGTAATGAGGTTCTGGGATCTCGATCAGAGGCATCAAGCTAGTAGTAGGCCTAGACCCCGAGGAAGAGGGTGGGTTGGGCAAGATTGGATTGGAGTTGGGGTTTGTCTTATTCATATTTTCCGCGGCTGACGGAATTGTGTACAATGGATGGGAATGGTCAGCACTCGCTATTGGAGCTGAGTCTTTGGACTGCTGATTGTGCGACATTGCTACCCCAATTTGATCAGGTGAATACTGCGTGGTTTCAACATCACTTCCTTGGATCGATGGATCCTGGGAGTCGGATTGCATAGACTGGTCCTGATCTGGGTTGATGGGAAGATTCAAATGTTTTGTGTCATGTGACTTCGCGGGTGGCGGCATTGATGGACTGCTTGCACGGCTTTTACGCACGCTGTTGAGACTCCTTCGACTAGGTCGTTTTTTCAACTTGTTCGATTCATGTCGCCCGAGAAAACCTTGATGGTGCTTTGGATTCTGAGGTAGAACGATGGTGTCGTCGGTCGTAATGGCAATAGCAGGTTTGGCGTCGCCATTTGCTATGGGTTTGGATGATCCTACAGAGCTAGTCACGGACTCATTGTCGGCAAGTCGATGTCGGAGTGGATTCTTCGGCAAATGCAGTATGCTTTGTCGGAAACTTCTTCGTGTCCCAGTTGTGCTTGGGGCTGGTGAGGAATCTCTTGTTTCTGGCTTCAGCAAATTCACATCGTCGTTTAATTTGAAGAGCCTAGAGTACAGTCCCAGCAGCTCAGTTACCTTGTTGACAAAGGATTCGGATTCACCCATAACTTCTAGCAGGGCGATGTGAGTCATTTTGAGTTCGATTATATTTCGTTTCTCCACAAATCCCAAGTCAGGTGGCAAGTCAAGCGACCTCAAGTCTCCGGAGAGCACTTTTTTGCCACCGTACGGATCTACCGCGGCCTCACAAGAGGTCACTGCTGTTGAAAAGTCTTGTCGCGCACTTAGCAGGAGAGCAACGAGGTGCCAACATTTGAGTAGAGTAACACGATTTGGGAAGTCCGAGTCTCCCTCGGAAGATGTGCCATCAACCATTGCGGGTTTTGACATGCCGAGATCGAGATGCTTGCCAATAGTGATTGCTTGCTTTACAGTGATCATGGCATCTTCTAATTTACGCGTTTGCGCAAGAACATAAGCAAGCGAGTATAGATGCTCGACATTGTCCTCGTCACCATATTCTGACCTGAGAGCTGACCTGTATGCTGATATTGCTGACTCTTGCAGTTTTGCCCGCGAGATTGAGTCGTACGTCAGTAATGCCCAGCATCGTCTGCTCAAGCCAATTGCAGCGTAGGCTCGCGCCATGATCTTCGTAGGTATTGACAAACTGGCTCTTTTAGGCTTATCAACCAAATCCACAGGCGTGTCCTCAGCGCTACTTTCAACCTGAATGTCCTCATCTGATTGTGCACTTACGAGCCAGTCTTCAATCAAATGTACCAAGTCCTGAGCCTGCTCGACGTCTTTTCTTTTGCCATACGTACATAGCATTTCGACTCCGCACACTATCGTACAAAGTGCTGTGGCGTCATCATCAAGGCTAATATTACGCTCCCCTGATTTCTTTTGCTTTGCTTTGCCCTTTTTGATAATCTCAAGATACGAATTAAGAGCTTTGCTCGCTAGCGCAAACTCAGATAGAGCTGCGTGTACGATAAAAAGGTACCTCAATATTTTGGTAGAGTGGAAGCTGCGGCTTGCCATCTTGTAAAGCGTCTGGTCATTGTTTCGTTAATCGCGATTCTTTTTCTTGGGGAAAAACATTCGCAGAGCTAGCCGGCGGCTTACTTACATCAAGAATACCTTTGCCAAGGACTATTGATCCTCCAGGACGAAGATCCTCGTTCGTCCATGCTGAACCAAGCAAGGTTCTCCAATTCCTCATCACGTGATCAGCCCAAGACTCGATTTCTGGAGTCACCTCATCCGCACTAGGAAATTGTCTCTCATTAAGCAACATAGTCTGATAGATTGCCTCGATACGCTTCAGCTCTATGGCAGGCTGCAATCGAGAATCAAAGACTGACGCAGCAACATGTGATCGTACGAGTATTGACAATGTCTCGTAGTAGCCTTTCCATATCAATGTTCGCTCGTGAGACACTTCTTGCCCACCAGCTGGAGCCGGCCGAGAGTCCCAGAATTGTGACCATGCTCGATATGGCTTAAGAATGGCTGTCGGCTTGAAGAGAGATCCTTCTGCTAACAGATCTTGCGAATTGTGTGCATTCTGCGACACGTAGCTGCTAGATAATGTACAATATCGAGCTAACAGCCTTTCGCTCCAACATTGCCACTCTGGTGCCAGACTCACGCTTGAATCAACGCTTAATACATAGGGCAATATGTTTTCGTAGCTCTGGACAGCATCTTTCTTTCTGCTCTTAGTCTCAAGTGCGAGACCTGCCGTGGTAAGCACAGCCAAACGCAAGCTGGGTTGAGGACCGTACTTTACCTCGGAAGAAGGCTGCCCGAACAACGCAGACATACGTGATTTTCTGTGCGAATTTTCCATCCTCTGATAATGCTTTTAGGAGTGTGTCCAAATCTTGAGGTAGGACTGCAAGGACAGCTTGATGATCATCGAGGGATATGTCTATCCATGCTGCGCAGACCCTTGCCTGGAATGCATCTTCTCGCCATTCATTCTCCTTTTCTGAGGCATCTTTCAATACAGCTTTCGCTTCATGTAAAGCGTTCGTATTCCCGGAGCTCGCTACCGCAGGACGTTTAGGATTGAAGGAGGAGACGCGGTATTCCGTCTGGGACGTGAGCACCAAGCCTTGACAATCATTAGCGCTAGAGTTGTGTATAACAAGTATTAATGGTTGTATGAGCTCACATCTGCGCTGTGGTGCGTGTTTTGCGACCTTTCTTGTGAGTTCAGGGATCTCCGACCAACGGCCATTGCAACGAGCAGCGTCAAGAAGTTCAGCGTAATGCGTAGCCTTCCCCGACTCCCTATGCTTCCAAATTGGTCAGCTGTAGCGATCATCTACATATCGGCAACTCACGCTTAGCATGTCGCCATGGGTGCTACTATCGTTATTGTTGTAGACAGAATGCGCGACGGGAAGTTGGTGGCTGTTGGAATGAAAGACACCGGTATTTTTCATGCACGCTAGTAAGATAAATCCTGGGGGCCAAAAAGGTTGCCCAGCCAGTCTGGTGAATAATGTCTGCCTATCCACTATATACATACATGCAGCAGTGCTGCGCAATCGTCATCAGGAGTCTACCAACGACTCGGGTCTTACCAGCGCTATGCTTATACAGACAATGGCTTGCAAAATGCCGCCAATAAGAAGATTCCATGAAAATTAGTACCTCACTTTGCTTTGTAGATCTTCTTCTTCTTCCCCAACGGTCCTAACGTCCGTCGTGAAACTGCCACTGGGGGTGGTGGCTGATTTGAGAACAATGCTACGAGACCATTCGGATGTCCATACTGAAAGTAAATCTCGAAATGCAAATTGACGGCTTTTGTAGGGTTGAGTGTCATGGTGACTGTCTTGTTCTTAGGCTGGCTGTAGCCTAGCTTATCATAATGATTACTGTTGGGCGCGGCCGTCCAAGCTATGACTGAGGTGATGGCGACGTTGGCTGACATGCTGAAGAAGTATGTGACTCCTGCAGCAATTGGGACCGTTGGGGTATTGGTATCAGCACCGCCCTCCCAGTCGCTGAATGTGAATTGAGCAATCGTAGAGCAAGTCCCATTGGGCGCAACTCTGCGATGCAAGCCATTTCCTTTCGCAGGGATCTTGAATTGATGATGAAGCGAACGTCGGCGTCTTGATGCCTTTGCAGGAGCTGCGAGCGCGCCGTTGGCCCACAGATTGACTGGAGTCGCTGGGCAAACGCTCGCATCGTGATCTGGTGGATAGGTGAGATCCGCGTATGGGCCAAGCGTGGGACTTCCTCCTATTGCCTGACGCGTTTCCAGCCAGGGTTTGAAATACGGTACTGCTGTTACATAAACCATCAGAGTTGCTATGATGAATGCAAATGAGGAAATAGGCATAGCGATAAGAAGATGATTTGCCGCATGTTCAGCTGCTGTTTCTTCAGCTGACAAGGTACATTCGATGAGTCGAGAGTGAGATTATTATCATGGGAAAGAGAGAAACGCATGCGCGGATGCAGGCAGGAAAATGGAAGCGCCGTAAAGCTTTTGTTGTAAGCAGGAAGCGGGCGACGGCAATTGAGCTACGTAATCTGTGGCTATCAGTCCAGGCTTAGCAAGCAACGGCAGCAGTTTCGGCTGTGATCCGAAAAGCAAGAGGGATGCATGAGTGTCGGGCGATGAGACTCCGCGATGTATTGGTGCGCTCCAATGTTCGTGGGATGCAGTCGCATGCGAGAAACGAAACATGGTGAGGGAGAGATCGCTGCCCTTAACTAAAAATACTCAAAATACGGTGTCTAGGCGCGTAAAAGGATAGCCGCGGTTACCGTGTGTATCGAAACTTTAAAATCAATATTCCGGGACGATCTTCGATTTCTCCAGCACAACCCTATCAACCCTATCAACCCCTGCGCCGCCATGCGTCTTGTGCCAGCCTCAGGCGCACTCATCTTTTCTCCGACTGCAGCCCGTGTTGGCCGTCTTGACTGATGGTCAGACTGTTGGCAGACACCACAAGACCGTTTCCTGGACCGCATCTGAATCAAGTGGCTCGCTTAGTCTGGCACACCAAGGCATGACTGACTCGTGGAGACCCTCGAGTTTCATCCCACTCCGTTTGCTTACACACCGGCTTGCAAGTACACCTGATTGGCAGCTCCCCCACGTCGTTCCGATTTTGGCCGGATACGTTAGGGAATGTAGCACACCTAGGTCTGCCTTGCCTGAGGCTAGCACTCGAAACAATGCCGAGGAAACAGTCCTGATCCATCAATTCAAAACTCAAGTCTCGGCCTTCCTTCAAGGCAAAACCAACAACGGCAAGTTCACGGCGATTGTGCTGATCAAGACCCTGGTCGAAGCCGCCGGTCACGATGTCTTGCATGAGACGATTCCGTGGGTACGGCATCTACTTGTCTTGTTCAAGGTAAGCCGGTCTACGTCTTCCTGAGGCATACACTAGAAGCTCTGTTCATAGGGTCAAGCCGACATATTTGGAAGTTTTGCTGACGCACTTTATAGAGGCCAGGACCGAAGAGCACCAAGAAACTTACAATTATCACATTAACTAGGATATTTCTACTCACCCAGGGACAAGCGACCCTTATTCGAGAGCTGACAACACCTTCTCTGCCAGATTTTATTGCGGCTTGTATAAGCCTGACCAAAGTTCCCGGTGTCAATGTCTCATATTACGACGCTGGTGGAGGGTTGATCAACACCGTCCTACAAGCTTTCGTGCAGCTCATTTCGCATCATCCGGCCGTGTTTCGCCCATTCTCACCACAGATCCAGACTTTGGTGGGACCCCTCCTTGCACCAACTATTCCAAAGGATTTCTCTAGGCATAACAATGTTTTGAGCCAGTCATCGCTATCTGCCAATGCTCGGCGCCTTTTTGTATTACTCCATTTGACGGCACCAAGGAATGCATGTGGAGAAGCATGGACGTCCGCACTGCGCCAGACGATGTTATCTTTGCATCGTACGGCAGACTTAGTCTTTCGTGCACTAGTTGAAGACGGACAGCAGGGGCGCGGCAATTCTAGCAGTAGTCGAAATGTGGCTTCGCTCAACCAGGAAGTAGCAGATGAGAGTCCCGAACCTCTTCCACTTCTCGGGTGGGCTGGAATCAATGCAGGCATAGCGCGGCTGAATGGATTGATACTCCTAATCCAATCATTTCTCTCCACATCTACATCCACAACCGTCAATATTCTCGTCAGTGATATTTTGGGTGTCTTAGATCGGGTGACCTCAATGACTGCGCCTCGCAGTGACAAAGACAGACGAGTAAGGACAGAGATTAGCAGAGACGAACGTGAAAGCTTGTTCATGTCGCTACCGAGTCTACACATATCGACAATCAATGCACTTTCTACTTTTGTTACTAGACTGCAACATCAGTGCCTGCCAGTGGCGCAGACTATCTTGACTCAGATCCTCTGGATCTTCCAAGAGGAGCAGTCTGATCCCGAACTGCGACTGTCAAGCTACAATGCCGTGGCCGATGTGGTGTCTCTTCTCGGGGCATCCATTGCAAAATCTAACTTCCAAGCTCTCTCTGGTCTACTTCATTCGTGCTGCGAAGATCTTCTCCCCCCAGCTCACTCAGAGGCGAATGTGACGGTGCAAAACGGTGCGGGTGGCGCTTCTTTGAACCAATCACATCAAGGATCGACGGTCGCGCCGAATGGACTTCATCATATAACCCATACGTCTGCAAAAGTCCAGGAAGCTGCCGAAAACTTGGTGACTGCCGTGCTACGGAGAACGCCTGTTCATTGGCTAGATACACAATTGCGTGCACAGATCGACCGCACAATAGTACTGGCAGGGTGCAAGAATGCGATGTTAGCGAGTACAATTAATCCAGCAACACAGAATGGGAAAAATGGAGCAATTCTAAGTATCCTACCGTTGGTTGCACATCGATTTCCAATGTCTTCTCGTGTTGATACAATAATTCACCCTCAAATGCCTATAATCCACCACACTAGCGCAACAGGCAGCACTGATTTCGATGAGATGTCTCAAGACAGTGAAGAACATGAAGACGACTCAGGAACACAAAGATCAAACTTCCCAGATATTCCAATGAACTCTAATGGCGACGTGCCTAGCTTAAGACATGTTGATACTCGTGAATCCAGCCCTAATATTCTGCAGCCTAATTCTGGAGAGAATATGCCAGCCGCTGCACCATCAATCGCGGAAGATCCGGTTGCAGAAACACCCTTCATTTCGTATGTCACTGGGAAACGTGACCGGAGCATGGATGGGGACGCTAGCCTCGTCGATAACATGCATGACTTCCCTCGGACTGAGGCTGCTAAGAGACAACGTCACCATGGGTCAGATCATCTTCGATCTCAACCCAAAGAAAATCCTGATACTAATGGCAACACGACTGCTGACATCATGAATTATCATGAAACTTCGAGAGTTACACAAAAAGACATTTCGCTACCAGAAGAGCCTAGCATAGCTGAATCTCTTTCAAAGATGCAAGAAAATGCTCCGAGGGATGACATGAGTGATAGTGACGATAGCGAAATCCCTCCTCTCGACACTGGAATGGAACTCACCGATGACGAGGGCGAGGATGACGAGGAGTCCGGCGAAGATGATCAGCAGCAAGTCGAAGAGAAAAACAACAGCCTAGACGCGCCTTGATGGTACCTGTGCACCACAAGACCTCTTGGAATGGCATAACCAGACTCTTGTAAGATGTCATGGCTCAGAAAGCTAACCCACTCTGCCACCATTTGTCCGCTCTATGGAATCTAATCCAACTTCCACCCCAGAACCACCATCCTTTTCCCCGCAGCCCCCTGACGAGGCTTACGGGAACAGGCTCGTACAACCAAATGCCGACTGCTGCAAAATCATCAGCAACCAGCGGTCCGGTAATGTAAAACCACGTTGCCACGAATACTGCATTTCCAGCTTCTCGCGACCACCATGGCAACTTCTGAGTCATACCTAATGTCTTCAACCAGATACTCATAGCTCTTTGTCCCATCACTCCAAGGATCTGTAGGAGAAAGAACAACATCGAATTCAGCGGCTTGGTCGGTCCAAGTGACGTATAGCTAGCACAAGCATGCAACGCACCACTACAAGCAAAGGCCATGAATACCCTCAGCGCCTGTCCTTTCTTCGTCTTCTTCTCCCAACCTTGCCCAATTAATCGCGCAGCCGCCTCTCCGGCTTGTTCAAACCCAAAGCGAAAGAGCTGCTGCCACCATTGGCCCCACGCTCCCGCCAAACCTTTCTTGCTGAATGCTCGTACGGATCCGAAGTAGGGTGAGTATAGCCACGGTTGCGCGTGCTGATCGATTGCCTTTGGACTGAGCAAACCGACCATCACAAGAGGTGCCAGGAGGAAGATAGTCTGCAAGGATGCGTACACGAAGGAAACCGATAATAGTATGCGCGAAAGTCGGGGGCGTGGAAATGGTGACGGGGTGTTAGGGCCTAGGGAGAGGAAGTATGGATCTTCCATGCAAATAGACTTGAGGATGTCGAGGAGTAGCACCAAGCCGATGAATTCTGGTATTCGTTTTCGCAGGAGCTGTCTGCGACTTATGGTGGAAAATGAGGTTGGTGGACCGAATGGGCTGTTCTGTAGCTGAGATTGAATGTCTTGTGGTGGTGGAGTCATTCCGGAAATTTGATGGCTCCATCTTGGGCCGCGGAAGGAGGAGATGAGATCGAGTACCCAGTCAAGCCGGTGAAAGAAGTCAGCAGGAAGATGCTGCCATCGAAACGCACCTATCTGTAGATTTGATTTCTGCTGAGGTTGTTGGGAGTGATCATCGATTTCTTTGTTCATTTCGCTTTGATGAGATGCAACTTTCCGCTTCAATAATTCTTTGTCTTGATTTTCGACAGAACTTTCGTCCTTGAGTCCGTGACGCTTTCGGATACCATCATCTAAGGGCTTCTGATCATTACCGTCGCCGTGGGCTACGCTCGCCGACTCTCCACTGTGCCCTGACTTGCCGCCAAAACTGCCTGTAGACCCGTTCATGATATCGTTACTTTGCAATTGCGAGTCTACGTCTATGGAATCCGTATCTTGCCTTCCCACATCGTCTCCGCATGCACTGCTGTCATTCAAACCCTCCTTCCTGGCTAGACGCCCCAAAAATGCGCACTCGCCAGATCCGCCGACTTCACTCCTCACCACTCCTTCAACCCTCCTAAAGTCCTTCCTCGCATCATTAAACAGAATCAGCGTAGCCGACCAAAGCACCGCCCACGCGTTCAACAATCCAATTCCATACCCCACACTCACCCACTCACTCCTCGCATACAGGATACAATCCACCGCCTTGACCAGCACAACCGCAAAAACCGGCCACCGAAGCCAGTGCACGAGCCTCGACTCCGTAGGCGGAATCAAAAGATAGAGGATCAGCAAATTCGGGCCCAGTGAATCCCACGGCCACACGAACGGCCGAAATTCGCCCGATTCAAACGCTTGCTTCGCGGCTCCCTGGAAGCGGTGAGCGAGAACATCGCGGTAGTCCACTGGCCCAGAGGAGAATGTCGCGCGTAATGAATTCCAGGACGGGAGATGGTCGGTCATCTGACCACTGCTAGAGTGAGATACTCGACGTCTGTCGGATGCAGGCTTGTCGGATGAGGAGGGGACTCCTCGGGGCTCGGCTGAGCAGCGGTTGATGTTCGTGGGTTTGCAGGCGGTCTGGGGCGGTAAGTAAGCTTAGAATCAGGTGATTGTCACTCTATGCGATGGGCGGTTTTCTGTTTAAGGATGAGACAGCATCAGCTTGGTGAGGTCATGGATGATGGGCTGACAGGCGCGCTTGGGGAGGGTTTGCCTAAGCGCCGTAGCGGCGGGAGCTAGTGTTAGCTTGAGTCTGGGGCTTGGCGCTCAAAATTGGAGAATGCGTTGGAATTTGGGGGAGAGACAATGAAGAACTGTGGATTGTTCTTTTCGAAACGGAGTATTTCTGTGTCTGAAGCTATGTGCAAGGTAAATACCATGCTTCTCGTTCGTTGGTGTCACTGAATGGCTGCTTGTCATCGTTGAAGGACGGCATGCTGATCGATATTCGATGTACACCCTCACTACCACTTTTAAGGCATCTTGAAGTCACGATTACCCAGATAACATGATCCATAGGTATGTCGATCATTGATGTTTAACATGCTGATATCATCTAAGAATCGCTATACATTGAACGCTTGTCGTTCGCCATCAGAAACGAATGAGCCCTTGTTGATCCAATTACTTCGCAACAGAATTAGACAGAGCTTTCAATTAAAAATGAGCTATCACTTCAAGACTACTTTGTCGCTCTTTCTTGCTACGCGAGAGATCCTCACACCTCAGCTAGATCTCATGTACCTCGAGACGCGACGTGAAATCCCCATCTACAAGCTTTGTACGCTTTGACAACAATGAAAAGGTATCGAGAACCTGCTACGACCGAGAGACGCAACTTTTCGTTGTGTAGCAAGGATATTTACACTTTAAGATGTGATGCATCGAGCTCGCACCATAATTAACACCTGCCATGATGCAGGCTTACCTTTTGAAATCCAATCCTTGCGTGATCAGCGTTCACACCCCCTTAGCTTGCAAAGTTGGCCCTATTTATGTTCTTCAGCGTGCATACTTCTTAATCTCCGTCGTTTTTCTGTTCCACTCAAGTTTCATGAGTCGTCATAAATAAATATTTACCTTTCACATACATCTTTTTGATGAGAACGTCAGGGAAATCGAGGCCGAGGACTGGCCGAGAAGCCAGTTTTTGTATGCCCTTATTGCAGCACTATTCATGTGCTTGGTTGATGGTATGATCTAGACATTACCCGAATCCAGGACTACTGTCGCACATAGACGACTGCTTCTTTGGAGGAAGTCTCGAGATATACGATTGTATGAACTTGTTTACGAGAATCAGACGAAGAGCTCACCAAGAAGAAAACACAGCACTCGTTCAGTAGCACCACGCGCTATCGCGGCAGTCTTTCCCTTCGAAAAGCTGCTTTGGACTTGAACGCCTCTCAGATGAGCGCAATTCCCTTGTCTGGCATGAATACACATTATGCTCAGTGTTCTACCATCAACAATGGCATTGTTCATGACACAAAGTCCTTGTCACACCTTGTCACACCGTCTTCCGTATGACGAATCTAACACGCATCGCCAACATTGCTAGGAATGGTATCATGGCTGGTAAACACAAAGGAAGTCAACACCTTCATAAAAGGGCTCGTGATCTCAATTCATTATCTATCTTCTTTTCATCATCACGTTCTTTTCTTCCAATTAGCTTCTCACGGGGGTTGAAATTTTTGAGTGTTTACATTCTTTCCGGCGGAAACTAGAGAGAATTCGGACATTCAATTCTTCTTTCTGGTGTGGAGATTCTCTTCTTTCAAGCTTGGATCAAGGAACCCTAACAGCAATGCAGAACCAGCGATTTCCTAGGCTTCAAGGCGGCACAATGTCTGACTTCGCGACGAATGAACAGACTTTTCAGCAAGCCTTCCAGCCTCCGCTACAGGGGTACGGATACGGGGGTCACGCATGCATGCTTCCTAAACCATCAACGAAGCGAAAGTTCAGTGATCTTAAGGATGACGATGATGACAATCAAGACGACGATGACTCGACTGGATCAAACTACTCCGATAATCCGTTCGAGTCTGACGAATCTTTACCACCTCCTACAAAGCGTCCACAGCATAAGAAAGTACGGACATCTGGCAAGAGCTCCAAGCCCAAGCACAAGACGAATGATCGACCTTCGAGGCTGAGTATGAAGAGAGATGCCTTGATCCGGGAGTATGGACAAGATGGAGTCACGAATGATGTCAAGATTAAAGGTTCTGTGAAAATGATCAACGGATCGCTGCATTGGTGGAATGCTGACGATGGATCTTGGTGGGCTGCAGATTACCATAATAATTGGAGGGGAACTCTCATTCAGCTCGATTCCCAGAATCCACCTTACGTTGCTGAACCAGATCGTGGACCGGGCCAATTTGATATTACCAGCAACTGCAATCATCTTGATCAGCACCAATGGCAGTTTGAAACACCCGATCAGCTCTGCGCTATCAAAGACTCGGACGGAAATGCAGTTTTTGAGTTGCACGACAAGCCCGATCGCTATTTCTCTCGTGAACACAAGCCAATGATCTATTCAGGTATGGTGATGCTTGACATAGACAGAACCCCTGTCATGGACTGGCCTGAACTCCCACTGTGCCTTTCATCGAGGCTGGAAGGTTGTAGGATCGAGGCATACAAACGTGTGTATCCGTGGATTCAAGCAACGGATCTGAGGGCCAGAATGCCCGCCCAACTCATTCGTTCGGGTAGACAAAAGGAGGTCTATGGGCTCAGCACACTTCGTCACCGTTCTAGTCGCTTTCGAGACGAGCACCGCCTGAGCGCGTGGGATTTGCGGCAAGGTACGAGAGCTAAGCAAGCAAGATGGCAAGCTCAGGGACATGCTGCTTCTGATCACATGCCGACGAGTACGAGGAGGGTTCACTACGTGCAGACAACGTCACCCCTGAATCAGCCTCACGTAGTCAGCTACACCACTGAAGGGATACAACAATTCGCAGTGACTAACGATACCCCTTCACCACATCATGAGGTATCCATGGATCGCATTCCCATTGGGTCTGACCGAGTCCCAGCTATGACCCAGAGTGCGACCGCTCAGACAGGGTCACCCACTCCAGAGGCTCCCCCTGTGGAGAATGTTGATTACTGCTTCGAAAACCCGGTGACAGATATTGACAAGCTGCAGATCCAGATCGCCCTTCATTACACAGCCCTTGATTTCCAACGCTGGCATGGTGAGACTGTACCCAAAACGCACCCCGATGGCTCATACATGCGACAATTTTTGGACATTGGGCAGATTCACTGGGAGAAATGGATGAAAGTTTACGGAGGCAGTTGTCCCGATCTGTTCCATTTCACCAATTGGCCTGGAAGTTTTGCCACTATCCCCACTCTTGGTTCAAAGAATCAAAACAAAGTAGCTGGGATGGTGGGGCTTTTTGGTGCCGAATACGCAGCTCAAGCCTCGGAAGCAAATGGAGTAGACCAGAGCCCACAATTGGGAGTGAAGGCAGAAACTGCGACCCCGGGGTATGATCAGACTTCAGACAACTTTGCGGACTTTCAACACGCTGAGAACGCGGACGTGGGGTCTTCTGAGACGGCTGGAGAATACAAGACCCCGGATGCTTTCCCGGCTTCTGACCAGCTTGGAGACATCGACTTCGGCTTTGACAAGTATTTTGTCGAGATCTCATGAGGTACAAGATGCGGACATGCAGTCATGGTTTCTTTGAATCTTGGTGAGATGAGTGATTTCCGAGGTTTGCTGCAATGGCTTTGAAGTGGGTTGGGATTGTTTTGGCGGTACATGCTTTAACGACATGCATATGACATACTTACGACAAACATATTTACGGCAAACATACTTACGGCAAATATACTTACGGCAAACATAAATAAATATGTTGATAATTATACAAACAAATATTAAACATAATCAAATCTACACCTTTGTGTGATTGCGCTTGTCCATCTGTGCCTTAAGTTCTCAGCTTGAAGAAATCAAGTAATTCTCGCGATAAAACAAGATAATCAAAACTGCTGTTTCAGGAATTGACAAGAAGGTCGACCACGCATCGCTTAAAAGACTAGGTTGGGGGAGGAGGAGGGGATATGAGACGAAGTCGAGCCATCATTGCGGTGATGGTCCTCGTCGAGGTCGGTAGTCTCTGTCGAGAGGATATACAAGGTGAGGTAAGACACATAGACGTCATAGACGGCAGGTGATCCGATTCTGGTTGAGTCTTGCCTTCGACTAGAAGCAGTAGTGCGATAGTACATTCGCCGGTGTCAAGGCTTCGTGGTTGGGTGATACCGGATGTTTTTGGATGCTTGATTGTATTCTAGATGTGCTGAATACTTTGCTAGCTTCCCACGGCTTTGGAGAGGTGTCCGTGCACGAATGATGCAGCAAAGGACACATAGAATGCTGAGGAAACAGAACGAGTGCTTGTTCTCTGTTTACCTCTTGCTATTTGAGAGCCAAGGCACCATTTGCAACGCAATTCCATGCTTCACGTACGATGCTCTTTCTGTGTGCGCCTGTTTCGAAGTACTGTTTTATTTCGCAGGAACATTTGCTTTGTTCACAACACATCTACCTCATTGCACATTGAGAACCTGGAACCATTGATCTTATCACGCTGGCTACACTATGGTTACGAAACATTACAAGTATAGTGTGCACGTCAGACTCCTTCACACTTTCGCTTTGACTTTGCTACCGTGGGCTATATAAAGGCACTTACCTCCCTGAAAATTTTGACCTGAGAGCAAGAAATGACAACCCAACCATTACTCTAATATTTCAAGGATACCGATGCGCTACCTGTTAGCAATGATGTGGCGTTTTGCGCCTGGCCTTAACTGGCTTACATCCTACTATTCAAAATTGCTACCGTTCTGGGTTGACTGACAGTCTTGGATCCCATTCCGGAATCATATTGACCTGGTGCATAATCAGGGTTGCCGTTGACGACCTACCTCTTCCCGTTACCCATGCATGGGTCATTGGAGAATTCTATTCTGGTACCCATTCTACCCCTGAGACTCAACAAAGGAGTCGACGAATCAAAAAATTTTGCTAACGTTCGTTCCAGATATTGAGCCGAAAGTCGATGGACTGAAACATCAGGATATTCGCATTTCTGTGTACAGATCATACTAGGCACGTCTAGAATTCTGATAGACGTCCATCCAGTACCATTGTCCAGCATGTATATTGGAAACATGGAATTCTGGGGATTCAGATCATTCCTCAAGAGCATGGCGCACCTGACGACTACCGCCAAGGTACTGCCTGATAGCTAGAGAAAGCTACAGGCTCAATGAACACCTGAGATACAACCACATATGTCTATAAGGATAATACTTCGGTAAATATATATACACACAAAGCACTCGACACGTGTCGGACTGAACGTCCTTGCGCTGCTGGTAAGTAAAGTGTCATGATAGCCTCGACATCCTTTCAAACACATCTATATTCGAAGTCTGATCTGTCACGAGCTGTGACATAACGTTCAACACAAACTTTCACACTCATACTTCGTGAACATTAACCTAACACCTCGAATAGCGTCACGGGTCTATAAAGCTCCTCAAACTTCCCTCCTCCTACAATCCTTCATCATCTCGACATCTCACAGACAAACGTTTTGGATTCCACCTTCGACGATTCACATCACTTCACCGCATTACAGTCGACAACAAACTCACACGTCAGACATGGGGAATCGAAAGAGATCCCGAGACGTGTCCGATTTAGAGGTAGATGATGAGCCTCTTGCTCAGCGTCAGAGGTTGTTCAGGAGACAGAATGAGGGCGCTCCTCAATTTCAACGGGGAGAGGAATTCGAAACACTACAATTCGGACGATTCCCGGCGAATGCGAATCTTTCGAATGCTCCCCCATCATTTTTGCAAGGTAGGCAAGATCTATTGAAAATTTCAGTCAGTGCATGAGTACTGACGTATTGACTATAGAACCCCAAGACCTACTGAAGAATTGGGACTTTATGCCGGCGTTGACTCAACAAGGTAACATACAACCCAACAATCAGAAGCTGCAATTTCAAACACAGGGGCTTCTGACAGACACGGGTGCTGCTACATCAGGGGCATTTGGCTCGACAGATGAATTTCTTCGTGCTACTGGACAGACCGTCGGACCACAATACAATTTCTCGTCCGCGGAACCACCTCTAACCGGTGCCTCAAGATCGCAGCATGATTATGTTGCAGGAAGGACAAAATATGCTGATCAACACAGCACCGAAAGCCTCGTTCCCACTTCGGTACCAAGCCGGCAACAGGCTTCTAGACCATCGAGTCGACAAGGTCCATCATTCGCAGGGAACCCTTACGCTACTAATGAATCTGGATATGTCCATCAACCGACAGCTAGGGTCCAGGAAGTCATGCAGCAAAGTAACCTGGGACAAGTCGGTAGTATGGCACCAATGCAGCCAGTGATGGCCCAAGGACAGCAACGGATCTCGGCCTCAAGAAGGCCAATTCAACACCAGATGCTACCTCCATCACGAGGGCACCCTAGCGTCCAACGAGCACGAGTACAACGGTCGACTATGGGAAACACACCTGCGACTTTACCAGATACTCGCCCGTACGGTCAACCAAACATGCAACAACCCGATGCAAACATCCAGGCCCAACAGCGCTCTATTCACACGGCTAGTGACTTGCTACCATCTGCATATATGGCGACCTCTCAGTATCAGCAGTTGCATGCCCCTTCATCGACTCAAGGCACTCGGGTTGCGAATGGAGCCAAATCCAGACCATCGCAGGCAGCTCCTCCGTCAGGTCGCGCCTCTTCAACGCAGTCGAATGGGCCAATGTCATTGGGTGCTCAAAGCACAATTCCAAAGTTGGCGGACTGGGAGGACATGTGCCCTCAATATTTCAACAACGCAATATATCAATTTGGGAAACAGAATCAACCGATGCCTGATTTCAGTTTTAATCTAAGATCATCAGCAGAAGAAGGCGGGCAGTATGCTCTTGGGTCTGGCCATGACTATCGTGGGAGCCAAACCAAAGATGCAGAGAGAGAATTCATCCGAGCTGGCCGTAACAGTGAAAACATCTCGCATGATGTAGGCCAGGGACCTGAAGGACAAGAAGCAAGGATAACGCAATATGCTCAAAGTGCACGTAGTAATTCAGGTGCTGATACTCTGTCTTCCAGCCACAACGTCAGACCCTCAACACAAGTACCAACAAAGGACGATAGCATTGATGACTTGAGGCTCAAGATTGCGCATGATAGCTCGGACATAAAGGCTCGAAAGTTTTCTTACTGGATGCGGTATCAGCATCAAGATCTTCAAGAAGCTTTTGCATACTGTGTTCGACGAGGGCACTCGAATAGACCAGCGAATCATCGCGGTGTTCCAGAGCAAGGTACCGGCAGGGATGTCATCACAATTGACGACGGGGATGAGAATACCTCCATTGATGACGCGAATCTACAGAATGCACTGAGGCCACAACAACAAACCAGGCCTCCAACTCCGCATACCTCAGTTCCAGAACAGCATGCAATTGGAAGACGAGTTCCAGGAGGCCAAAAGCGGAGGCGAGAAGATCAGGATCAGACAGGGGACATGACCAGCGAAGCCTTGGTCCAATCTCGCAAGCGACAGCGAACGGGCGCACCACGAAACGTTGAAAACATTCCAGATGATATGCTGACTGCACAGAGGCAAGAAGCTGATCGAGCTCAGGGTGTATTGCGAAACATCGTTAACTCGTCAAGGCGAGGTCCTGGTGAAGCTTCCCCATCCGAGCCATCGCCAAGAAGGAATGCAAAGGAGCAGGCTTCAATAGCGCAGGACCACTTCCAGAGCTCCGACAAGATCATCGGTGATGATGTAAGACCCGATGGAGAAGAAGGCAATGTTCCAGATCCAACAGAAGAACGAGTCAATGAGAACCAAGAAGGACCTGCAGTAGCACCTCCAAACATTGATGAGATCAATAGCGGCGCAGCAGAGCCCACTACCTCAGTCCCTGAGGTTGATGCGCCAGACAATTTGGTAGACATCAACCAAGGGACAGTCGGCTTGGGCGACATAGATGCAGCGGCGAAAATGCAGCAAGAACAGCCTGTGGAGCAAAGCACGGATGGAAGCTTTGATTCTGAGGACTTCCATGCGTGGTTAGCCAACAATGGCTTCAATGGCTGGATTGAAAACGGGTTTGGGGACCTTCCAGATCATGCACCGGCAGCAGTGGATCCTCAAGTGACGAACAACGATGATGTTAACGATGAAATGCCACAGAACCCGTTTCCGGTGCCTGCCTCAACAGATGAAGAGGTATTGCAGGATTGCCTGGCACCAGAATCTCCAGCATATTCTCTCTCGGAAGCTGAGATCATGAACGAGATCAGCATTCAGCGCACGGTAGTCGAACGCTCTGGGAAGTGGTCTGATGCAGTCGAGTACCTCATCCAGAGAACATCTGGATATGAACAATTTCGACGCGTGCTTCGCGCCATCATGGACCGGACAATGAGCCGTTCGCTCCACACAACAGTCCTGGATAGCGAAATTGACATGCTCTACACAGAATACAGCATGAAAGACATACCAGATTAGCTGTAAACCTGTTGCAGAGAGATGAATTGACGGGATGGATGCCATTGTTGATCGCACCGCTTCTAAGCCATCATAGGAGGAAGGTTGAGGACGTAGGAAATTGGGAGTCACTCGCAGGGAGGTATTCGACTCGGGCAGCGGGATCATAATTCTGATGCTCCTGTTCGGTGCGGTACGAAAGGTCGAATGTATAGTATAACGTGATGAGACTGGAGGGGTTGAAAGTAGCAGCGTCGTTTGATCATAAACAGTGAGGGTAGACCCACGAATAAAACCTTTTTGAGAAATCTTCTGCGGATCTTCGGATCTTATTGTACATTGCATGGTAGAATCTGACAGACCCGATCTCAGGATTCTTCATCCTGTAGATATTGATGCATTTGAAAGCACCAAGTCTTCACAGTCACTACCCGGCAGTCGGGTCGGATTTACGTCGCTCTCCCACCCACCAAATCAAGCAATCACCCTTTTCTGATTGTCAACGGCTATCATCTCATGAGCTTTCTCTGTTTCCAAAAGTATCAATCATCACTTTTGAGTCACTGAAAGACAATCGCAAACTCGTCATGCAGTTGTGGCCTGATATGAGAAATATGCATTGGACGGCCAGATTATCAACATCGGAGAAAAGTAGAAGTATCCTGGGCTTGTCTGGCCTTGATATTCCATCAGATTTCCTTAATTTCACCCTGAACCACCATGAATCGCTCCACACTATCCATACAATCTCGGTTCGAAAGTATCTGGCTCGACGCTGAATTTGTATCCAAATGTGGGAAAAAGCTAGACCTGCCAATCATCGCCAATGAACGCTGTGGGAGTTGGTATGTCAGCCCAGAGAATCTGGCAGACAGCTGCTATTTCAAAAGCACGGATGGACATAATGAAAAGTGGGCTTTCAGTCAAAGGAGATTGAATTTCCATTTACTTCCTCTGATAGAAGCAAGTGGAGGCTGTATCATCGTAGATTCCACAAGATCCAAAACCAAGCGTTTCCCAGATGCCTTAGCCAAGACAATCCCAATTTGGTGCTATGTCCTCACTAGTCTCTTGTACGGTGACACTCTCGACGTCAAAGACTTCCTCCCACCCGACGACATACTATCCGCGGAAGAAGCTGAAGCTATCAAAAGTGCAATTCCCGCCATCATAGACGACGCAAAGGTAGTTATACCCTTCCACTGTCAATAAGTCACTCTATACATATCTAACCATACCATCAGCAACTGCACCTCGACATCCCCAAACTCCGCACCCTCCTAACCCGCCCAATCCGCCCCATCTTCATCGACCCCAGCACCGCCCTCCCCACCACCAACGCCCTCTCGCGCCAATCTCACCACACCATAGCCTGCCTAATGGCCTCAAACGCCCACTCCGCCCCCCTCACCGCCCCCTCATCCTCCTACCTCCCAGGCGCCGGCGACGACGAAGACAACTGGTCGCTCTCGCTAACACCCGCGCAATTCTGGACGCACCAGCCCTCCCTCCGCTCCGCGGCCTCCACAAGTCCCGCCGCAGTCACAGAAACCATCACGACCATCATCAAAACGCCAGAAACCTCCCCCCGCTCCCTCAAACCCGCCACAATCGACCACACGCACCTGACAATCGGGACGACAGCCCTCCACGCAGCCCCAAAAGTCCTCCAGCTCCTCGACCCCTTCGACGTCATCATAGTCTGCAACGACGACCCCGGCCTATCCGCAAGCCAGCACCGCCTCGTCGCCCGCGGCGTAGAGCCGAATCTGATCGAAATGGGGCTGAAAGACGGCAAGCTGGGCGCTCGCGTGCTGCGAAAGCGGCTTCATCTAGTCGAGAAAGCGTTGATGAAGGTAGAGGCGCGAATGCCTCGGATCCTGGTGACCTGCAGCACAGGGCGGGATTTATCCGTTGGGGTGGCGTTGGCGATATGGTGTTTATTTTACGACCGGGGCGGTAAGTCGACATCTTTGCAGTTGTCTGAATTATTGCTTCCATTCACTTTTGAGTGATGTTGGAAGTGAAGCGGTGATGCTGATGAGACGTAGATGCGTTTATACGGGGCGGGACGGTGCCGAAGGCGGAGATCACGAAGGTGTATATACGGGAGCGATTAGCTAGTTTGACGATGAGTAAGCCGGATGCGAGCCCCAGTAGGGCGACGTTGCAGTCAGTACACGCCTATCTGATGCCGAAGGAGGACGGGAAGAAGGAGGAGCGGGTGGAGGAGTGGTTGGGCGGAGTGGAGGAGGCGAAAGAGAAGGCGAAGAAACAGGGAGAGACGCTGGGGAGGTTTTTGATTGGGAGTGGAGCCAGTGTTTGAGGTGGCTGAGGGAAAGATGGTGCTGTGTTTGTTCGTTGTTCGTTGTTCGTTGTTTCCGTGCTCCTGCGCTGCATAGGAGCGCCAATGCATTTAAAGCAATTTCGATGCAATTTCTAGAGCTATGATACATGTTCCTTGCCAGCTATGATTCCAAACCGTCTATTGTGTCTATTCCAGCCATACAAGCCATCCGACGCCTTGCTAAAGAGTGAGAAATTCATGCTTTTTCCTCCGCGGTGCCCTCCGTAGATTTTGCCTCTCTTGAAAATCTCTTCTTCAAGTTCTTCACACCACCCAGATAAGCCCAGCTTGCTGCGAACACCACAACAAAATTAAAGATGCAAAAGGCCCAAAAGATTCCATAATCCCTCCAAATATTGCCATAGGAGACATTAAACCTCTTTGCGAACTCATCGCCATTCGCGTATTGACAGAATTCACACAATCCATTCGCACCATCCCGTACATATCCACCAGCTTGTTCAATGAAAGGTTGCGTGTAGGACTGGCAAGTCTCACCAGGAGGAGGAGAATAGCGTGCAAATTCATTCTTGGCACATACAACCTTACGACCGTGTACAGCAGCACTAAGGAAGCCTTCGAGCAGGTATGTGAAAGGGGAGAGCCGGTACATCCAGTCCCGCCAGAATGTCGGAAGAGCGGCGTAAGGAACGACGACACCACAGAAGGAGACGACAAATAGGAAGAATACCGGGACCAGAAGGGAAGCGAGGAGTGGGTTTGGAGAGAAAGCGGCAATGGCTTGGCCAAAACCGACATAGTAGATCTCAAACAACATGAGCAGGAGCCATGTATATGCTGATTGAAACTTCGTGGCTTCACGTCCTACAGCACCCCACCACCAGCATTGATAGTAGATCGTTCCGGCTACGATGCTGTAGGGGAGTTCAACGAGGACGGCAGCGATTGTGAAAGCTACCCAGGAGTAGATCTTTGAATTGGCCTCTCGGCTTTTGTATAGGTTCCTGAATCCGAGGAACTTGGGCTGGAGCTGCTGGATCAGAGGTGGTGAAATGGTAAGAGTCATGAAGATTGAAAAGAGGCGAGACTGCATATCAATGTAGCTATTACCGATGTGGTAGAAGGTGAAGGTATTGAAGAGGCCAGTGAAGATATGTAGCATAAACTTGCCAATCAAGTAGTCCGGTTCACGCCAGTAACTTGTGAAAGCACGATAGACGACGGTGTAGATTTGAGTGACAAGAGGCATGGCGTACTCTCTGTCATGATCTGTCTTGTGATCTGAAGTTGCATTTCGTCGCGATGCAATCATAGACTGAATTTCGGCTTTTAGCATTTCGTGCTCTGGTGAAGCATTCCATACGTCGCCCCAATCTTGACCCGCGTAGTCCGGATCTCCGGCACCGATAGATTCCAGCATGTATTCAGCGGGATTGGCGCGTGGAGGACACTCGGGTGCGCCATTGCGCTCAAAGTAATTGATCAAATGACGTGAGTCCTTTCCTAATTCACCGTGATAAACGATACGGCCACCAGCTTTCAGGAGGATGAGCTCATCGAAATGCTCAAAGAGGACTGATGAGGGTTGATGGATTGTCACAAGCAGAGCTTGACCATTGTCGGCCAGTTTGCGAAGGAAGCGGATGATATTGAATGCAGCTCCAGAGTCCAAGCCCGATGTCGGCTCGTCCAAAAACAAGAGCAGCTCTGGCTTAGCAGCAAGTTCGACGCCAATGGTGACGCGCTTGCGCTGTTCTTGATTCAGACCACTGCCTATTTGGCCAATGGTTGCCCCTGCAATTGAACGCATCTCAAGGAGATCGATGATGCGTTCGCAATATTCATACTTCTCTTCGATAGGTACTTCATTCGGCTGACGCAGGAGAGCGGAGAATCTGAGGGCCTCTCGAATTGTCGCAGTCGGCTCGTGAATATCCATCTGCTCAGCAAAGCCAGTCGCTCTTTGGAAGGACTTTGGAAGAGGTTTGCCATCCACGAGAAAGTCACCGGTTACAACACCAAAATTGATGCGTTGTGCTATGGTATTCAACAAGGTCGTTTTACCGGCTCCGGAGGCTCCCATCAGCGCGGTCAATTTGCCAGGCCGAACGAAACCTTGAACGTTGGAAAGCAGCTTTCTTTCGCCTTTACCGTAAGAGATTGTATAATTGACATCTGTGAAGGTGAAGACCGAGTCATTTCTAGCTAACGTCTTGATATTGTGCATCGAGTCGGAGCTACTCGAATCTTCCTCTTCAATCTTAATGTCTGCTGCACCCGCTTTCTTCTCCTCATCCTCAGATGTATCGCCTGGCTTGGCAACAGACTTTGGGGCTTGGCCACGTTTGAAGATCGTAACATCCCCACCACCAGAGTTCGGCTTCTGCATTTCCATACCCAACATGGTAAGAAATACAAAGAAGAGCCAGAACGCCGTGATGATGCCGAAGTTGCGCCAGAGATGGGCTCTAGAGTATGTGAAAGCTGTCTGAATGTAGTCTGCACCACTAACTGTCAGGCTGCCCGGCTTGCTGCCTTGAATATTACACGACTGATATTGTGGCGACGCATTCGGGCCTTGCGGAACAAGATATGGTGGCACACACGCGATATCAAGATTGTAAAATTCGTTGGCCATCAAAGCTTCGAACCCATATTGGACTGGATTGATCCACATGAGCCATTTGAACCAAGGGTGCATCTTTGAAGGTGGAATCAGGTATCCAGTGTAGACGATCAAAATTTGCATGGCAACACCCGTAAGACGAGTAGCCACGTCCAGAGATTTGCACAATGAGCCGATGGCTCTGAAGAGCGAATACATGCTCATGGTCAGAACCCAAAGTATGAGCAAGCTAATGAAGAATTGCGAAGCCGTCCTAGAGAGGTTTGCCATGAAGTAGACCACAATGTCAAAGAGGAATACTTGGATGAAGACAAGCGGCATGTCAACAACTGTTTGCGCAATCGCGTAAGCTGCGGGTCGGTAGAAGGAACTATGTAGATGATCAGTGAACATTCGTAGCAAAAGCTATGTAAAACTCACAAGCTTTTATGTTTCAGCAAGATAGGTCTACTACTGAATGCTGAGGTCAGCTCAGCTAGAGCGAGTAGTGTATTGAAAAGGAGAACGAAGAACAAGACGCCACCCCTGGTGAAGACCCCATTGGCATTGCTAGGCAAGTTGTAGAATAGTGAGCCAACGATTAGAGATTGGAAAATTATTCCACCCCATTTGCCACCAAGGGAGAGCCGGTCACCAAACATGATCAAGAACTGTCGATGCGTGCAAGCCCAGACTTGCTTGGGGAATGACAAAGTGTAATTTTTCTCCTTGGTTGCTTTTGTCTGTGCCTCTAGTCTTTTTTGCCGCTGTTGCTCGTGCTCTTGTTCCAACGATTGAATGTCCAGTAGATTCTTCTCATACACTTGGCTCTTCTTGTACGCAGTTTCGAATTCTTCTGTGGAGCGAGGAATCCTATTCCTGAAACCTGGACGAATTTGTCGCTCATGGGGGTCGGTAACAGATGTGAGGAAGTCTGCCGTGGTCCAGCGTTGTGGTCTTTCAAAGCCGAGTCCTTCAAAGTATGCTGCCGCCTCATGAGTGGGGCCGTAGTAGAGACAGCGTCCCTCATCAATCAGCACGACTTTATCGAATAGCTCATACAAGCTCTCTCCAGCTTGATAGAGCGCGATGGCGGTTGATATGTGGGCCATGTTTGTGAGAGCCCGCAATGATTGGACGTACTCCAGCGCTGTGCTAGCGTCGAGGCCTCGCGTTGAATTATCCCAGCATTGAGTACTGGCTTTGGTGATCATAGCTTCAGCAATGCTGACTCGTTTCTTCTCACCCCTGACACACCACGAATCATCGCGTCTCCTACTTTCGTATTCAAAGTATGTTCAATCCAGAAGAGCTTCGAGACTACGCGGAGAAACTCAGCAATATACTGACTGCGCGTCTCACCTTCATTACGAGACGCCTTGCCAGGAGTCCGTGTCTTGAGTGCGAATTTCAAGGTGTTCTGCACGCTTAATGTAGCGTAGTGTAGGTCGTCTTCAGGATTGTAGAGCACTTCGCCACGATAGTGCTTATTCATTGTCTTTGCATCTGAGCCCCCGTATGTCACGTCGCCGTCCACACTTACGTATCCAAACCGTTGATTGGCAAGCGTCTTGAGGAATGTGGAGCAACCAGAACCTGGACGGCCGAGGACGAGCAGCATTTCTCCCGGCTTTATACAGCCAGTAAAGTCATTGATGATTGTTCTGACTGGTGGCTTTCCACCGAGTGCCTGCGAGCCACCAGCGATCAAGGCTTTGAGCAAGCGAGGAAGGCCCATGAATGGGTCGCCAAAGGTTGGTTGGAGCACCGTCCCTAGTCCCATGCCCTTGACGGTGAGGTTCCTGAATATGACACCGACATGACGGGTCTTTTCGTCTTCGGATTGCGCCCGACGATCACTTCCAAACATACGTGACATTAGCCTTTCTACCTCGGCCTGGTCCTCTTCAGCTTCGACGGACTGCTCTTTTGAGACGAATGATGCACGCTTGCTGCCTGTACTGGTCCTTTTTCTCGTCAAGACTTTATATAAGTCGTCTTCTGTCACCTCCCTTGAAATTCTGGAACGGAGGCTCTCCCTCTTGCCGGCAGATAGATAGGTGCTCGTTCTGATTGGGGCGAAGCCTCGAGCTACTTCTGCCTTGGCTCTTTCAAGACTTTCCTCCAGACTCTCCGAGTCCCTTTGGGACAGCTGCGGCTCCTTCTTGAGAGGCCCATTGGAGGCCATACTGGAAACGCTAGATCTCGAGGAGTATGACGAGTCGTTGGACTCTGATGGAGAATTGCCATGTTGCATTTCCTCGGGACGTTGCCCTGCAGCCGAGGGCATTGCAGTGGATGTGGAGGGAGAGGGTTCTATCGCAGGATAGGAGGTTTGATAGCCCGGGAAGTTCCCACCGACAGGTTCTGGGGTGTACTCGTGAGTGCTGTTGAGAGGACCTAGAGGCCACGCTTCAGGAGCATCTCCTGCGGCATTTTGGTTAAAAGTGGGAAAAGTCATAGCTGCAATGAGGAGAATGGCAACGAAGGGGTGGAAAGAAAGAAAGAATTCACAACCGCAGAGCAATGGAGGATGGCTTATGGAGCAGAAAACGAAGGTGGGAACAGAACATGAGATACTCTGACTTGGAGGCTCGCGCCTTCCGTCCAGGGTGAGAAATGTCAATGGCCTGATGGTCGCTAAGAAGGACTCGGCAACATACAAGGAGCGAGCGTCAGCACCGCAACGAGCTCCATCCACTGGCCCGTCATCAGCACTCAGCACTCAGCACGATAACGGATAATGGCAGGAGCAGCAGGACCGCGCACTCAGACAAAGCGAGTACGGTCAAGGACTGGGTGATGACAGGAGGGATTACCGCATGCAGAAAGCGCGTCATACATCCACCTCCATCCCCATCAGGACTAGTGCTTAAGTCCGTGGAAGTCCGTGAAGCGAACGAATCGGGGGTCGGGGAAAGCTGACTCCCGATGGCTCTCTCCCCCAACCTTAAAATATGGCAGGCGCTTCCACTGATGGCGCGCCAAGCAATTATGACCAGTAGAAGTCGCAGTAGGCAGAATGACGATATCGTGATATCTCTATGGCTTTATCGCGCGTTTTGATCATGTTTCAAGTGCACTACGTTGGCTGAACGCTAGAAGCTGCATTGTGGCTTCAAGATCTCGCATAGTATTCTCATACCGTTAAGATTAATCTCCAAAATTACTTTCATCGTTTTTTTACGATTAGCATGCTGCTTATACCGTCTCTTAGCCAGTCATTCACTTCTAACTCCATTGAAAGTGAATTAGTCTGCTTAAAAAACTGTCTCTTACGTCTGTAATCTCTAAAAGATACCGCTGTGTAATAATCGCGCTTGCCAAATTAGGCGCGATGTCGTCTCGCTTCAATGCCACTACGCCCTGTCCTCCCCCTGAAAAGACTAAAATGGCCTCGTATTTCACGTGCACGCTTGGTGAGGCGGCCCTGATGGGCAAAGAAGAGTACACCGCCTACCAGACGATACCAGCCTTGCTCGCCGCACAGGCGAGAGAAAGCCCAGACCTCCTCGCCGTCGGCTTCCCCACCAATGGGGACTCTACCAGTGGGAACTCGCCCTCCCAGTGCTTCAGTATGCCTACCTCTCGTATACTTACAATTCACTAACAAGATCAGCTTTTAGTGAATTGTACGAGAAAGTCCTGGATGTAGCAGACATCCTGATACGAGATATGCGGCTCCAACCGGGGCAGACCGTTGGCTTGCTGGCCTCTAGTGGCCGAGATTTCCTGTTTTGCTGGTTGGCGTTGGTTTGTACGGGCTGTACTGTGCTTCTCGTAGCTCCAGAGGTCACTGCCGAGGGCATAGCGGGCCTATGCCATTCGACGGAGACGTCCCTGCTTCTCTGCGATGAAAAACATACGAGACAGGCGGAGAAGGCTGCGGAGATCCTAGCAGCCACAACGAGCAGAAGCTGCGCTGTCAGCCGCCTTCCTGTCTTCCCTACTACTTCCTCCCCAGTCCGACAACTTCCTCTGCGTCGTGTTAGCGCGGTAGACGTGGCTTATGTCCATCACACGAGTGGTACAAGCACCGGCTTCCCCAAACCAATCAGGATAAGCCACCATGGCGCTATTGCAGTGGTACCCGTGCTGCCACGCAGCAACCATGCTGCAACCTTCTCCACCACACCCCTATATCATGGAGGACCCGCTGACTGCTTCCGCGCATGGGCAAGTGGGGCGATGATATGGCTGTTTCCGGGTGTTGAAGACGTCCCTATCACGGCGAAGAACGTTGTGCAGGCTCTGAACTCCGCAGAGATCCTTGCTAGTGACTCGAATAATCCTAAGCGACCCCTGGCGCGGTATTTCACAGCTGTGCCATACGTCGTTGAGCTCCTTGCAAGCAACCCGGAAGGATTAAAGTGGCTCAAAATGATGTACATTGTAGCCACAGGCGGTGCATCGTTTCCTAGTGTCCTGGGCAACAACCTCATGTCAGAGCGTGTCAATCTGATTTCCAGGTACGGCTCTGCAGAATGCGGGTTTATCCTGGGCTCAGATCGCGACTATGCCGTCGACAGAGAATGGCAATACCTCAGAGCATATACTAATTCTTGGATGCAATTTGAGTCTACATTCGATGGTAAAGCAGAGTTGGTATTGAAAGACTGGCCTTTCATGGCCAAAGCAGACGACAATAACCAGTATCGGACAGGCGATCTGTTCCTACAGCACGACAATATCCCATATATGTGGAAGCACGTAGGACGATCCGACGCCATGATGACCCTCAGCAGTGGCCTGAAATTTGATCCCGCACCAATTGAGAATGAATTACTGGACAAAACACGTTCTTTGGGCCTCATTCAAGACTTGTTCATATTTGGTGAAGGACGTCTGACACCAGGTCTCTTTCTCATTCGGAGCGACGGTATTCCTAGCACGAACGACGGAGAAGTGATAGAGGCTGTCTGGCCTCACATCCAGTCAAGTAATGAGAAGCTCCCGCAACAAGCCCGACTAAGCAAACATATGGTCGTCTTGCTTGCATCCGACTCCATTCCGCTAAAGAAGAGCAGTAAAGGAACGTTGCTTCGTGGCCAAATCAAGCAAGACTACAAAGATCTGATAAATGACGCATATCACAGGAAGCCTCCTGTCAGTACCCAGCCTATGGAATACGGAGCGATTTGCCAAAATGTGTATCGGATTGTGAAGCAACATATGATCGGGGGCGCCATGTACACAGAAATCCCCGTCGATACAAAGCTTCACACTCTTGGAGCCGATTCAGCAACTGTACTAGCAATTCAAAGCCAGCTACAGAGAGATTATGGTCAGGTGACAGGCCACGTGATCACCATTGATGATGTATACAATTTTGGTGTGGAAGGCTTAGCTGCCCACATTCTGAATCAATACACAGGTGAAGGGACAAGAGAGCGCGTCAATGCTTATGAGCAGATGGAACAATTTTTTCGCGCCTACAGATACGGTGGGTAACTTTCTGCTCTTTTTTTTGAAGTGTATGAGCGCGGAGTCGAGTTTTCGAGGCAGTAATCGATGATTTCTGTTTCGTCGGTATGAGGAACTCATCGATTGATGTATATTCGGGAAAATTGTCGCAGTCTTGGGCTGAGCTGGACTCAGTCAACATGAAGAGGATTCGTTTGCCATCGGGTGAAGTATATGAGGACCACAGCACCAGTCAGATCATTTTGCCAGCATGCCTGGCCTTGCATAGTTGTAGATTCGCGTCTGAGCCATTCGGCTCAAGTAATTAATGAAAAGGCGCAAGAGACGGTTGAATCTCACATTGAGGAGAAGAATAATGTGCTGACTAAGTGTCATATCAATAGAGCCGGCGGAGGAGGCAAGTCCCGAGCCTCACAAACCCCACCAAAATGGCACGAAGCCTCATCAGTCGTCCGAGTCTGCAGGCGGGGAGGTGGTCCTCCTCACCGGAGTCACAGGTACCCTCGGAGTCTGGATCTTCCACCTCCTTCGTTTCTCTTCTACCATCAGCGAGATCCACTGCCTCATCAGAGCAACTGACTCTCACGCCGCCGAACAGCGCCTCACCAAAGCCCTTGCGCACAAACACCTCCCTCCCCACCAAGAATCAAAAACAAAGGTATTCTGGCATCCTTGCAAACTAGCTGACTCCCCTTCTTTAGGCTTGCCTGCAGCGACCCTCACCCATCTCACGGAAACAACCACTCTCATAATCCACGTCGCGTGGGCCGTAAACTTCAATCTCCCTCTCTCGAATTTCGACTCCCACCTCAGCAGCCTCCGCAATCTGCTCGACTTCGCGACATCCTCTCCGCAGCCATCTCCCCCGAAATTCTTGTTCTGTTCCTCTACAGCCTCCGTCCTAGGCCCACACATCGCATCCTTCCCCCAAACTCGCGAAAATGCTGCTCATATCGAAGAAAGTATCTACGAAAGCCCCGACTCCGCCTCCCAAATAGGTTACGCGCAATCAAAACTGGTAGCCGAGCGCATCTGCAACAGTGCACATTTTCACACCCGTCTGAGAAACAGAATCGCAGTGCTGAGAATCGGGCAATTGTGCGGAGATGACAAGTCTGGGGTCTGGAATGTGACGGAGGCGTGGCCTTTGATGTTGAGTAGTGTGCGTGTTACGGGCGCGCTGCCGGATCTGGGTGAGAAAGAGAAGTTGGGGTGGTTGAAGGTTGATTCGGCTGCGAGAGCGGTTTGTGAGGTCGGTTTTGCGGATTTTGGAGGAGGGTTGGAGGATGGGCTGGGGATAGGGGTAGGGGTAGGCGAGAAGAGGAAGAGGAAGAGGAAGGGAGACGAGGAGGAAGGAGAAAGAGGGCAGCGCGATGAGGAGAAGGAACAAGCCAATGGTGACGGCTGCCAGGTCTATCACGTCATCAACACGAATACATCCTCCACTTGGTCAGACCTCCTCCAATGGATGAATGAAATCAAACCCAACCTGGAAATCTTGCCGCCTGCTCAGTGGGTACAGCGACTAGAAGGGCTGGAAGGGAAAGCGAAGGAGCATCCAGCCAGAAAGCTGTTGGGACTATGGAAGACCGCTTACTGCAGGGAAAAAATGAGCGAAGAAGAGGGAAAGGAAGGAGGAGAGGAGAAAGAAATCGTGTATGACATGGAAAAAACGCTGCAGGTTGCGCCCACGCTTGGGAACGTGGAGCCGATTGAGAAGGCGTATTTTGGGAGGATCTGGAGGTGGGTAGAGGAGCAAGAGCAGGTGGACGGGGGGTGAGATGTAGATTGATAAAAGTTTAATGCAGTCATAATTTTGGCTTTAGCTTTGGCTTTGTTATGCGTTGCAGCTGTCAAAGCGTAATGTTCTCCCAAGTCGTTCCTGCCGCAAACGGCCATGTAGATGTAAGGAAGCTCTTACTTTGTTCTTCAAGGCTGCCTGCGCCTCACCGGTTCGTCTTGAACCGTCAGGCGACGTTGCCCTCTCCATTGTAGTTCATTTCTTGCCTTTTCTAGCTCTCCATTCTGTAAACCTCGTCAGCTTATATGTCCCCCTTCTCTGGCGGCATCCATCCGTGGCTGTGATGATTAAAATAAAACGAAATGAGAAGGGACGTAACGCTAGCCTGCAGGCTCATGATTGGTTCTCAAGGAAAGACGAGAGGTAAGAACCGGCAAAAGTAGACTGTTCCGCGGTCAGTATCTCGTACCACTCCATGTCCAAGAACGAGTAAAAGTGACTACGAGGACTGAAATATCCACTACGCTGTACTCAATCATGAAATGCCACCACACCAAAGAACAGAACAAAGACATAGCGTCCACGTGAGCGAAAACTTCTGTTTTGAGCTGCCTATCGCAGCTATTTGTACTATACAGACAAACGTTAGCATCTTTTCAGTAACAGTCTACGTTGTCAAGTATCAGGAGATGTGTTCGCTCAGGGGTTTTGGCAAATGAATAAATACAGATGGATGCCATAGTATCAACCATAATAAGCTTCTGCTTGGAATGAGTAATTTGTGTTCATCATGGCGAATGGCTGCAAAAAACATAGTGCAGAGTGGATACTAACCTATACTCAGGACCAGCCTGCTTCCTCGCGCCTCCATAACATCGCTTCCTAGATGTATACGTTAGCTGAGAGTGAATATAGGCGGTGGTTGATGATAACAGAGGCGTTGTGCTTCGCTATCAGCAGGGTTTGGCGAATAAGTGAAAAAACCAGGTGCCATGTTTCAACAGTAGTAAACTTCTGACGGGTTGAAGATTTGTCCTTCATCATACGGAGCAGGTGTTCAAGATAAGGTATGGAAGAAATACTGACCTACACGTAACGTGGTACCAGCCAAACTTTCTCCTGCATCTATGACTCTCCTATCTGAAAACGTTAGCTATGTTTTCGGGTTGATTGTTAACGATAGAAAAGGAAGGTTTCGCTATCAGCGGGGTCTGGCAACAGAACAATATACGCGCTGCCAGGATTCAACAGTAGTAAACTTCTGATGGGTTGAAGATTTGTCCTTCATCATGCGAAATAACTTGATGCCGATGGTATGTAAAGAAGACTGACCTTCATGCTGCATCATCCTGCTGAATCACGCCCTCCGCTCCTGCACCTTGGTGTCTCTGCGTCTGCTCACTGTATTCGTGTTAGCTCAAGCCTTTACAATTTCTAGATTGTTTGCATGCGGAGAATATGAGCAATCAGTAGAAGGAAATTTTCAGCAACTTGAAAAGTCATTATGACTGGGTTGAAAATACTCATCATTGCAATGGTGTGTGGGGTAGTAGAGAGATAGGTGCACTGACCTTGAGCCGGATCTCCATGGTTCAAGATATGGTCCTCTGTAGCTGAAGATCTCAGCTTGCTCTAGCATCGGATCGATGATGTCTGTTTCAATAGACTCCATGACGTCCTCGGAGTTGGCTATAGTGGTCTCATTCTTCACTTCAGGGCGTGCAAGCCCCTCAGACGCGTCGTCTTGGTGACTGGCTGTGGAAGGACGTGGTATGGGGATCTGCCACTCGTGACTGCTCGTTTCACCGTCTCGCCATTGCAACACCACTTTGTGCTGGTAGTGCGTCGCTCCTTGTAGCTTGTTCGGTCGAATGTAGCGCTCAAAATTCTCAAGACAACGGAACGCGTATAGCTGAAGAGCCATTTTAGCTTCAAAACAAACAGCAGATCAGGTTTTTCCAAGACTTACGTGCTCGTCTGATGGCGTCATGCCATGGTCGGTGCAATTCTTGAGGTAGTCATGACAATCTACACGTTGCCACTGGGCCTCACTGTCCTTCTCTCGCCAGTATCGCTCCAGTGTCAACCTGTGCTCATTGATTTTCTGGTTCTCGTTCTGTGCTTCTGTGAAAGCGCGGTCAAGCGAAGACTCGTCGTAGACAGATAACGCCATCTCTTAGCTAAGAACGATTGTTCGTGGGATGCAGGTTTAAAGAAAGGCTTTGTTGCTGCCGGGTGAAAGGGAAGAAACACAACGGACTACGGTTTGTTGTTGTGTAAGCTAGGCCGAAAAAGGATGCCTCTAAAATTTCATAGTTGGTACTACGCCTTGCTTAAAAATACGATAGTATTCGCTCGCCTGCAATTAATGCTGGAAATAGGATATATATACTTAGAAGTGAATAGGAGTTACTACAGGAGTAGTTAAAAGTGAAGAAAAGCATTGAAGTAGGCTTTAGAAGCGTTTCGCCAACTTGATCTGGAGGATTTATAGCTTATCAGCTAGTTTCATCGGCCACTTTTCTCAGTAATCCTGCGAGAGCAAGCCATAGAAACATTCTATCTGATGAACCAGGACCAACGCTCAAGAACTAAATCGCTACACGTTGGTAGCGGGCCATGCGACGTATTGATCGCCCTGGCCCAGCCTCAAAATGCCTGCATAAATCCAGGCTTGTTCTTTGACGTGCAACTCCAATGAAGGCTTTGTAGACCGATTGAATAACCTTCTGAGATGATATCTACCGCTTGCATCTTCGACCACCAACCGAATACAAATTCGCAATTCTCACATTGGCACTAGTCAATCTGATCAAAAGGGGCTCAGCCTTGAGGTAAGGTTAGCGTCAGGGCTCAAACCCTAATCAACCTTATCAGCGTATGAGCACGTCATCATTCTTGAAAACTTTTACTACTGCTTCCTGAACTTCAAGAGCTGCGTAGAACCTCTGGAAAAAACAATATCATCATGTCTTCTGCCAAACGTGCTTTGACCGATCTTCTCCCGCTTCCCAATTCCAATGTCAAGATTCCACAGCTGGGGTTCGGCATTTACCAATCCAAACCCGAAGTATGCGTCAACTCGTGCTCTACGGCCTTGCGTGCCGGTTATCGTCATATTGACTCTGCCCAATTCTACCGCAATGAAACCGAGATGGGTGTTGCTGCACGCCAAAGTGGCATTCCGCGATCGGAATTGTTTCTAACCACTAAAATTCTGAGTGCTGGAGGAAGTCCGGAGAAGACATACCAGAAATGTCTCGAAAGCGTGAAGAAGATTGGCGCCGAAGGCGAAAGCGACAGCCCTGGTTCGCCCTCTTATGTTGACTTATTTCTAATACATTCGCCAAGCGCAGGTAGTGCTGCAAGGAAGGAGATGTGGCAGGCGTTGGAAAAGCTTGAAGCGGAGGGTAGGACGAAGGCGATTGGTGTGAGCAACTTTGGCGTTGGACACATCGAAGAATTGAAGGAGTATGCAAGGATTTGGCCTCCACATATCAACCAAATTGAGGTGAGTGGCGCTTACCCCGCGCTCAAGAGACTTGCGTTACTGACGTTCATCTTTCAGTTGCATCCATGGAACCAGCAGCGGACTATCGTTGACTATTGCAATGAGCATAAAATCATCATTGAAGCTTATTGCCCCCTCGTGCGCAACCAAAAAGCTCATGATGAGACGCTCCTTTCCATCTCGAAGAAGTACGACAAGACGACAGCGCAGGTACTGATTCGTTATGGTTTGCAGAAAGGCTGGGTCTCGTTGCCAAAGAGTGACACACCTAGTCGAATCGAAGCCAATGTTGATGTATATGGATTCGAAATTGATGATACTGATATGACTAAACTTGATGATCTCGACCAAGGGCCGGCTGGAGCAATCGTGCAAGCAGTCAAAAATTGAGAATGGGGAGCTGCAAGTCATGTGCAGGTAGTGCCATCTTTTTGATATAGGACATAAAATATTCATCTATAGTCTTGCCGGATGAAGAAGCGTTTATGTGATTGGCAAGATGCGCTTTGCTAGCGTAATTTTGTGCTCTGCGCAGCTAAGGTTGCATACCTCTCCACCTATTTTGAGATTTTGCATGTTTGACTTAGCCTTCTTCCTCTCACGGCACATTTGATTCAGACTCATCCAATAAGATTCTAAAGATCGAGCGTCTCTTTATCCAGCTGCTTAAGTTCCCGCAGAATTGCGCTATGCCTTTTCCCTCGCTTTGTCGTCGAGGGTTCTGTCAACAGCGCCGCTTTCAGACAAAAAGGGGCGATGCGCCAGTCTTTGCGATCCTCCTCGCGGCTACGATGACATCATTGTTTGGCTTATGTCTAGCAATCGACTGTATAGCCTACCTCTCCTTTCTATTCTCGTGTTCTCACAACCCTGCTGCAGACAGTCCAGGAAAGCGCACGGGCTCACGCAAGCAAGACGATGAAGAAGGCCCCCTCAAATCACCGGAAAAAACCTCGAAATTCGACAAAAAAGCATGAGCAGTAAGTCAAATCTGTATACGAGCAATGGCTCTTGACTTTGAGAGACCTCTTTCCTATGTATTGCAACATTTTGATAGGCCGTACTGGATGCGCAAACCCGAAGCTGGAGCTGACATGGGGGTTTCAGATCCTACTACAGGTGTGAACTTGGGAAGAGCCTTTGATTAGTGACCCTGCCAGTTGCCTTCCGAATCGCTGACGTACACAACAGCAATTGGACTACATCTGTACCATGGGTGCCATGAGGATACGCATTTCGGCAGTAAGAGGTGGATTTTACGAGGTTATATTCTACCAAGGCATTATCTGGCGGCCTAATTGACGATACAATTCCTATGCAGTCAGATCTCAATCCAATCAGCGGATTCAAATTGAATACAATTGAGGCTGCAACTCGGTCTTGCTCAAAGGTTGAGTGCACGTATATGCTGGAACGCGCAATGGTACATCTATGCATGCAATATCTGGATCAAGTGATGCCAGATCCAGCGCTCAATTGAAGCCTCTCCCCCCAGATTCTTGTTACTACACTGGATTACCAAGCTCATGTCTATCTAATTACCAGTTTCACGGAATCCAAGCTGGAAATCGATTGCAATGTCGTGTTGGGACTCGTTCTAGGAAAAAAACTGTAACAACGAATTTGTGACTGTACACCAGGCGTCCAGACCACAGCTGAGATGCCATTTCCAGCGCTTTAAAGCGAACGTTTATACCTGGCTACGATGGGATGTTCTTTTGTGTCAAGGGCCGATGTCTCTCGAATTCATTTGCCTCTAGACAAGATCTGTCCTATTCACTACTGAAGCTCACCGAATACAAGTTACTTTGGAATGCGGACAATAATATGTGTCGATCCAAGTCCTCACTTCAGTGCTCTCTTTTCTATGCTTGCCTGTGCTGTTTTGTTTGCTCCAGGGATGGAACGATGAATAGCTTCACACCGATCACTGATTGCGAAGCCTATGGACAAGAAAGAAGGCGCTGTGTGAATTCATTTGTTCTGTACATCAAATTCATCTTCGAACAAAATGTGAATAGGAAAGGGGTCGAAACACAAGCGACGGTCTCACTTGCCTCAAATGGAATTTCATTTGCCGTGACTGATTTTGCTCAATCTTGCAACTTCCTCACAGCTTAACCACCCGAAAAATGCTTCATCACTTCCTTCTCTGCCAGTTCCCAAGCATGTTCCTGATCATCGTCGCCACTGAGCGTTCAGCTTCCAATGTCGATGACCTCCTGCCAGATTAAGGGATTGGCGCTTTACCGAAAATCGCCTAGCTCTTGCCCCTGAATGCCGTTTGCGGAAGGTACGAACGAGTCCATCTGGGGGGTTTGCTTTCATATTGGCTTTGATGACGCCTGAACTCTGGCTCATCAGCTCAAGGGCTTGCTGCATCTCTTCTGAACATAGTGTTGCCGGACAAACTGGGCAAAGAAGCGTCATACGTTGAGTAGGGATCGCTCGATGAGGGACATAGGAAAAAGACTATGGCGCATCTCTTGAGTTGATGCTGGATCACAAGCCTAATTAGTGACAATTCGACTGCTGCTATCGATGAAAAAGCTTGTGGTACGATGTAAAGAGATTCCTGCTACAAAATACGTCTGCCCGGACAAGTAAGATGTCAGCAGGCGTCCATTTGATCTTTCAAAACGAGAACAATTGACGAGTACAACCCAGAGAGAGCGCAAGCTCTCAATTGATTTTAGCTGCTTCTATCAAAAACAGATCAAACCAAGACGTCAAACCTTCAGACAAGTCAGCAATCAAAACTTGCAGTACTAGACTCCTCTGCAAGTGGATTAAAAAAGCCATTGAGAGCCTGATTTCAATCTACACCTTGGTGGTTCTGGCGAATAGCAGATACAGCAATCCTCAACAGAGGTATAAATATATATAAACCACAATTTGCAAGGGAAAGGGCAAGCAGAGTAACGAAACAGTCGGTTCTTGAGATGGATGCAGCTGCATTTAGCAGGTCTCTTCTTCTCATGCGGTAAATAAGGACGTCGTTGCCTATTTCTTCAGCTGCTATATGTGCCTGCAAGTAGTCTGGCACTTCGAGTTTCTACCGTGGTCTTCCTTTCAAAACAACTCAATGGGGATGCTACATGCCTTGTACGAAATACATTCGGCTGCTATGCTCGCTCCTGCTCCTCGCTCTCTGGCTCCTGGCTAGGAGGAGGAGGGGGAGGTGGCGGGGGCGGCGACCCTGGTGGAGATTGAGGGGGAGATTCGTATGGATGCGGATCGGGATACGGCGGGGGATCCTCATAGGGCGGGGGAGGGCTGGTGGGTTCATTGCCATCTGATGACATTTCCAGACGCGACACGATCTCGATGTGAGCCTGCTCTAAGCGATGAGTATGTGAATTCCCCACATCTCAACACCGTGACAAACAATCTCGATGGGTCCTCGGTTACAAAGTGTGGCAATTGAAAGTATATTCTGCTACTGAATAGATCAGTATTAGGTGGGGAAGGGAGCTGGTTGGGCAGGCCAAGTGGACGACCAACCAGCGCTGTACGTGGCTTGAGAGTGTCTTACTACTTGAAATTGAGATACTTGCCGTGTGTCTAGGTAGTCTTTTTTGGGACCGATTTCGATCTCCGATTTGATAAACACAGTGTGATATCCTCGATTCGCGTAAACTGTACACTCAAGGCACGACAGATTTCTGGTAGAGGCTTTCACGCACAGACCCTCTTCAACACATGCCTGACACCATGCTCTCTACAGCTTAGAGTTAGTACTAGTAGAAGCCCAGGCTATTTGAGTCTCTTCAATCCTTACCTGCTTCATCATCAACCACCATTCTTTCCACCCATACTTGACTGATCAATACTCGTCAACGTGTACAGTTCAGTAACTTCCTAAACACGACAAGCCCTCGGCACAGACTTCAACATCAGTCACTACACAAGTATCTTACACCGGGTAATCATCAAATTCAAAGACTCGTTCAGAATGTCTTCTGGAAAGTCCACACTCACTCCATACGTGTCCTCCTACCTGAATACTCAGAATGATGTCCCACCCACTTCGCAACAGAGCAACCGCCTAAGATATCCCGTCATTCTTCCTAAATCAGCACCAAGTGGCACGTACACACAGCAGCACATTCAAAACACCGGACCAACTCCTACACCAGCTATCGGAGTTCCTGGTAACAAAAATCAGTATTATTCAGTCAAACCAGGCAGCTTTCCCGGCGAGAGCGTCATGACGCCAACCAATAAACTTGGCACAACGAAGACATCACGAAATCCTCAGCCTACCCAGAACGTACACGACATCCGACCAGAAGTCCACCATTTTTGTGCATCATCCGAAATTTCAGATACCATGCTCCCCGCTACAAGAGAAAACCTAGACATTACTCAAGCTCCATATGTCAAGGGAACTGTCTGGAACGAGCAACCATTCTATCTACTATTGACCAAGACCAGTATCCCAGCTGGGGGCAAGACACAATACGGTAAGTCCGATGACCATCCCTCTAAATCATGACACGACAATCGACTAATTTGTTCCTAGAGGAGCCAGCACCCACTGGCTTCGGAGGGGTGAATGATTTCACTAGCTTTGTCTACGGGTAAGCTCTAGAAGAAGTCGAACGTTTTGTGACCAACCATTAATCTATTTACAGACAAGCCGGGATGACCAAGGACTTCTTACCTACCGTAAGATCATATCATATTTCCCTCGCACGGTCCGAACGCTGATTGAGTTCTTCAGTACATGTATATGCTGGAACCACCAGACGAGTTTAAAGCATACTGCGAGTGGAGGAAGAAGAACACAAAAGCAAAAGTAGATCACATGGGAGTGACGATGTATGAGAGATGGCCAGCGGAGGGGACAGCGGCGAGGCCGCTATTAGACATTGCAGGGCTACCCGACCAGGTCAATATCCCGCAAGTTTAGCATATCGCCATAGCTAACATCTTTAGATTTCCACGCGGGAAGAGTGGTGGCGCCTGGAGGCATGGCGACGACTTACGGGCTGTAAATGGCACGATATACTTATGCGAATGATGCCGGAGGGAGGGCTTCGGCAGGATGAAGTCGATCGCAAAAAACGGAATTCCCTGAATATGATGGGAAGTCGGACATATTACCCCCACTTTAGGATGCTATCATGGTTTATTACGTCTTCTAATAATGGTAGCGAGCGGCAGCAACTCTTGGAGTGGCTATCAGACTGGCATCGGGATCACAACTCAACCCGTGGCCTCACGCCCGGACTCGTCAACCCCTCGCTTGGAGAATCCTTGAAGAACCGCGTGAAGGTCCCCCCCTTGTCTTCGCGATGTGGGCGGCGATTACCTGGGGGCAGAAAGCGTAAGACGCTGAGTTCGCAGGCTGACGAAGAAGATCAGGATCTGAGCAGTAGGCGCAAGCGGGCCAAGCTGGTCTCCAAGAAACCCATTCGGCAGACCAAAGCTCCTCAGACTTCTGCGAATCTCAAGGGTGCAAAACCATCTTCATCTGATCGGGCTGAATGCAGCACTCATGGTCGATCTGTGTATCGTGACGACCCAAGATCATTCGCTCCTCGACCTGAATCGACCCTCAACACTTCCCCAGAAGAAGAGCCTCCCACCTCACGCTATGACAATCATCCTCTCCAAAATATACTCCGTGGACAGAACACATCTTTCCCGAACCTAAGTGCAGGGAGTGTCAATCATAGCAACTATACTCACCCAACTGCACGCCACGGCCCCAACACACACTTCCCTAGTCCGAGCTTAGAGGATCTCATGCATGGCAATCATACTCGACAAAAAGTACCCCATGGCCAAATGAAGCATTTCCCGCATCTGAACGCAGGGAATGTCCGTCATCACAATCATGCTCGCGAGGCTACTGTGCGTGGCCAGACAACGCACATCCCGAGTCTTAGTACAAGAAATAGCAGTGATTGCAATGATAATTATCCAATTGCCCCCTATGGCCGACAAACAAATCTATTGAATTCAAGGGGTTCAAGTAACAATCGTGGCAACGATCTTTTTCCAGCTACACTCCACGCCTCAAGCTCGCTTCCCCGAACTTCGGCGCGGAAAATGACGATTATAGCAACGCTTCCTTTGAAGCTGCACGCCATAGCCAACCCACGATCATCTCGAAATCGAATGCAGGAAACAACTATTATCGCGACGACCTTCCCCGAAATGCACTTCAGGGCCATAACACATCTTTCCAAAACTGGAACGCACCCATTGACGATGTCAATGGCGATTCATTTAGTTCCTACCTAAATGACGATGCGTCTTTCCAATCGGACCCTGACTTCACTCCCTGGGACTCGAGTTCCTAGAATTGTTGCACGCTGATCCGCCAAAAAAAGTTCAGTCGTTACAAATCACATCGACTTGGAGCTTCTTTCTAGTCACAGATTTATGGACGACCTTACAGACTCTCACATACTATGAGGATGACATATCACAAGACTGATGAATAAATGCAGAAGAACCGAGGACGTGGTCTGATGGCTTTGGGTTTGAGCCTCAGAGAGTCACTCTCTGGTCTACATCATAAGCGCTCGATCATGCAGGTATGCTTGTTACGTTTGCGAAATTTGCTAGACATCTTCGAAGGCGGCTTGACAGTCGAGACTGTTTGCGGAGATGAATGGCAGGTCATTGCGAGATAGTGGAAAGCACAGAGTCACTCATGGGACGAGGGGAATTGAAGGGAGATATTTGCTAATGTCGATACTTTCATCTGTGACACATGACCTTGAGGCAAATAGAAGAAAGCGTTCTCAAGCATTCCATTAAGCTCTCTGTCAGATAATATTGACATGTGTCGCGGCCGACATGTGATTGTGCTAAATTGCTGTGACACTGACAATGTGTAATCTCTCCTAATAAGTCTCCAGCTATTTGAGCCCCCACCCTCGAATCTTCGATGCACTTCGTACGCAACTGTAAACATTCAAAGGATGCGAGCGTCTTAACCAGCATCGCGTTGGGCCTCCCTCATCAATGTAATCATACCACGCGTTTTCTTCGATTCTGACGCGTGGGCTAATATCAAAGTCTGCAGATAGATGAACAGTGAGATCACTCATCTTGCGGAGTCGCTTTCTCGTTACCTGCGTCTTGGTCGTGATATGACTAGTCTTTCGCCAAAGTCTAGATCACGTTGGCCATTAAAGCCCCCATCCTTGCTTTCGCCTTTGACGCCAATTCCTACTTCGATACCAAGTGACATGAAGTTGGTGTATTTGAGCATTCGATTCAGCAGTGCTCCACATGTACGGCCAGACTGGCAATCTCCTCACCTCAGAATCGAGTCCTGCGCGAAAAGAGTAATTCTATGCTTCGTCCGGTGTTTCGTCACTAACATTGTCTACCTAGATACACTGCCTTCACATATGTGACCTGCCTTCAGTGAATTGGTGAAAGAAGGGAAACATTCTATGAAACCCTTACTCTCATGGATATCTGGTGTCCTCCGAAAAGAGCTGCAAATAGACAAATCATAGCCGCAGGTATCAAAATGTGGAACGTTCAGATGCAGGCATTCCCGTTTGCCTGATATCCAGCCAAAGCTTGTATGAAAGCTCCAAACAGGAGGCCACGGAGACCGACCTGAACATCCTTCGAGTATGATATCCAAACATTTCATCAGACAAAAGCCAGCCGTTGCAAGTCTGTTTCACCGAAGCACCTACTATCCATGGCGACACACCCAGGATTGATACGGCGAGTCGGACTTCAGCATCGATTCCATGATCAAAGGTACTGACGTGCATAGACGTGTTACATCTAGACCTTGAAGCCTGCCTCAATTGTACCAGTCCGTGAGCCCGTCTTTGAAAACGAGTCGATGAAAATAATATATTTAAGCTCAAGTGAGGAAGCACGTGGCATGGTGAAGAATCTCAATAGCAGTTGACTACTTCCGCTACACCACTCAAGCTTTTGAAGCACGCAACGCATCCGAACAATCCGGGAGTCATTGGCTATCGTCGTCGCTTACGGACCCTTCGCAGTTTCTTCCCACGCCAAATCCTCCGCTACGTCTATCCGATGAACTCATCAGACCCTCGACGAATCTCTTGCCGCAACAACGACTTCTGGCAGCAATTGGCCGTAGCCGGTGTCAACAGCCCAGGGGTGAAGTTTACACAGGGTTGGAACTCTAAGAAGCTGCTACTCAAGCGATATCCTGAAGCGCAAGAACCTCACGATTGACGTCCGAGCAAAATATCTACACAGAACAACGAAGATTTGAGGTTCACCTGATCTACAGTCGCTGGATCTGCCGTCTCTCTCGGCCAACAATTCTCGTGATTCAGGGGACTGAATTATCTGACAGAGGAGTATTCTCGGCTATCTTTGGCGACATTGCTGAGAATTCGGATATCATTACTGGACTTTTGCCCGGCAACTGTTCTTGTGCCAGCAAATCACCCGAATCTATAAGTCATTTTCCTCTCGAATTGCCTTAGGCACTCCTTCGATAGTCCCGTCGACGTTTCCGGCTCTGCGGCAAGCATCATCTGGAGGAAACAGGTCGCTGCTTTGTAAGGCTTCCAGGAGGTCTGTCGACTTGACAAATATGTGCTCAGACTACTCTCAAATCTGCCTCTAGGTCATATCTGACTCAAGACTATATCGGAGGTCAGCTTTTAGAGAATTTGCACTTCTTGATGTGGCTCACTGGGATTCTCTCTAGGTATATTAGGCCCGCGAAGCTTTCCAACAAGATACACATTTACGCATATTCCGGTGCCGTGCTTCCTGATCAATAAAAAGACACACCAGGGAGATCGTTGTCAAGACTCGCTGGTCTGAACGCTTCACTCCAATACATAGATTTAAAGCCCGCTTTTGTCGTTTCTTCGCGTCTTTTTATGGCGAGTAGTAGACTAGGTACAAATATCGCTCGCATTGGTCGCTGGCTATGATGGGAATGCCTTGGGGAAATTAGACGGCCTTCTCTACTCACTACAAAGCCAAGAAGTATTTCCAAGTCAAGACAGGAGGACAATGAATTCACTGGTCTCAGCTTAATTGTAGATTGCTAACCTTGCTATGGATTCTGGACTGTTTGGCACTTGAAGCAAAGTGTTTGTCAAGTCATTGAGCTGACTCCCAAATAGGACCATTGGTTGACAAACTCGACCAGCTGGTTTGCTAGGACCGCTAAATGCCCAGCAGATATTTGGCAACATTAAATGCTGCAATCCCATGCACGATCCCATGAACGTGGTCAGCATCTCCCCCGTAGAAGCTTCGTGAAATGACCCCTGGTATCGTACTGGTGAAATGACATGAAATGACATCGCGTCTGTCTAATTGTAGCACGCAAGGCAGATGGAAAGTTATTGGTCTTCAGGGCATAATATGCTCTTCGATGCCATATATTTCTTGGTTTGAGAGTTGCCTCATGGCAAATAAGGATCAAACAAGAGGGAAGCTCAGGGATCAGGAGCTGTGGACATTTGACGTTTGCTTTGATCATGCATATCTCCAAATACCGGACTACGCAATCTACCGGGTCAAGTAAACAGAGCGTTGTTAATGAAGAGCATTCACAGAGCAGGGACAACGCTCGATGCTGTGAAGTCCCAACGATCTCGATCGTAAGACCGTGGTATTAGTGAATCTGCCTGGGCATATCAGCAACAATAGATAGCAGCCTGATGCCTGGCCAGTCAGGACCTCCATTCCAAATTGTGTCTCCACAATGCGGGCGTGTTGGGACCGTGCCCATTGAGCACCAACCAGCCGCCGTAGCTCTACCCTAGCCTCGAAATTAGTGCAACTGCTCAATCTTTTGAGTTTTTAGCCTTCCTTGTCTCCGTTCGTGATCCCCATACCCAGCCCCCTCTTGTTGTCACTGGTGGTGATGGTGTAGTGTTCTTGCTCGACGACGATACATCTATATCGTATACATCCGTTACCTGAACTTCCAGATCGTGAATCTATACAGCTCCATGTCTTGATGAGAGACAATTGCTCATTTTCGCAATATTGAACGCCATCTTCCATCATGAAGTTCGTTCCAGAGTATCCACAGAAACTTCCTACCCTGAAGCCAGCACCCATTGACAAGAGAGAGCCACCGGACGACCAGCAGCCTCGCAAATTCGTCATCTATGGCCCTACAGCGTCATCGACGTATGAGCCAAGCCCTTACCATCATCATCGTATCCCGCAAAGTCGATCTTTAGATCACATCATGAACCCTTATTCTGCACGCGATGAGAATTACAATCGATCAGCGACACCAGAGTTGACCTCTAGTGCTCCTGGACCTATTAACAGCCCGTATTACACTGCAGTGCCCACTCAGAACGCCATGAAGCCATCGGCAGATGGACAGCAGTACACCCTTTACCAACGAGGCGGTGAATCCCTTGGCCCGACTGCGGAAGAAGCTATCAAAGCATCTCGATCATCGAGATTCGAGCCGATCTTACCGTCGACAAATTGTATAACGTTGCTACCCAAGAATGCTATCACAATGCCGCCGAAAAACCATCCAATGCAGAATCCTCGTGATCCACGGCCTGAAGTGCACCACCACTCACCCGATTCCAGAATTTCCCGAACCGTCCTTCCAGCGACGCCCAAGAACCTAGCTATAACTCGTGCCAAGTATGTCCCTGACTTGCTATGGGAGGATCAGCCTTTCTTCAAGCTTCTCACCGAGGTCACTGGACCGCCGGGCTCTATCACGGAGTATCGTAAGTGCAGTCCTGCATTATTACGCTCGATCTGGGTAGCTGACTGCATACAGAAGTGCCGTCCCCCGCGGGTTTCCGTGGTGGTTCCGATAAGACATCATTCGTCTTTGGGTATGCATCACACTGTGGCTGAATGGCAAGTCGTTGATCATAGTTCAGACAAGCAGAAATGACTGCGGATTTCTTGCCAGTGGTGAGTCAAATACTCCAAACGAGCTGTTCGACTACTAAGACTTCCAGATCATGTACATGATTGTGCCACCACTTGAATTTAAGGGATACCAGAGGACCAGGAAACCTCCCAAAAGAGATAGCAATGGGGATATCGTTTATGAGTCCTGGCCACTTCAAGACAGGGCGCCTCGACACCTTGTCAATCATCCCGGGCTACCAGACAAGGCAAGACTGCCCAAATCAAAACCGACCTCCACTGACAATGCTAGATCTGTTCAAAAGAGCACATCTGGCGAATAGAGTTCTGGCGCCGACTCACAGGATGTACATGGGCAGATATCTTGATGCGTATGGAACCAGAGACCATCGATCACACAATGGCGGACGAGGATCGCAAGCGAAACTGCCTCAACATGCTCGGAAGTAGGACGTATTATCCCCACTACAAGCTGACATCTTGGTTCATTCATGATCACAATACTGGAGCCAACCGCGCTGGGATCTTCTCGCTATTGTCTGATTGGCATATTGCTAACAACACATCCCGTGGAATCTCTCCAGGTTACATCAACCCAGCACTTGGAGAGATCCCAAATAATCGTATAGTCGTTCCCGCCATCTCGGAACGCTGCGGCAGGAGACTTTGTGGAGGACGAGTGATGAAGCGTATGAGGGACGAGGGATTGGTAGACACTGACTACCAAGGCCCAAAAATCAAGCAGACCATAAGAAGCAGCGAGAGAATTCAGAAAATGAACAAGGGAAAGGATATCAAGAGCTATGCGTCCAACGAGTCAGACGACACCAATGACAACGAAGCTCTACCTGCCGTCGTCTTTGCAGACAGGCTCAATCACGCCAATGGATTACTGAATCCGAGCAGCTGTGTCTCAGCCCCAGTTCCCCCGGTGATCCCTTCACTAAATGAAATCGAAATTACTGCACCAGAGTTCTTTCGCACGTCGCAACCAATCATTGAGCCAACACACGGCTCTCCATTTGTTGGACGTCGTCGTTCTCGTTCTCCCACGCATTTCGCTGGCTGGGAAGAGCAGTGGCCTGTAGGACCTGAGTATGCGGGTATGGTCAATGGACGTCCTGCATTCCATATGCATCCCAGCCTATACCACCACTTCTTCGACCCCAATTACACTCCAATCGACCCTGAATTGGAGGGGTCAAGCCCCGACTAAGGGCATCTATCTGCTGCTGTTCTACCAAAGACGCCACGCCCCGAGAGCTGGCGCATATCATGACGCCTTCTACTAACGAATTTTCCTCTGCTGTCGCCTGCTTCGCTTGCTAAACGAAAAATTGATGGATATGGTGGGCCGGCGGTCTGGAAATAAAGCCGGATATATATGGCTATGGGAGGGGAGAGGGGGAAGGAGTGAAGGAGGAGGGGGGTGGAGAGGGGAGGAGTGAAGGGGGATCGCTTTGCTGGCTGAAAAGCCAATGTTTTGTTTCCTTTGTGCTTTTCTTTGTTTTTTAGTCTACAAAATTTTCCTTTTGACGAATCCGTGCTGACTCTTGCATCCGCTGCTACTACATTCTAGACTGCCCTGTCGCCTCTATTGACGACCCCATTCACTTCTAGCATAACTTCTGTCTCTTTACTTCTATCAAAGCCGTCCGCGCTATGTCTAGCAGCTAGCTGCCAGCCCCCGAACGGTAAGACGCACAGACAGTTGCAACTATCGCAAATACCCTCTACACTGTGCTATCACCTTGGATTGCATCCCCATTCACTTCTACCATACTTGCTACCTCTATCCTTCCGTTGACGCGGTTAGCGCTACGCCTCTGACAGCGAGCTACAGGCCCTTGAAAACTACAATCTTTGCGCTTTCGTCACTATTTATATTCCTGTTCACTTCTACGATGCCTTCTACATCTATGCCTGTAACGAAGCTGTCAGCGCTACGTCTCTGACAGGAGACCGCGAGGCTGTGAAAGGTAAGCCCAGCCCAGATGGGGTCCTTGGGTTACAAATAACGCCTAGCACAGGTACCACGGCAAAGAATGCCACCAACGGCTATCGTCTCGCCAATCAATCGTGAGACAGGAGTTGAGCCACCTGTGGGTCTTGCAGAGCAAGTTACAGCCTCCGATTGCACCCCCATCTACATCTATCATACCTTGTGTTTCTGTTCTTCCATCAAAGCCGTCAGCGCTACGCGTCTGGGGGCAAGCTGCAAGCCAGACAAAGGGATGACCAGGATAGATCTATTCCACGACTACGCTTAATTATTGATAAAGGTAGAACCACTGCCAGTACACGACATCTCTCGGCCAGCCGTCGTTGATAGACCGTCGTAAACGGTATCACCCTGGTGAAGCCTTTCCAAGTATGATCCTACCTTCCGTTGCCCTCGTCTTCACTTCTAAGCCCTCTTTCGCCTCCACCGGCTCCTTTGAAGAGGTCAATTTCGGAGGATCTGGGGCTAGCTGAACGTCGTTAAAAGATAGACCAAGCCCGGATATTGTACCTAGGATGCAGCTCAAAATTTGCACAATCGTCGCCGGTGATAGATCACTTCTGTGGCACCTCCTTTCTGATCGATTTTGACATCCTGTCTCGGCCCGAATTATTCTTCTCTTTCCACAATTTCTATATCCCTGGCATCCGATTCACAGATTGCTGCTGGGCGCCCGGTAAATCACTGGTACTTTCAGGAGGTCGAGGCTAATCAAATTGGAGACTACGCTTTCAGATGATGAATTGCATCGAAATCTTTTCGAAAGTTCTCTTTATAGAGCACGCCCTAGGCACTCAGCCTTCAGGAGAGCTCCACTAGCACGAAGATTAGCGATTTGTGCTTCAACTTGCGAACATACTTTGAATCTACTGCTAAACACCCCTGTTTCTTCGAACCCTTCTTCAATAGACAAGTGACGGGTATGCTACACGCAGTAGTGGATCATCAGCAGGTATGAAAATTCCGTTCGTGTTTTTAAAACTTCGGCTCACACTTGACGCAGCTGCCTTCGTCTTTAAGTCTACTCATTCTATCCGTCTCCGTCGAGCTACCATCGCACGACAAGTCACCCACCACCAACCTTGACCAATCGTGTTTCTACCTCCATGTTCCCTCTCACTTTACGGCCTCAATTATCGCTTTCATCCACCTAATATGTGCTGTGCAAGTCGTTTCTCAGTCATTGAGGTGCACGGAAGAACTAGGGCGGCTCTAGAATGATTCTATGGATTGAATATCAGAAGATGTAGTTGGTGTTGGCGGTGATGGTGGTTAACACAACGACTCTTGGGCAGTAGACACGATAGAGGGATATCCTGAGTCAGGGCAGAGCGGTAAGTCGTGGGACCGGGCGAGTATGTCATTCGAAGACCGCATGCCCCTTATACAACCTCGAATCGCAGTAAATGATACATTGATTGGATTTAAGAAGCTCATGAAGAAGAAGAGAGAGTTTTGCCCACTGTCAAAGGAATTTTTGAAATGTTTGGCAACGACTTGAAAGACTATCTAGGCACACGATATGTTGGAGCTTCTTCAGCATACATTTGTAATAACGTTCACGGCAGGTGGTTGATCTTCACATGCAATGATATAGCTGGCCCAGCAATTTTGAAGCAGAGGCGAATTATGGCGGAGGGAGTAGAGACACTGTAAGAAAGGAATGGTAGGAAACACATCGGCTGGTAATATTGCGTTGATTTAGTCTCAATATATACAAATGGGATATCGTAGCTCCTAGAAAGCCGTGGCCGGTCTTTGAGAATGTGATATAGCAGCTTGAGGTTCCGTAGCAAATGTCAGAACTGCCTTGAAAGTTTCAATCGTACGTCAAGGTCTAAAATCTGTTGACCGGTCATATATATTTTCACAAGCGTCCAGACGCTAAGCGAAAATCACCACAAATCTCCCGTCACCCACCCAACAGCGCCCTCTCTCTCTTGACCAAACACCCCTCTCACAGTTCGACTTCATCCCTGGTCCTCCCTTCAAAGATCGCAAAGTAAGTTCGTACACGACCATCTCTCTTGCTCCTTTTTCGCCAGTCACGACTCCCGCAGACGCGTTATCCCTCACTTCCTAGCACTGTTTGACCACGACCTCGATTACACTCGTGACAGTTGAAGCTCAGTGAAAGTACCACGCTGACGGTAGACGCTTCTACAGACTGACCCATCGTGGTTCTTCGCCTTGAAGGATCAACAGAGTTGGTGCGCCAAGCTGGTGGATGTTCCTCATCGACGAGCCATACACATGATCCGTGTGGTCAAGCAGGCCAAAAATCGCCTGGGATAGGGCTCTATCCTTCTTTTCGCTCCTCTGGCACCGCCATCAAACCAAGACGCTGCTCCAATATAGATTAATCATGTCGAGCGAGAAAGGTCCGAGACCGGTAGATTTCGACTACTATGTGCTTCGCCAGTAATGTTGGCAAAGAAATCAAAAAGAGTCAAAAAGCGGACTGAGATACGTGGCAATGAGAAAGACCTCCAGAGACCACGTTTGAATAAACACCAGAAGACCGGTGTCTTGGACATGGGTTTGTACGATTTTCCGATGAAAACGATCAGCAGCGAGCTCTATCCGAAATGCAAGGCGTATACTGTGGAAACCGTCCCATGCGCATCTCAACTGCAACGCCAAAGCACAAGCACAGGGTTTATGTAAGATTGGACTAGTTTCCCAAACGTAAAGACCACAGATCCTACTTCCGAGCCCCAGATACGGACCCCTGATCCGAGTCCAATTAATCAGCCGCAACCAATGAATCAGTTTACCGATCCCAACAACACTGCTGTGTTCGTTGGCGGCTTGTCAGGGTATGTCACCGAAGGTGGGCCGTTGGAAAGAATGAGTTGAAAGCAGCACAAAATTACACTATCTCCTTTCCTCGACTGGCTTCGTAAAGACAATCAGCCGCGACCTATGAATCAGTTCACCGATCCCAACAACACTAGTGTGTTCGTCGGCGGCTTGTCAGGGTATGTCACCGGCCGTGGGTCGTTTGGAGGATAGTTCACAAACAGCACAATTTGCACGATCTCCTTTTTTCGTACCATCTCAGCACACGCAGCAGATACGTCCCCAATAATTTCCGTGGGCTTCTCCGAAAGTCCATACGGATCACGTACAGTCTATGATTGCGAGGCTCACTCGCCGCCCGTGTACTATTAGATCAACAGGAACTTCACTCCCCTGTCTCGCCGATCCCAACAACACTACTGTGTTCGTATGCGGCTTGTCAGAATATGTCACAGAAGATGAATCTCGCTCATTGGGGGTTTGATGATGGACCCGAGTGAGAAGCAGTCATCGGACTATGGTGGCTGTTCAGCGAGCGGACACGGTATTCGATACGATGAGAAGAATAGGATAGTCAATTAGTAATACTAAAGCCATTGCAAACAGTCTTAGTATTGTGCCCATCAACCGTCGTCTTCGATTTGGTTTGCTTTCCTCGCTATCTCGGAAGTTCACAGGAAGGTTTTCAAAAAGTACTGCTTGATCCTGACTCTTTGACGAGGAGAGAAGCCAAATGATTTAATGTGTCTTGCCGATAGTGTTTAGCACAAAGACGTTGTGCATATACGATATGACATCTATGGTAGCTTGAAGATCCTGCTAAACGTCAGCCAAAATTCATGTTTTGGCACCTGCAAGCCGCGCAAGGACATGGCCAATTAATGACAATGCCAGGAGCTTCTAGGGGCTCAAGGTCTTGGGCTACCTGCCTTGAAAGACCTCTTAGAGCTCAGTCTTCGGCTACAGTTCTAGGCGACTCATACGCGCAACTAGCCCAATGGTCGCTAGGTTCTGCACTCATCCCCAGCCTTTTGTACATACCAGTAAACAAATGGTTTCTAGTCACGTCCCAGACCTCACAATTTTTTATCGTCGGCTGGCACAAGAACCCACTCGCCCGCCTCAATAAAGAAGGTCATTACGAGCAATGACCTTCTGATAGTGACGAATGCCTTCGAAAAGATGTCAACGACTATCATGCCTCTTCAGGACAAGAGAGACGCATGATAATCACATGTAGACTCTATGAGTTCACTGGGCCTTACAACCAGAGAATCACTCATCAAGATCAAAGAAGAGCCAAAGAGCTGGGAGGTGACAAAGGAACCCCATCAGACCATCTCTTCCGCAAACATCCTCGTACAAAGCAACCCACGTCTCTATGGTTTCACGCTGCCGGCTCAAGGAACAACTGAATGACAAAGTGAGGGTCCGACCTTGGTCCTTGAAACACAACAGTCATGTCTATACCTGAGGACCTATTGAGACGATGAGCGGGCAAGTCAGTCGCCCCCTCTGGGCTGCACAGCTACTGAGATCCCTGAGGTAGAATTGCCTTCACAGCTGGGTGCGCTCGATGATTTTGTAGTACAGAAGCAGTTCCTCGACTAGAATCTTGAAAGAAATGCTGGTTCAATGATCGCAATAGGGTGGTTGGTCAAGAAGCTCGAGGCTCAAGGCCGGGAGACCGCTATCGTCCCATTAATGAACTGGACTCACTTTTGCGAATGGAATCAAAGACAGTCAACCACATGTCGGAGCCTACCGGCCTAGAAATCCCAGGCGATTGATCTACGAGAAAAACCCCCTGTTAGGTCGTATCCGGCCAGAATAATCGAGAAGTCGGCCTGTCAGATGCTTTGAAAGTTAAAAATAAAACAAGGGACCATAGGAGGTGATAAAGGAAGATGCTCTACATCGACAACAGCTGACGGCCTCAAGGTGTGAGGAGCCGAAGCAAGGCTTGTTGAAGAATCCACCGATGACGCTCTGGCTTGACGAACTACGAGCACATACCTTCAATGCCGATAGTACAGGCGCATAAAGCAAGGCTACCAGTCTGCCGGCGCTACACTCCCATCATGATATGTTCATCGGCATCGATTACTATAGAAAATGTTTCTAAGTAGTCGTGACTGGAAGCCTCTCTAATGTCTTTGCCGAAAAGCTACAGCAACATTGTTGGGAGGAAGACCCTCAAAGGTGGATGTGACGTGCATGATCCTAAGAAAAGCTATCAAGTCTGCCGAAATAATATGCAAGTGGAGTACATGTGTGGTGAGTCGCAGCTTCCCCACTTTCCTTTGCGTAGAAAGCCAAATATGGTTCCTGACAACGAAAAGAGCACTTGAGAAATATCCACCGCTATCTGCGACCTTACAATATTACTGGATCCAAGATTATGAAGGCGTCGGATAGTCAGGTTTTCCCGGAGCCAGCAAAATTATACAGACTTACTAATGCATGAGATGTGGATGTTCAATCCTGTGCTGTCCCCTGCATTCACGCGAAGCTGATACATCAAGGACTGAGCTGCAACTGGTCTCAGCTTCATCAGCTTGGTTTTTGCCACTTCGAAGGATTCCTGCATTCCCTCTCAATATCCACAACTAGGATAGGCGACTCCCTACCTTATTCGATGATAGAATGAGGAAATGGTGCAATCTGACTTCGCATCGTGTTTTCAGTGAGTCGTCCAGTCGCTCATGCCTATCTGAGTACACCACTGATTGCTGGGTAGCACTCAAGCAACGCTGGAAATAGCAGCTTTGGAATCAGTAGAAAGAGTAGGAGTAATGGGTAACAGGGAAAACCTCCAAGTGAGGCTAGGGGCCTTATTATCGCAGGGCATGAATCTGCTGTCAATGGGCATTGAATCATGACGCTTGATGCCATGATCGAAGACACATGCGATCTCTATCTCAACGCTGCAGTCGATTGTATTGCAGAGGTTACTATTCCAAAAACTGAAATGAACTTGTTGCGACGTGCCAATCGCTGAAGGTCGGAGATCGTAATAGGACACTGATATTACAATGGATCACACCCAAGAATCGCTCTGGAATGTCCACACCATAGCCTCGTGCACTTTCTCCTGCTTATTTCTTTGACTTTGACGCAGAGATCTCTTTGTTGCCCTGTCACCGAATGACGCTTGCTTATTGCACCATTTCGCCGCTTGCGGAAGTTCTTGGTGGTGCCTTCCATCCTCTCCTTCGTAAACTCATGAGCTCACCAGAACGAAGGATGCATGATGACCTCTATTCATTGCTTGCTCTGCTGTATGGTATCTATGATGTGCTTGCTCGACTTTTGTATGGAAAAAATGTAACAAGAATGAGAGCCACGATTCCCAATCCTGAGAACTCGGGCCTGTGCCGTCAGTTGCTAAGCTATGCTCACTACGGGCTGTCAAGAAAGCCCTTCACTTGTCTCGCTGTACCATCCCCGACATCACAGTCCTGGAAGTCATGTGGACCTTTCCTCTCAACAAGAAAGCCCACTAATGCGAGATCCTCTCCAGAGCATTAATCCTCTTGCTAGCTGCGACCTCTCGAACGGCTTTTCGAACTTGTTCGGCCGTAGTCTCCATGATCAATATACTGACAATCTTGTCCTGAGTCCCCTGCAACAACGCAGACACGGCTGCTCTGACTCCACCCAGAAATGCCTTTGACCATACGAGTCCAGGAGACGATTGATCGCATCATAGCCTAAGTTTACCGCATTGACTCCCAACATGGCATCCAGCATTCGAAGTCCTGGGCGTTTCCCGTTGGGAACTCTTCGGTGAAGAAGACCTTTCTTACAGGGCGCGTTGAGGATGGCAGTGACCGTGAACGGAAGAAATACTAGAGATTGATCAGCCATAGCCAGGCGGTGGTTCTCGAACAGCAGGATATACTAGATAGTTGCTGATCACGAAGAATGCGTCAGTCCTAGACGGTTGTGGAAGCTTTAGGGCTGGGTCACGGGTGGCAGGACCCTAAAAGCCACCCGGGAGGACTGCGCTGTGTCCTTGATTGGGGCAGGATCTAGGGTGCAGCTAAAGCGCTATGCCCTAAGCGGTCTGGTACATCCCCTATATTCGCCACATTTCTATCTTTTGGCAGCATAAAAGAAGGAGCAGACATTAAGTCTGATATAGCGCACAGGGCTCTCGAACGGTAGATCACGAGCTGAGATGACGAAAGACTATAAATGAGAGGACCAGAGAAGCCCGAAACGATTGCAATCGAAGGGTAATAAGCTATAAGCAGACCGGAGAAGAGAGGCACCCAGCCATTGACTGCTGGAGCCATTATTGCATTCGTCCTTCTCAGCTATGCTAGTATTTGCTCCTACCCCCCGCGAGACTTGAACTTCCCAATCCAGCCCTCTCCGTCCCCCTCTACTCCGCATGCCACGTCTCATTAGCGTTCCTGTACCAATCAACAAATTGGTGAAAGATCTGCAACGTCTCCCACTCGGCCACGATCTCCATCAACTCGTTTGTCAGCTGGTCGCCCTGTTCGATCGTCCAGGGCTGCAGCGGCATCCACTCGATGAGCTTTTCGTCCATCCTGGTCTGTAGAAGACGCCATTGGTGCAGAGGCACCCTGGAGGAGTCGTAGTGCATGTTTGCTGAGTCTTGTTAGCTGTTTGTGTGGGTTAGAAGGGGTGGAGGTATTGATGCTTACCGGAAGAAGATGCCATTTGCAGCTAGATGGTTTGGGGAGTTAGCTAGGTTGGTTCTGTGCTTATGTGATTGCAGGTTGAAAGAGAGTTAATTGGTTGAAGGGAAGGCGTTTGCGGAGTATTCAGAGCTTAGAGAAGGCTGTTGCGAGCTGTTTGTAGAACAACTTGGGCTGTTATTGGCTGTGCTGATGGCTGGAGTGGTTTGAAAATTTTGAGGGCACAGATATAGGACTAGCGCCCAAGCCAAGACATTACTACTGGTGTTTCTACAGAAGCCTGAGAATCAGGGAACAGGGTTCATGATCCTTAAGAAACGGTTTGTTCATACTATTACTATTGCTAGCCAGTCGTAAAGACGCAGCGTAGCTCCATTGACCAGCTTACCCTCCCCCTTCTTGCGTTCATCGTTCTTATCTTGACCCGGGAAGTATTTTGTCTCGCCAGTCTGTGAACAATTTTCACAGTCACGGTTGTCCACACTATCTATGACGCATCGCAGTCTAGCACCCAAGTACCCTCCCTCTCTTTGCGTTCATCGTCTTTATCTGACCCTTGCCACATTTCTTCGGGAGGTATTTTGTCTCGCCAGTTTGTGAACAGTTTTCACATTCACGGTCGTCCACACTTGGTATAGCCCCCCCAGCCGTCGTTGTATTCCTATATATTTTTTTTGCTGTTTTTTTTTAAATTATATCACGGCAGACTCGTGCGAGACCCATCACCCTCGATTTTCCTCCACTCATGTTGCCTGAGCAACTGTGGGCGATACCCACATTCGTGGTTGTCCAGAAATCGTCATAGTACTCCCATTCGTGGTCAAATGTCTCGATCTTTCCACATTCTTGGCAGCGAGCCTTAGGAACTGTCAGCGATCTCTCATGAGCCAGAGCCGAAAGGACTAGTACTCGAATACAGTCTGGTGGCCTATAAATATTAGTAAAGGCGCCATTGACAATGCTAAAAGGAGTCATACACATGCTGATGATGCTCAGAGACCAAAACCTTCCAAAGTGACATCTTATTTCAATTGAAAAGGCAAAGTAGCATGCGAGAATGTAAGCAGGATCCAGCATCCACCGTCGATAAAATTTTGGTGAACCGTCAGCTGTTTTGTGCGGAGCCTGGCTGAAATCCTCGACGTCGTTAGCAGATATGTCTATAGGAATTTACTTGTCTTCGCTAGCAGATTGGTCTTTGAAGTACACGTGGATGTGCGCGAGTCTGTACAAGGAACTGATGGACAACAGAGAATACTCTTGAACACCACTTTGAAGCAGAAACGCGTCCGTAGCGAAGGGAATGGCGCTAACTGAAGAGACACCGGAACCATTTCCTACGTACCTAGTCGTCCGAATGATAATGTAAATGTTTGCCGTTTGCTTGTTCGATCATCGAGTGTGGGGTGTAGGAGAGTCGATGGTGATCCCATGTGAAATCCAAATTGTGAAATTGGCTAACAACCAAAACGGGATGTGTCAGACGCTAAGGAAAGTCGCTACATCTTTAGTGCTGCACCTCGATCCGGGATGCTGCAATGTATTGATCTGCACCTCGAGTAGCTTATACGGGACAAATGACTGAAGTACTGTCCGGCGCTGGTAGATTTAGGTACATCACAAGAGTTTCCCACAGCTCAAACTAGAGTAGACTGCCACCAACTCCATGCATATAATTTCACATTGCTTGTTACCGTGAGTCTGCATCGCTGCTCCCCCATGAAAGCTGTTCTTCACTGGTAGGGATTCTCGCCTAGGGAACAAGAGAAAGTATGGCGGTACATTTGTACTGTATTTGAGCCAACATGTCACTGAATCTAGCAATGACTCAAGTCTTTCCAATTTCAAGCCTCAGCACGCAAAGTACTAGAGATCACGTTGTATGAAAGAAAAACAGTGGAGTGCAAAGGTTTCATTGACTCAAGTCTCTAGTCACAAAGCAATCTCTCCAGCTCTCCATGCTATAATTCCATCCCATCTTCCCCCTACTCCCCGTTCTTCTTCTGGCGGATCTCGTGGAAGTGCACGTCCCACCCCGCCGCGCGCGATGGCAATGGTGGTCTTCTGGGCGTTGCTATGGTCTTGGCAGTCGTTGCAGTTCTTGTCCGACATATAGTACTCATCCTGCCCAGTCACCCTCTTGCAGCCCGACCCGTCCCCGATGACCTTGCCATCGCATTTGAAGGTATAGCCTGCCTCGTGCGTGATTTGCACGAGGGTCTCTGGTGAGGTCCTCGGAGACAGCCTCTATGTCTCTATCTCAACTCCGAGAAGTCTAAAAATATCTGGCCTCGCATCAGCGCTTCTGCCGAGACCAAGACGCCCAGACCATCCAATCTCTTCCTGTTTGCCGATGTATTGCTGCACAGCAGAAGTGGTAGCTAGAATGTTGGTATTCGTGAACGTAGACCATTCATCGGTCTAGTGCTAGGCAACAGGGGAGACAAGACGGATACGCTAACGTATTGTGAATGTCATGCTTGGAATTCGTCAAGCTCCCATCCCGAAGTACGATGCCGCAGCAAGATCGTGCCACAGACTTCGCTCGGACGCTTCAGCTCTTCGTCTTCGTCCGGGGATCCTGTAATTGTGAGTATTAGAAGACTCCTAAAATCGCGCAGACCATACTACTTCATAGCCAAATCTACTTTGAGAGAGGAAAGGATAAAGCCGTCCTTGAAGGGATAGCAACACCCGACCAACATGTTCTGCCATTCCCTGTTGACCAACCTATTCCACGTTGGTTGGTGGTGCGGCAGGATAATTGTTATCCAACCCGAGGTTTGGGCTACAGGCCAAGGACACACATCGGGAGTAGCTTGGTGGAGTATCGTCAGGTTGGACGGATATTCAGAGTAGGAGAGACCGGAGTGAGTGGGAATGCAGGCCAAGCACAGATGGCATATCCTTCTTGCTGAAGTATCGTCACGATAAATTGTAGCCGGAGAGAAAGCCGGTCAAGCATAAAAAGCGTGACTGACCTGCATTAAGTGTGGTTGGATTAGTTGGACGTCTAGAGCAGGAGAGTTGCTCGTCGGTCAGCGGCTATCAAAATTACTCCTAGCCTTTTCGATGGAAGAAAAGCTGAAAGTGATAGATGTGATTGCTAGACTGAGTATACCTTGGCTTGTTTTGACTGTTGTAGTCCGTGGTCAGTGTCAGTGGAAGATCAGCGGCTGGCCTCGCTCGGTCATATGCTTCTATTTCCTGAACTAACCGAATTCAGCAGTGTCCATTCTTCGAGCGGATTTCAAGTGCATTCGGGAGATGAAAACAATCACCCAGCAAAGCATTCCGTCCTCACCATATTGGACCAATTTGAGTGGTCTGACTGTCAAAGACTGGGTAAACGGACTGAGAATAGCACGAACATTGCTTTCTTGCTGCGCGGTAAGGGCTTGAGTTCCATGAAATGCACTCAAGAAGACGAGATCTCAACTTATGTGCCCCTTTCTTTTACGAAAGACTCTGATTGAGTTCAGAAAGCACAAATTGACTCTATGTTTTCATCAAGGCTGCGCCGTGCCAACACGCAGAGCCAACAGCATCAATCTTTCGAAAATGAACATGAGTACTCATTGGCTATTAAATCTCCATGATAAATTTCGGACGTCCAAGCGCCATCTCCCTTGTGGAGAGGCTGGAGAGTCTTGGATCAAAGACCTCCTGGAAGCGTTCTGATACCATGCGGAATGAAGTCCAGAATTATCTAGGTATGCTGCGGGGACTTAGATCGAGCCTATGGCACTAATAGAGAGTAGCAGATCAAGATACCACACACAAGGACACAAAAGAATCAGGAGGCTTGTTATCGCTCCACGGCTGCTGAGTTTTCACAGAAACACGGCTCCGGGTTTCTGGTCACAAAAACCCCACGCAATCTTCATCCTATGTTTGACCTCTCCAGCCTCAAATGGTCGAAGAAACTTTCATTGCTTACCTGCCAAATATTCATACAGAGTCTCTGAGACGCCCGCTTGGTATGGAAGGGAATGGGACTCTTCTGCTGATGAAGGCTACCCAGATAACAGATCATAACAAGTCTATGCATCTGTCGAAGATAGCTTTGGAGGTGTTAGGTCTTTTTGGACGAGAAAGCTCTCCGTCGAGTTTCCACCCTACTGCAACCGGTAGAGAGAGTATAACGTCGAGCACAGAATAATGTTCCTCTTCCGCCCTGATCTATACGAAACGAAAATGAATACAAATACCGAGAGTCTTGTTTCCATGAGAAATCTAGTCTTGACTGGAGAGCGAGCTGTGCAAACTTCCACATTGAGAATGTTATTCTGTCGCTGTTCATCCATGACCTACCATTATCTTTCCCCCGAGGCGAGCCAAGAAAATAATATCGCAATATTCGGCATGTATCCGCTGGGTTAGAGTATCGCCGTTATTCGTACACATCTTCAAACAAAAGTCTTCGATTCAGGCTTGATCGGGCGCATCCTTGGGTTGCGACCATTTCAGCGGTACAGAAGCGTCATACCTTGACCGTAGACAGAATGAAAGGCCTGATGGTGTACATACTTGGTGAATCTCGGCAAATGTATGTCACCCTATGAACCGCTGACGATGATTGTGGACTTTGAATGCTGAAGATGAGGATGGTGACTGGTAAGAGAATTTCGACGTCTTGAATTCTCAAGATTGCGTAGGAAAAGTCGCAATCAAAGACAGGAGCGCAAGAGAAGCAATGGACATTGCCAACATTGTGCTTGGCTTCGCTGGACGGCTTGGTGATATAGTTAGTTGAGAGCAGATCTTCACTCGATCTCAGAATCAAGCGGGCAATCTTCTGATTTGGCAAATAACTAAATCGCGATGGATGTCACTGACATCGAGCACGGAGGAGGGAAAGGCGGACGATGAAGGCGGCAATCTCGAAGAAAAAGTGGACAGGCAGTAGAAGCCATGATCAACGTCAACTAAATAGACATTCTTGTACGACGAGATTGACCGAAAAAGCTCGAATGTCGAGTGTGAATTGAACCAAACGAGCAGTAATTTGAAGTCTCTGAGTCTTCCATTCCCCTGCACTTCATGACTGATGCAAAAGTGCTCTTTGTGCCTTGTTCTCAACCCACAGCTTTCATTTGGGCAAGCAAATTTTGCTTTGTCGATTCCGGAAACGGTAATCGATAGGATGATGCTATGCTTAGTTATCGACACTAAGTTCAAAAGTTTTTTGCCATAATATTTATTTCCTCGGCCCTTTCTGATTACTTTTTGTCGCGACGAATCCAAGCTACTTAGCTATTTATGTCAATCCTTAGGTCCTAGGATGGATGTCGCATCTAGGGGCGATGGCTCATTCCACAGTATATTCCCTGCCAAGCTTTAGCGACAGCGTCAAAATCCGCCTTGTCTCAGCCCTAGCGATCCTTCATTCAAACGAGAAGACGAGATTCTGAACAAACACAACCAGGGATGATCGACTGTTTCTCGTTAGGGGATCTCTCGATAGATTCTAGAGCATGGACTGAATTCCTGTCACAGCACGAACTTCCGAATCCTGACTAAGAAAAGCTTAGACGATATCAGGAGTGCTCCTCTACTAGTTTA